AGCGGTTGAGTATTCAAAATACTTTCTACTTCCATTATTGGAATAATTAGTCCTCGTTCCCATAATAACTTTCTGACCAATAACTCTTTTCATTGCCTTTTTTGTTAAACCAATAAGTCGCTCATATATTCCTCCATTCCATCCGCTTTTGGTACTATATTTTTCCATATGATTTTCTTTTCCGTTAGGAATTCATTTAATTGCTGCTTTATAATAATTTTAAAAACCAACTGGAATTGACCAGCGCTCAAGATTAATTCCGGTTAACCTCGTCTTGTTGTAAATCTTCTCAAAACATGTAAAAAGCTTTCAGCTGAAGGGGTTTCTATCATTTCTAGATGTACAGCTCTTGATGTAAAACATGTGAACAGTGATATCAATCTTTTTGTTAACTCATTATCACTCCTGGTATTGACAGGACCTAAATATCGTGTGGTTCGAGATGCTGGAAGATCGGCCATGGTTGGTAATTTAAATGATTTAGTTGTCGCACTTCATGCACTTATCCAAGATTTTTTTGACTTCCCTTCTACCTTTAGGTATCCATATTTCTACCTTTCGGTATCGATCTCAAATTTGAAAGTGTGTGAGCAATTCCAGCATGATATAATTACTCATGTCGTTGCTGAATAAGGAATTCAGTTATGGAATTATGTCTTGGGAGATATATTTGGGAGATGTAAGTTACTCTCTTTGAAGCCTCATTGAATATAATTTTAATTTCTTTATATTTGGAAAAAGCTTCATTGGTTCCTTTGGTTGGTATTATAATGTTGTCGACATAGAGATTTTTCTTTATCTCGAGCACAATTTTGCTTTTATAAGTTTCCAACTGATAATTGAGAGTAACTGACAATAAAATGGAGATGATACAATTCCAAATGGAACTCGTTGGAAACATTTTCTTCGTTAATTGGTCCTCGAATGTCCTTTAACCAAAGAAATCGAGTGCAATTTCTATCTGTTGGATACAGTTTTATTTATAAGAATGCCTTTTCTACGCCTGCTATTATTATATTTTTCACTGTACGGAAGCATAGCAAAACTACATTTAAATCAGGAAGTGTTATCGGTCCCCGATATAAAACATCATTTAAACTTTTCATTCCTTTACAATGAGCTGATGCGTCATAAACTATCCTCAGATCTGTCGTGGTTTTATTGAATGTTAGTACTTCATGGTGAGATAGATAATGAATAATACTTATCTCGTTCATTTCCGGTGATGCCTTTTCGATTATATTGAAAAGTTGTTCTTCAATAGTTTGACTATATCGACTTAGTAATTGAGGTTCCATTTGAAGTCTTCTATTTAACGACTTTAATCATCCAAAGCAAAGTCCAATTCCAAAGCAAAGTCCAATCATCGCTTAGTTTGTTCTTTGAATCTTCCCAAGGACAACAGACTCGATATCTTTCCTTGTTTATAAAGACAGTTTGTTTAAATTGCTGCAGTGCTTTTTCATCATTGTCAGCATTTGTTTTATCTTGAATGCCAATTAAATTCCAGCTTCAAAAAGTGATCTAAGCCTGGAATATCGATGACAATGACTAGATGAGTATGGTCCACTGATGTGGTTTTATTGTCATTTGTATATCCAGTTCCATAGATCCAACCTTTTTTGGATCGATGAAATTCCGGATCTTAATTCCATTTCTCTGCTTTGTCGAGCTGAATAAACCTAAAGAAATGATCCGCACCTATGAGAATGTCCGGTTGTTTCCATTGATCTTTGAAGTTGTTTAATTGATTTAGTTTGTTTATCATCAATAGTTCCTTTTTGTTTAGATTAATTACTTGTATTTCATTCGTCAAATAGTTTTGCATCTAATCGGATTATTTCTTTATTTCCAATTTTTACTCCGATTTCGGTTTTAGTAGTAAAACACATTTTTGGTATTTTATTGCCAAAGCAAATATGTTATTTGGAGTTTTTTTATTCAAATAATTTAGAAATGGGAAGATGAGTATTGAAATAGTGATTACTTACATGATGTATAATTTGAAACAGTTTTACATTGCTAATGTTTAATTAAAACGAATTTTAATGACAATGTTTACACTATTTTCATATATCATATCAATACAAAAGAACTATGTAAGGAATATGTGATATGATTGACTAAAAAACCGAAAATATTGGCTTTCACTATTTTAACCGCTATGGATAAAGATGAGAATTTAGTTAGATTCATAATAACAAAGCAAAAAAAAAGAGGATGAAAAATTGATTAAATTAGTTATTAGTTTATCATAGTACAATTTGATGGATTAATTCTTACATGAAATTATTTTATTATTAAAACTTATTTTGAGGTTTTTTTTTTGAAATTCTCATCAGTCGATTTCTTTCTTGCAAACATCGTAGAAATAATCAGTACGAACAGTTAGTTACGTGTTCCTCGGTTAGCGATTAGCTGGTTTTAGCGAACTATCCAGTGATAATTAACTATCTAGTGATAATTAACAATCTAGTGATAATTTGGAGATAAATATCATTTCAGAATCTATCCAGAGCTATCGTGTGCACTTGCTTTATAACTGAATTTGCTGAATAATGTTACCCCATACCAAATCTTAAAAATTAAAGAATTATGAAGAATCGATTCCAGGAGTCGTCCATCAATAGTCGCGAAAAGAAACATTGAATATTGATAAAAACGTGGTACAAGTAATAAAAACTTAAAGTAATAGAACTGAAGCAATATTTAGGACCAATGAAATTATTAAAAGAATGACTGTTGTTTTTGAATCACCAAGAACATTTTCTGGTTTATCTGCAGCTTAGGAGGACAGATGTAATAATATCATTAGCTTTGTGCCACAAAGAATTCTTCTGACCGTCGATCCATTGGTGAGTCTCTTTATTCCGTTCTGGCATATCATAATGGAAGGGTCATGTATGAATAGATAGAGATGATCCTATAAATCGGCTATTTATCTTTGTTTTTAGTTTTGTTTTGTTTTTCCTGAAATGTATAAAAATAATGTCTTGACGTCATTATGCAGCCATTTTTTGGCAGTTCCCCGGAAGACACTGCCGAATGTTCTCTTTGCTAACAGTTCTAAAGAGAGAGAGAGAATTCAAAGCTAATATAATTAACTCAACTTCTTAATTAAAATTACATTGCAGAAATGAAGGAGCTACATGAGTGATTATCTTCAGTTAGCAATCAATCAAGTTAGCAATCATATCAGATGAGAATAAAGGAAGGATAAGCATCTCGTACTACACATCATTTCCATTTAATATACCAAAGTTACAAAAATCTGAAATGTGAATAAAATTAAGCACAAATTGGTAGGGTAAAGTATGGCTTTTTATGTCAGTAATTTCTGTTATTTGCAGGTAAAATTCCTTCCATTTAGCACTTTTATTTAAAATACACATTAATCAAGAAAATCGAATTAAAATAACCTTTTTATTTCATACATTCGGACAACGATAACAAAGTCATATGGTATGGTCAGTACTTACTCTTATTTCTTTTTTCAAAGATTTTTATATTCAATAGTTTTCTGAAACACTAATCAACAATATTCGTCGAAAGACTGCCAAGACAAAAGCTTGGCAATTTATAAAGTATATTTTGAATATATTAGACGTTACAGAATTTTGATATCACTTCTACAAAAATTTCCATCTTCGTTCGATCATTGGTTGTGAATTAAAACAATGAGATAATAATATGCGAGATAATGTCATCTCGCATGACATTCATCAAATTCATATTTCAATTAGCTAATTTAATTTGGTACATGACACATTTTAAAATAGTAACAATTTCGACTGCAATAGCTAAAACCTTTTTTTGAATATGTATTTATATATTTGTTCACAAGAAATATTCAGTTGGTATGACATAAGGTAAAAGTAATCACCGGTAACAGTAAGCACTGTATTTAGTTGAATTCCCTGTTATTGTTTCAGTCAGCAGACGTACGCAACTGAATTTAATTTACGGCCAAAAACGAACTTCGATTATTCCCAATGATTATTACTATAACTCCACAAAACATATGGTATGTGGAATCTTCATATTTTTCTCAGGTAATCAAAAATACCTGCGTCATACTCCGTTTTTATCTCTCATTAAGTGGAAGATAAAATAGGACGATGCAATAGCCGAGATTTTTATCTATTTTTTTCATCTTCCTGGCTATTTCAATGTTTTTTCAGCTTTTTGGCTATTTTCGTTTCTTTTAGCTTCCTGGCTATTTGACGTTTTCTCAGTCCTCCGGCTATTTTCTGTTTTTCCAGCTTTGTGATGAAAATATTTACTTTTCTTGAATAATAATTCCTTTGATCAAGCGCTTCATAAAAGGCTCATTTATATCTTATTATTTACTTTATAGTGGACTATCTTTCAACACTTATTACAGTTATAATTTTTTTCCCTTTTATTTTTTGCCCATTCATCATTTCATCCTTTTGTTTTTGCCCATTCATCATTTTTACCTCCTTGAGATTCTTTTCCCTTCCTCTTTTCCATGTTAGCTTGCATTCAATCTTTGCAAATCTTCCGAAATCTTACCTTCAAGCTATCTTTTACCGTTAATCATTTACTACGGTCCAGCACAATCTCTTAAATTCATATTTATCCAACAATTAAAGTAGAGAAATTAAATTAAACTAAGCATTTGGAATAATCGTATAACGATCCGAAATATTTATAATTTATTAAACACATTTAAGATACTCTGGAGATTCTAGCTCTAAGTCTACCTTCACTTTCTTTTTATAAATTTTTTTTGAAAACTTTCTTATATAACATTACTTCCTTCAATACAATCACTCTTTACTGCACTATGAGAACAAACATCCTTAATTGATGAGTTAGCCATAGTAGCGATTTCATAAATTTCGATTAATTATTCCTTCTTAATACATATATTTACTTCATATTTACGAATTATGCTACTAATATAAATAAATATCAATTATTCATAGCAATAAATATTGAAATACAGAAGTGGACAACAGCTTTTGCAAAGTGATATGAATCGGACTACGCTAATATTATTTTTCATTATACTCAGTAATACAATTACTGTTATACACGGTAAGTTATTCAATAGATTGACACGTTAGTAACGTGAACAGAGAAGGAGAAATATCATTTCTAAAGAAACAATGAAGTCGATTTATCTCAGATTAATATTATGATAGGTATAGCAATTAAAATAACTCTTTAATCACACCGCATTCTAATGAATATAATAATAATAATAACTTCTTTATATGTTATTCAATCCAAAACTGTACACACTGTCATACATTTGGCAAATGAAAAGGCTAAATTGAAAATCATAAATATTCACGAAGAACTTAAGAAATTCAAACGTAAAATAAAATATTACATTTTATTGAAAAATTACAAAGTGCTTAATAAATAGAACAAAATTAGCAATGGCATAGTTTTGAATATACTTCTAAGTTGTAGCCTATTGCAGGTTATGTTCGTGGATGTTACTACACTAACTGGGCTCAGTATCGAGATGGTTCAGTGATAATTTCATTTTTATTAGAGAGATTAAATAATTTCAAGAAAAAGAGTTTCTAAACAAATGCGCAGTTTTTCAAATAAAAATTCGAAGCCATTGATTGTAATGGCTATGATAAAATGAGAAGAAACAATTTATAATTAGTAATTCAGCTTCCAACATAAGCGCAAATTCTTTTCATTACGGATTTTTTAAATCCATTTCTATATGTGCCTTCATCAATGCAAACTAATATGCAAATCGAAACTATATAAATGAAATTAAGCAAAGTAAATCTTATTATCACAATATTAATTATAATATCTATCTGTCAATCTAACATGCATTTTCATTTTAAAGGAGAAGGTAAATTCTTGCCTGGAAATATTCCAAATGGACTATGCACCCACATTCTTTACGCATTTGCTAAAGTCGATGAATTAGGTGATTCAAAGTAAGTTGCAAATGATATTTGTGATAGTAAATATGAATGCCATTTTCATATTTTGCTCAAACTGAAACTAAAATTTTTTCAAAATTTTATCAGTTACTCCGGCAGTGTTTATATGTGTGCTTCAGTAGTTTGAGTTATTGCTCAATATTCTTTTCCAATGAGTGCGCAATTGTCCCACCAAATACCATTTCTGTGATTCTTCTTTTTCTTCTCTCTCTCTCTTAGACCTTTTGAATGGAACGATGAAGATACTGAATGGTCGAAAGGAATGTACTCGGCTGTGACGAAACTGAGAGAAACGAACCCAGGACTGAAAGTCCTTCTTTCCTATGGTGGCTACAACTTTGGATCAGCAATTTTCACTGTTAGTTTCTGTTTTCTTCAAAATGATAGCATTCGTCAAACATATCGACAAAATTTCCAGGAATAGTTTGTTGACATCTGCTCTCGTTGGCACTCTCGGGACGTCCTATTGTTTTCTTTTCCATAAATTTAGTGATAGACAATATATTAAGGGAATAGCAAAGTCGGCGCAAAAAACGGAACATTTTATTAAATCAGCTATAGCATTTCTCCGTAAGAATAATTTTGATGGATTCGATTTGGATTGGGAATATCCAGTCGGTGTAGCTGAGGAACACGCTAAACTTGTTGAGGTAAGCGCAATCTCTTAGCAATTTATTATTGTAATCAGACATTGATATCAAATTTCAGTTCACAAAGGGAAAATTTCATTTCCATTCGTTGTTGTGTGTTAGTTTTACTTGAAAGAAAAAAGAAAATAAAATTTCCAGGCAATGAAAACAGCGTTTGTGGAAGAAGCCAAAACATCTGGTAAGCAACGATTACTTTTAACCGCTGCTGTATCAGCCGGGAAGGGAACTATTGACGGAAGTTACAATGTGGAGTCTCTCGGAAAGTAAACTTTTCTTTCGCTCTTTGCCGATTTTTCATGTCAGACTTTCATTTATTTAGCGATATAATAAAAATTAGAGTACTAAAAATGTGAATATTTCTTCAGCATTAAACTTTGCAGAAATTTCGATCTCCTATTTCTAATGTCATACGATTTACACGGTAGTTGGGAGAAGAACGTCGATTTACACGGAAAATTGCATCCAACAAAGGGAGAAGTTTCCGGAGTTGGCATATTTAATACTGTTAGTTTGTGAAGTGCATAAAAATTTCTCATGTTTACCCGTTTGTATGAAAACGAATTCACCATTGCTCCAGGAATTTGCTGCGGACTATTGGGCAAGTAAGGGTATGCCGAAACAGAAAATTATCATTGGAATTCCGATGTACGCTCGGGGATGGACATTAGATAATCCTTCGGAAACAGCGATTGGAGCACCGGCTAGTCGTCCGTCGTCAGCATCGAAAACAAATCCTGCTGGTGGTACTGCATCTTACTGGGAGGTTTAATACAAAATATTAAATTATTTCCAAATACTTTTCTTAATTATTTTCAAACTCGATCTTTGACAAACATTAAAAGTGCTATTTTAAGATATGCAAATATCTGAAAGAAGGTGGCAAGGAAACGGTTCATCAAGAAGGTGTCGGGGCATACATGGTAAAAGGAGACCAATGGTATGGTTATGATAACGAGGAAACTATCAGAATTAAAGTAATCATTTATTTCTCTTATTGTCGTAACTTTTGCGCCTAACATTGTTGTCATTCTATTTATGGATAGTTTGTTGAGAGCAAGGGAGGAATAATCTAAAAAGTATAGCTGCGAAGATATCTTTCAAAATAATTTCACAATTTTTGCCTGTGTGACTATTTCGTTCTAATTATCAATTTCAGAATCAAAATCAGGTTATGCTGTACATTTGAAACAAAGTTACATATTTCCAGATGAAATGGCTTAAAGAGAAAGGATATGGTGGTGCCTTCATATGGGCTCTTGATTTCGATGATTTCACGGGTAAAAGCTGTGGCAAAGGCCCTTATCCATTGTTAAATGCTATCAGCAGTGAGCTTGAAGGCGAGGTAGGATAGAGAGAAATATATTTCAAAGAAATTTCACTGTAGAACATAATTAAAATTTCTTTTTCTGTTCTAAAAAATGTTGAACTAAATTCTGGATGAAATTGCAGAAATAATTAGTAGGAAGCGAATAAGTCAATTTACAGATCGATGAAAATAAACATCCAGTAAGATGATTAGGGAAAACCGAAGATAGGACTGATATCATTTTTATCTGAGAATGCATAATGGTAATATTATTTAACTAGCTGATTGTAAGATCTACCATTACATTAGGCATCAATCATAATGATCGTATATATTTTTTAAATTTTAAATTGATTATTTTACAATCGTTAAATTGTTTTACCGATGTAACGTTTCTCATCCAATGAGTTCTAAACCTAGCAAACATTTATAGTCAGAAAACCCTGAAATAACGACGGAAGAACCAAGCATTACAGAAACTGAAGCATATGATACTGATGAAACTGAAGGTTGGTTAATTGTTCGAAGAATAAAAATGCTGGATCACTATTTATTTATTTCTTATGCATTCTATTTAGAATATGATGTAGTTTGATGAGAAAACTTAAGAAGTATTTTGTATGCTTCTAATGAAAGGTATATTTGAAGGCTATATTCAAATTTAATGCTTACTAGAATTTATAACAGATACATTGGGAATATATGACAGATAAATCGTTTGGAATCTTCCATGCATGTATATATATATATATATATATATATATATATATATATATATATATATATATATATATATATATTTTCTTACCTGCAATATGTGATTCTTTTTTTCCGAAAAATTTACCTATCACGGAACTAAATATTACAGAAACTTCCGAAACTGAAGCGACAACGTATGATACTGATGTAACCGAAGGTTAGTTATTCGAAGAATAAAAAGCTGGATTGCTACTTATTTATGCATTCTATTTAAAATATGAAGTGGTTTGATGAAAAAACTTTGATGCTTCTGATCTATATTTGAAGGCTAAATTTAAATTTAATGCTTGCTAAAAGTTAACAACACACTTGAAATATGTGACAGGTAAATTATTTGGGATCTCCATACATTTATATTTTTCTTTCTACCCATAATTTGTCCTTTTTTTTCCCAAAAAAATTATCTATTACCGGAACTAAACATTGCAGAAACTTCCGAAACTGAAGCGACAACGTATGATACTGATGAAACTGAAGGTTAGTTAGTTATTCAAAGAATAAAAATGCTGGATCGCTACTTATTTATTCCTTATGCATTCTATTTAAAATATGAAATAGTTTGGTGAGAAAACCTAAGAAGCCTTTCGTATGCTTCTGATGAGGACATGCATATTTGAAGCTATGTTCAAATTTAATGTTTACAAATGCATTGGAAATATGTGACAGTTAAATCATTTGGAATCCACACGTATATATTTTTTCCTACCTGTAATTTGTCTTTTTTGTCTCAAAAATGTTATCAATCATACAGTGGATGAACACACCGCTATAGTATTGAAATCCATTTCAGGTCAGGAATGTCCAGAACGTGACGGTTTGTTCCCGCATCCTACTGATTGCCATTTGTTTATTCAATGCGCAAATAACATTGCATATGTGATGCAATGTCCAGCGACTACTTTCTTCAATGACGCAATCAAAGTTTGCGATCACATGACGAATGCGCCGGATACATGCATCTAATTTGTTGTTCTCTGTAATGTGTTAGTTGTAGAATAAAAGTTTAGAGTAAAATTGCTAATAGCACATAAAATAAATTGAATACACACCGCTATGGTATTGAAATCCATTTCAGGTCAGGACTCAGGAATGTCTAGAACCTGACGGTTTGTTTATTGTTTAACAAAACTCGTTTGATAATTCATATTAGATTAGGAAGATAGGTACAATTATGTGAGGAGAGAAATAAAGGGACAGAAGGCGCAAATAAACAGGAATAGTGATTCGGAAGATGAATAAACCACATAGCAGATGGTTTATGATGGATAATTTTAAAGTAGATTTAAGAATCTATGATTAACAATGAAACAAAAAGCAAGTAAAATGTTTAAAGATAAGAATACCATTCGCTTTGTTGCAAAACTCGAAATAAGTGTCTCGCACATTTCCAAATGATTTACAAAATATATCAAATAAAATACTATTAATCCATAATACTAAAATTTATCTTGATTGAATATCCTTTAAAGAAATACAAAACTGTTCCAAACTGTATCTATGTAAACTCCATTGTACTCGTCTAGAAATTTTCAAATGTAACAAAGAGTATGTGCATTGTTTAATATGTTAAAAATCACTCATTTATTCCGAACCAAATTTGCTTACAATGTTGAAATGTTGTAAAGACATTCTAAGCTAATGGTCATTCTTTGAGAAGCTACAATATTAAAACCCTCTCTTACTATATAAGGGATAAAGATCATCTGATAGCTCTTTACTCAATATAGTCATGCTCTTATTGTTGGAATATAAGGATTTAAATCCCTTGTCTTTCGTAAGTTTTCTTATATTCCGTACAATCCCATAAATCGGCTATTTATCTTTGTTTTTTGTTTTGTTTCGTTTTTTCTGAAATGTATAAAAATAATGTCTTGACGTCATTATGCAGCCATTTTTTGGCAGTTCCCCGGAAGACACTGCCGAATGTTCTCTTTGCTAACAGTTCTAAAGAGAGAGAGAGAATTCAAAGCTAATATAATTAACTCAACTTCTTAATTAAAATTACATTGCAGAAATGAAGGAGCTACATGAGTGATTATCTTCAGTTAGCAATCAATCAAGTTAGCAATCATATCAGATGAGAATAAAAGAAGGATAAGCATCTCGTACTACACATCATTTCCATTTAATATACCAAAGTGGAACAGAGAGCAAAAATATCTATGAAGGAAACAAATAAATAAAATAAAAGAATTGAAAAAAGTTGTTGCATACAAAATGAACTAATATATAGATGAAACTGAGTACAGTTCAATTGGAATGTATAGAACACTTCATGTCAATAACTTCTACAAAACTTCCTTTCTGGTACTAATTCGCATTTTTATTTAGAATATATATCAATCAAAAAAGTTCTTTTAAAATAGCATTTGTGATCAGGAAAAAGTCATATCCTGGCAGTTTTATTAATTTTTGGTTATAATTTTATCAAATACCTGGAAACCTTGTTGAAACATTCAACAATGTGCTCGTCGATGACAAAACAGTAGTGTATAATAACAGATCGTCAAGACAAAAAGCAATTTACGAAACATATAAACTTTATAATGAATTACTTCAAAATTATCACTCTGTTTAGTTTTAGTGAAATCCAATGTCCGACTATCAAAAAAACCCCTCATTACATAATTATGAAGTTTAGAAAAGTTGTGCTGAAGTCTTCAGAGAAGCAATTTCGATTCGAAATACTGATTTCTGCTAGAAAAAAAGTATATATAGTTAGTCTTACAGCTTTTAGCTTTATTATTTACTCACTGAAGACAGATATTTTTAACTTAAGTGACTATTATTTAATTAGTAAGTACTTTGTGGAGTTGTCGCGAATTATAATTTCGCGAAAACTTCTAACCAATTTCATATTATCATAAATCAACTCTTCTTTTTAAATAGTAAACAATCTTACGATCTTCACATATGTGATTTTAATCTCCTTTTTGTAAACACTTCCAATTCTTCAAACACGTGATTTTATCTTAGACATGCTCAATCCTCACTCATATAAATTCAATTCTAATAAAGGACAGTCAGTCTCTTTCATCTTCTTTCCATCTTTTTTTTTCTTTTTTAAATCGAGAATATCACCATTTTCACAATACACAAAGATTTAGTAATTCTAGTCCACAACTGAGTCACCAAGACATTCTCCTAACATAGAAGCGAGAAACAAATGAAAAAATGTATGACCGAAGAGTTTCAAATTTAGATTTTTGAAAATTTAAATCTTTTTATAGAACTTTAGGTTTAACTAAACATAAGGGAATAAAAAGACACCACTTTACGGCAAAATTTCTGATCGAAAGCCAGATTCCGCCAAATAGTGGTTGAAGAAGAGATTATGCAAAGTACAATTCTGATTATAGTTAGATAACGAGTCTCTCACGGATCCTTTTTCAAGGTGGCATTAATGGTGATAACTTTATTACTGATTACTCAAAACATTTAACATGTGAGTAACTAAATCATAACATATAAAAAAAAAAAATATTCGAAAACACATATGTGATAATACATAGCAAAAAATTCAAATTACAATTTTATACACATATACGTCATTGTTAAGTAATTAAATACAATTAAAAATTAAGTAATACAGTTAGCAATAGATATTATTAGTGATCAAAATGATATTCTTAAACGTCAAGCCAAAAATTAGTACTAAGTAGATTAGCGGCATCCAATACCTCCACAGATTTCCTAGTCCTGAAAACTTAATCGCAACTGAATCGATTTTTTATAGTTCGTTTGAAATTTTTCACAAAGCATTTTTAATTAAATTAATATGAGCCAAAAAAAATCTGACTTTGTCAATCCGTATTTGTATTTATATGTAACCATTTATTATGGTCATTTCAAAATTATTATACACCATTGTTATCCAGTCCAAAGATATTATTTCAAAATTTTGAAAAAAAAAAAAAAAATTCCACTCCAAACAATGGAAACAGCAAGAAATAAATCTAATTTAAAATACTACCAACAGTTCCAATTTGACAATAGTTTACCTAAGTAGTTTTCCAACGATTTACATAATCTCTCGAAATTCACCGTTTATCTTGGGCATCTATAATTTCACACAGAATATTAGTTCTCATTCTATTCTTGCAGATAATTAGTGCATAATTGCAAGTACTAAGTCATTAATCAACAAATACTGCACATTGAAAATTCAAATCATAGCAATTCACATTAAATTTTTTGAACTGATAAGCATGCTTATGTCAATAAATCCAAGTATAATGTCTTAAATACATTATTAATTCAAGTTCTTTGAAGCTAAAGATTAGCAGTCTTTCTACATTATCGTCATTAAAATCCTGTTTGAGGTACCTTCAACACCGAAGGAAATTGTCTCCAAGAACAACCCTATGTAAGAGGGCAAAATATTTCCGGTGCTCTTGCAATTAGCGCTTCATGGTGGTGGCAAGAACCGGGAACTTCAACTAGACTATAATTTAGCTCAATGTGATTTACCATCACCATTCATCCATCCATCAATAAGCACTCAGCTACCTCAATCTAGATCTGCCACAAAAATCCGCTCCACCATTAACAACATTGACACTTCAGAATCTCTATCACCAATTGACTGGTAACTAGTAAACCCATCTTCGATCTTACAATCAGTTCAATGAGAATGACTCACCTTAACCTGTCGCCGTTAAATTCCAGCTCCCGAAGTTTCTTATTCCTCAACGAACTCGTTAATCGTCTTCTCTTCCTTGTTCTTTCCGGTATTCGGTTTCTCGGATTCCAGCATCCTTCCTTTCTACCAAACCGATTAGCAACAAATTTCTAATCTTCATACTGGAAAACAATAATAATTGCTGCATCACTCTTTCTACTACTGGAAAAATAAAGTACCACAAAGTATCATAGAACACACAATAATCATCATTTTCGTCACTGAGAATGCTAAATGAATGAATTATTATTGCTTGTGAAAATAAAAGAATAAATGTTTCTTGGAAATTTTGAAATATTTATTCTTTCGTAAATAACTTACAACACTAAGTGTATCAATTCATAATGTCTCATGGAAAATGTCGCGCTATTCGATACTTGACTATTTCATTCAACAAATGCAGTCCTTAGCAAAAAATCTCTCATTGCTTTTATTAAAATTGTGTCAATTATCCTCTAGTAAGTCAGATATTATTTTTTTCTACTAATAAACATTAAATTTTAGTTCCACATATATTTTTTAACATATATTTCACATCATATCATATATTTTGTCACGTGTTGAGTAAATATATGTATTGAAATTAAAAATGTTATAAAAACTTTTGATATTCATTTGAAAAAAGAAAAATATTCCAAAAATTGAAGAAATATCCCAAAAATTCGACGACTATTAATTCTCTAATAGCAATATGTCATAACAGACTGTTATACAGAACAAAATGGTAAATTTGTTCTTCCAATAATCATTCTCTCTCATTTATATATGTATGAACCAATTCTTTTCCCATCTACAAATTTAGGCATTTATTCAATTAAGTCAAAGAAGGCACATCACTTTGAAATTGGTTTGAAAGAAACTTTTGTAAAACAAAATCTAATCATTTTTACAAGTACTTATTTACTTATAGCATAAATTACTTATTTATTTATAGCATAAAAATATTTGCTTTAAAATAACAGCAATTTTACGATTTTATAACGACTGTTTTTTTCTCTCAATAAATTTTCAAAAATGGGTTATAGTCAACAAATAAACTCAGTAAGTTATATTCCTTTGAACCTTCCAAGAAATTAATATAGAAATGAAATAAAATGAATGAATCTTAAATATAACACCTTCTAGTCAACTGTATCAGTGAAGTGGCCCAGAATGTAAAAATTACCGACTTCTTCCTCATCAAATATTCCAGGATGTTAAATATGACTGGAAATTCCGGACTTTTTTCCCTGTTAAACGGACATTACTTGCAATATAACTTTTATATAATGGGCAAATCCGTCAAATATTCACAAAGGAGTATCACAATATGCCAAAATTATCATTTTCGTCATTGACAATGCATAATAAATAAACTTCTTGTCTGTAACTATGAATAATTAGAAAGAATAAACAAAATTATGGCATTTGATCAAGTTAGTATTACAGTAGCTCCGAAATCAAATATAAATTACTAGTAGCTTTAGCTTTCCACTTTCTTGTTAATACACATTTACTCAACAAAGAGAGAGAGAGAGAAAAAATATAACCTTTCAAAGCTCAACCTGTTTGACTCAAAGAAGTCCTGGAACATCTTCCTGAGTTGTTGGAAATTTAGCTTTTTTAAGTTTATAATTCCTTTGATATTTTAACTCAGTTGCAAAAAATGCTAAATCTATCCCCACATTCCTAGATTGTCAGTTACCACAATGATACTTTCTCCCACTTTCCAAATAGAATGGAATATGAAAGGCAGCAAAACAACAAATAATATTGTATAACGAGAAAAAGATCGAGCAAGCCACTATTAGATTCGATCAACCCATGAGATGTATTCAGTTCCGAAATCCAGCAAACCTTCACTTTCTTAGAAAATTTCAATTTTTAAACTCGAATCTGTTGAAGAATTGAGTCCTTCAAACGGTTCCTTTATTTCTAATATTGCTAGCTCCTGGTACAGATGCTGCTAATATGACCATGAAATCTAATTGAAAGCCAAAGCAATAACATTTTCACTTAGAAAAATACAAACATAACCATATTTACACTTCCATCAAACGTAATTTATATATGAAAAGCCTGGAACAATGAATAACATTGAAAACATGTATAAACTTGAAAAAAAAAAAAAAAAACACTTAGCACAACTATGGTACCTACTAAAATAGATACGCAAAGCAATCTGGTTCGAAGAAACTTTGCAAATAAATGCTCAAACAAATAATGAAATCAGAAAAATTTTCCTCAAAAATTCCTGGAAGAGAAAGTTCAAAACAAGCAAACAATCCTAGCAGTTAATTAGGCTCTACAAAAGAAGCCATTAAAATAATGAAAAACAAATCTAAAATGGACAGCTGGTGAGATTCAACATCAATATATGCGAAATCCGAAACAAAGTTGAAGTTGAAAGATTGATTTTTATTAGAAGAGGAAGATGACGAGGTCACGAATAAGCGACCATATCAAAAAATAAAAGAAAAAAGAGAAAATAAGAAATAAAAACAAATGGCATTTAGAAAAAGATGAATTTATAATGAAATAAGACCTGAAGATGTAAAAAATCATACCAGAGCTAAATGTTTGGGTGGGAACGCACAAAATAAAAATAAAACAAGCTATAAATTTTCTTCAGTTCTCAGTCTGTGATCTCTAAAAAAGATTTTAAATTAATAAATAAATGCAACAGAAGGATCTACCTGATGAGAATTAAATACACAGTATATAAGACTACACCAGAGAGTACTCCACAAGGCACACTTGAAAAAAAAAAAAGAAACAGCCAATAAGTCGTAAATTTCTCGTGATTAAATGTTGACAAATAAAGCAGCACTAATCACTTAAGAATTATAAATTAAGTTTCAGCAGTGAACAGGTTCCATAAATCTTCCACGGGCCTTAGAAAAACACAGATAAGCGTTAAATTGTCTGTCGCCCCTGCTTCTCTGGCTCGATCAACGATGAACTCTGCCAACTTACCATAATCTAAATACAATACATGAAATAAATGAATACAATTCGAACTCTTCCAGGTAAGAGATATCATAGATAGAATAGTGAATTATGGCTTTGACCTAATTCGAACTTGACCTTACATATTTAGTTTTATCAAACTGTCTCAGAAAAACCAGTTGCCTAAAAAATTTTTCAACTTCTCAATAAACGGAGTTTTGTGCAATGGGTAATAAGCAAATTAAATACGCTTACTTTCTTGTGAATTCTTACAAACAAATTGGGCAACATGAGAATACACTGCTTGTTCACTTAGTGAATCCCAAACACCATCACAAGCTAATAATAAAAGGTATTCAGAATTATCAAGTTCAAACGACAAAACATCTGGCTCAGATGATATCATCGGTCTGCCATCAATATCACCTGCAAATAATACGAATGAATTATCAATCTCAATATGATAAGATCAAGGATTCCGTTCTACAAGCTTATAAAAGAAATTTAAAGAGTTTGGACACTATTTTCATCCTGATTTATTAGTTTAGATTATAATATGTCCCGATCCAATAAATCCTTAGCGTTTCACCAGGAATTCCTGTAAACACACTTCAACAAATACGCTGGAATGAAAGAAAGGAGGAAAAAGGAAAGCCTCGAGATCCATTAATGTGATACAATTTAAATTTATAACGTATAATGTAAATAACAAGAACTAATTTTAAAAACATTCATCAAAATTTTTGCTCTACAAATTCAGTAACACAAACCGAGAGAACGTGTTAGATTTAAAATTCCATTAACTCTCAGCTCGCCTTGTATAGGCACAACCATTCCGCCAGCTTCTTCTATTCGACGTACTTCTTCCTGAGTTGGATAGAATGAAAATTAAAGTGAAACATTTTCTCAGTATTAATATCTGTCAATCTGTTACTTTCATCACAACTACAAAGTATATCTGCTTTAACAACCTGAATAGTACAAATGGTTTGCTTACAAATGTTATAAGTATTAAAATTTGTCCGGTTTATTTTGAACCGCGAATCGATAGGAGGATCTTTTTTATAACGCATATACTTGGTGATCCCAGCATTTCGAATCAACATCGATTTCATGATTAATGTTTCTTTGTGCACCTAATCTATATTTCTATTATTGATGGCGGTTTGAAAAATTTATACTCCAGCAGCCAACTATTCTATTCAAGGAACACGTGTTCGAGTACACTATATATGAAAAATCGAATATTTACCGGAACATTTGGTGAGTGGGCTGATGATAATGTCCGTACAGCATCTTTTCTTAAAACAGCTGCAGCTGAGTCACCGCACCAACCAACACACAAATGCCTTTGAGCTCGTAAAAAAGCACAAACAGCGGTAGTACCGCCTTTTATATGCTGAAAGAATAGTATAAAAAAGGCATTAATTTCAAAATACGACATATCTAAGTGTTCTACAGATGAGTGACAATAAGTTACCATTATTTTATACACCTAACTCCAAATCATGTAACGGCTTAATCCAAATTAATGACATCACAGATCTTACATAATTTTATGGTTAGCAGCACTTACGACACAAAGACACAATCATGAATACCTCATTTTTACATCGTGCAGTAAGTCTTTTATCAAGCTCAGTAAAGGTATTTCTCATTATATTTTCAATTTGGCCAACAGCGTATTGCGTATTTTCAATAAGGCATCTCGCAAAGTGGGAGCTTGCATAATTGGCGCAATCGACTCCATTGTGTCCATCAAATACGGCAAAAAACGAATCGCGATCACGGCAATCACCCTATAATAAACAAACATATGTAGTCATTTATCAAAACTCCAGTTTTTTTAAAAATATCTCCCATTTCCGACTTCAAAATATAATACCAACTTATATACGAATAGTGCACTGAAGATTCGGTACACAGTGATAACAGAATTCTTTAACATACTGTACTTTTCGTGTATATTTATCATAGAAACATTTGACATGTGGATGGAAACTAATATAAAAAATCCAATTCACCGATTTTAGTCAGAAAAATAAATTTATATTCATATTATCATTTGCTTTTCTTGTTCTAAACGTAAATATTATTAACTACACTCTTGTGGGATTAAAGTCTCAAATAATTAAGTCAATAAAAAAAAAAAAAAAAAAACCTTTAATGGCTCAATGACGGAAAGTGAGGGCAGAAGAACTGCACGATCTTCCATTTTGGAACGTCTATTTTTCTGGGCACAGTACGAATACAACAGCTGATCGGAAATTGACTGAATCTCTGAAAAAATTCGGGTACATATAAAAATGTGACATGCAAGAATAAAGCATATTATTTCTTGAACTATATATAAATCTAAAGTATTTTTTTCACTCTAAAAGATTTTATTCATTTTTATTTGAGCTGAATGAAAAGTATGCTTAAAAGCCTATTCAGTCCAGCAAAAATAAATGACAGAATTTATTACAATAAGCATATCCTTATAGATACCGGAAAAAATACTGAAAAGTTTTGTCCATTTAAAATCTCGTAATTACCAACTATTGTTATGTTCTACAAGCGTCACGATTGCTTTACTAATTAATTCTTAGTAACACATAACTACCACAGCAAATAAGAAAAACGATAATCTTGATAACAAATTACTTGGTGGTGGAACAAAACTGTTTACCAAATTGTTGAGATACATATTCAAATAATGTATAACTTCACGACACCAAACCGTGGCATCAATAGCACTATAATCATTTTCATCAAATGGTACCTCCGCTGTGTTTAGTTCATTTGCATACATATCCACTAATGAATATGCTATTGTATAAGCCGCTGAAGGTGGAAATCCTCTAAAAAATAATTGCGATATCATTAATCAAAAATTGCTTCACAGCATAGAGCAATTGCAACAGTTTCTTTTATGGATCGAGAAATAAAAGCACTTTTTTTCAATTAAGAATTCAACATGTCATCTCTGGAAAGAAAGAATTTTGAATAAATTGACCTACATGGACCAGAAAAGGGCTAAATAATGCTGCAGAAATTTGAAAAAAATATAAACCTTTGATGCAAGTGTTCAACAATCAATGCTACTGCATCACCACGTGCATCATGCTTTGTGGTTTGTAAGTAAGGTGAACGAAACCTAATAGTGATTTTGTTATCCGCATCAGGCGAATATTTTAAATAATTTTTCACTAATGATATCAGTAATTCATCGCCGCTTGGTTGCAATTCTTTCAGCCCTACTTTACATCCACCATCCATCCTTAAATTTCCTAAATCATGCATATACAAATCATGCTTTTACATGCCTATACAAGTTATTACACGTGTATCGATCTCACTTATATCTACCTTAGCTGAATTTAAAACTTGAGTATCAAACCGTCACAACTCAGCACTGCTAGTCAAAACCACAATCCATACTCTTAGCATCAAACAATTATGACTAGAAAAAAAGTAGTCACAGTTCCTCTAACACTTTGTCATATAATTTGGTATTCTAAAATAAACCCAAAATAACTATATCAATCCACACACGGCAATTTATAAGACAAGCTCTCTCCCAGAAGTTAACACTTCCTAAACATCATCAGTTTCTTTTTTTTTTCTCCTTATTCTTAAATTGGCTAAATATTGATTCGAAATAACTCCTCGAATTCAATCAATTTTTGGTAAAAAGATATCATCATTTTGAGTCTATGAATAGACTTCAAATGTATATAAGAAATGAAAATATTTGCCAAAATTTACTAAATAAAATTAAAAAAAATGCATTAAGATCAACGGTTCGTAGCAATCGAATGCATGAATTCAACAACAAATGAATTAAAAGATGTCCAAACACACAAAAAAAAAACAAAATATGTTATGGAGTTCCAGCTCAGCAGTTACTTTGAACGATTTCATAAGTAACAGTCATCTCCTGATTATTTCTTCATTTTGAAACAAATGACTTGATGTCCGTCAATAATTTAACATATTGCGAATGCTCATAGTGTGTTGCGAAATCCACCACTTCACGGCAAAATTTCTGATCGAAGCCACGTTCCGCCAAATAGTGATTGAACAAAAGATCATGCAAAGTCTGAAATTTTGATTACCTAGTTAATTAGATCTTGAACCTTCTCTTTATTCCATTATTTCAAGGTAGCATTTCTTTCCTTAATAACAGATGCACTGATTATTCAAGCTAATCAAACACTGGAAAATTGAGTGAAAATGTATACTGGATCAATATATTTGCCGGATGATGAGTATACTGATTCAGGTACGTCTTCATCTTCCGTTCCTTTAGATGCTGGAGCAATGTAAAATTCTGCTACGCGGAAATCAACTGCAATTAAAACACTGAATGCATCAGGGAAAACTTTTTATATTGACTTAATTCCTTTTCGTAGGTTGCTGCGGGTTGCATGACTCGGCTAAGAGTAATCAAACTTAAATATTACTTACACCGTTCATTTGCTTCCGCTGCTTCTTCGTTTTCGCATAGATCAAGGTAAAAGCATAATCGTTGTTGTGCCTTGATGATTTCTATAGTAAGTGAAGGCAGGGCGAGTGGAACTCCTTCATCCTACAAATAATCACAAATAAGACCAAATGAGAAGTAAGATAAATGAAAGAGCATAAAATTAATGTGCAAGTGTTAGATTGACTACTTACAAAAGAAAACTACAAATTCTAGACAGGAATAAACAAAAAAAAAAAACGGAAAATCAAAACAGACCTCATCTTCTCCGCCGTCCATATCTACTGAATGGTTGACATTAAAGTATACATTAATTCTAAAAAATTTACATATGGAACATATCTTATAATAATTTCAATGATAATGTCAAACCCTTAAGTTTACGGTAGTTATTAAGGAAACCTGATGTTTTTCTATACCAACTCTCTCACTGCATTTTTGCATATATATTTAATGACTGAATGACTTGATTTTAGCTCGTTAACATATGATACAACAATTTGCACTTGAACGCTATTTATACGCTATTGCCGAACAAGTTTTTGACTACTAAATTGAAACCACCATATAAAATTAAAAAATCACTTTTCACTGCCGTGCAACTTTGCCAAATGTACATTGGCACCATCAGTTGTAATTTCGAAACCCGAGATTCTTGGAGCTTGTTCACCACGAAGATTTTCTTTCTCCAGTTGTTTCTCAGCGGTAATTTCATTCTTTAGCGCATCAATTAATTCATTACTTAATGCTAAAACAAAGAAGCAACTGAAACTGCAATATAATTTTTCTGACAATCAGAAAACTAGCGTTATTCCACAGGATTCTCATATCCTAGAAAAAAAAAAAAAAACACACACACACACGTACATAATTTCGATGGATCTTTAAGAAAGTGTACATGTGAGCGGCAGCAATTCCTTATGAATAGAGTTGTTCAGATACAACAACATTGCTCATTGTTAGTCTTAGGCAATCTCAAATAGCAGTTTTCGCATGCGATTCAAGATGAAAGTGCCGAACAGTAGCAGAAAAGGCTTGGGTTCAAAGTAACAGTTTATCGCTGTTGTCGGCTAGAAAACTGACAAATTTCGAAATAGTTTATACTTCCAAATGCTGTATCACTCCTTTTGATAATTTGTGAAAACATACGTCGGGTGGTCGACATCTGTCGAGCCATCAAAACTGGTTGTGACATTCTTATTCCAGAACAAACAGCTGCTGTTGAAACATGCCTCTGCAGAGCTTTTGACAATGCGCGACATACTGCAGTTGACCGCATCTTGACTACCTTCAATATAAAAGAAAATCTAATAAGATTAAAATAAAGCATCACGACAAACGATTGTGAAGAAAACCAACATTAAAAAAAAACCCCGAGAAAAAAGGGATTTACCGTACTTCACATTATCATCACACCACAGCGTAAAGAGCTCAAATAACAATTTAAAAAAAAAAAAAAAGTAGGGAGTTTAAATAATAAGTTAAAGAAGAGCAAGGAACATCATAAGAAAAGAAACTTTTATAAATCTCTAGCTTATCCATTAGACTTATTCGATCTCTTTCTAATAAATAACACTTCACTAAGAAATATCATGAATATTAGCTATTGATACTCTCATTTAGTACAGTTAAAAGTTCAAAATAGCAATAATAACCACTGCCACATCTATTACAATCAATTCCTCATCGACAGTAGCACCTAGCGAACGCAATTCTCAAATCCTGAATACCCATAAGAAGTGAACGTTGCACAAAGCTATGCAATAGCTGCACAACGCATCTTATATGCTTTATGTATACCACTATGCAACATTTTGCCTCCTGCAACTGTTGCAAAAATATGAAGTGAGAAAAGGTTGAAAATGTTCAAGAATTATTAGATCTCATCAATTTAAATCTTATAAATTAATAACCATAATAAATTTCAGTTAAGTTTCTTCCAATCTAATAATAAGGTGTGCTTTCTTAATTTAAATTAAAGCATCTTGAATTATCTTATCTCCTCTTTAACTACTTATAGAGAAACAACTAGCTATTATAATTAGCTAAAATTTTGAAGCATCAGCTTTCAAAAATATATAAAAGAGATTTGATTAGATTATTACATCATTGTACATTTTAGAATTGCTTTAAACAGTTATTTACTTCTGTTATCAGTTATATTTTTCTAACATAATATCAGGATAATTGTAATAATTTCAGGATTTGTTGGAAGTTGTATGATCTAAATATTTTGCATAAGTACATAGGAAATCACTACTAACTTAAATAAAGTATAATAGTATATATTCATGATAATGAGGTGCTCCTCGTCAAAAAGAACAAAAAAGATATTTTTGCTTATTCGAATCAGTGATTTAATTTGAATATTACATTACGAATAAATAACTGTGATGATGTCTGAATTAGCAATAAAATTTGCAGCCAGTACATTACTAATGTGGATTTTTATAACTGTTACTGGTTTACTCAAAATATTAATTATTTTCACTTATTTGATTATATTATGCAAAGGCAAAAAAGTGGTAAAATTTTCCTCCATCAATTTTTCAAAAAAAAAAAAAAAAATTTTTTTCCTCTTTTTTTGATGAAGAAATTTAGATTTAAAATGCTGTAAGCATTAGTTTATGCTATAAAACCAAAAAAAAAAATCAACTTAAAAGCTTTGGCCTTTCTTTTTTTTTTTGAAGAAAGGGAAGAACCAAGTATGTACACCAAGTACGAAAGAAAAAGAAGAAATTCATTCCAAAAAGGTTAATTTTCGTATTAAAATGTAGCATCAGATGATTACATTGATTATTAAGCAAACAATAAGAGATAATTTTGATTTTTCAAAAACAAAAAAGTTAATAATAATAATTAACAGTGATCTAAGATTAGAATAAGTATGCACAAAAAACTATGCTTTGCTTAATTAATATGTGTCAAAAGGATTAATCAATCTGCATCTTAGACATATTTAAAATGAACAAAAAATTATTAATATAAAATTCTCTCTAGGATATTTGACAATTGCGCTAATTTTGCTATCTAATTACTATTCAATTTTTCATTATTGCTAATTGAAATTTCACTTTAGTGGAAATAACTATGTAATGAATTTTAATGAAAAAATTAATTATTCAATTTCTATCAAACAATTCAGGAAAAGGAAGAAAAAAGTCGTTCGAAGAAATCAAAGAAATTAGAAAGTGGTAAAGAGCGCAAAAGCGGTGGAAAATTTAGCCCATCAAATGAAGGTGAAAAAAATGAACCAAATTTAGGAAGTGATGATACAAGAGATAAAGATAAATTGAGAAAAGATAATGAGAAAGAGGGAAAGAAGAGAAGGAAAAAGGAGGAAAAAGACGAAAAAGAGGAGGAAAAAAGTGGAAGAAAGAAAGAGAAAGAAGTGAATGAAGCATCAGAGGTAATCATATCAATACTTATCACTTGTTATCGATATCAGTAAATATATCTCAGTGATTAGAGATTTGAAATTTTAAGCAAATATGTTGAAGAAATATTTGAAAAGGAAAAAAAGTACTTTTCAGAAGGAAGATGAAGGCAAAAAGAGGAGAGAGAAGGATGAGATGAAAGATAAATCATATGGAAGTAAGAAGAATGTACGCTTTCGCTCTTCTTTATTTCATTCTTTCAATATTTCTAATTGACAAATTTAAAATTAATGTACTGCTGGATTACATGTATCATTGGTATTTCAAAGGTACAAAGTAGCTTTGCTCGAAGTGACATTTGCGCCTCCAATCATTTCTTGCATGTTTCTTATGAAAAAGCATTCATTTTAGCTCTAACTTTTTAGAAAAAGGAGCAAAGAGAAAGCGATAAGAAATTTGATGAAAAGGAGGGTGGAGAGAGTGAGGGCCATAAAGATAGTGCTGTTGGGAAAGAAAGTGAAAAGAGGGAAAGTTCAAAGAGGAAAGAAGAGGAGAAGGAGTCAGGACAAAAGAAAGAGGAAAGAGAAAAGGAGGACAAAGACGATGAAATTAAGAAAGATAAGGAGAAAGAGGGAGAGGAAAAAGAAGATAAAGGAGAGGATGAGAAGGGAGAAAGCGAAAAAAGAGAAGAAGGAGAAAAGAAGGAGGAGGAGAAAAAGGAGGAGGAAGAGAAGAAAGAAGAGCAGAAAAAAGAGGAGGAAGGAAAGAAGGAAGAAGCGAAAAAGGAGGAGGAAAAGAAGGAAGAGCAGAAGAAAGAGGAGGAAGAACAGAAAGAGGAAGTAACCTATGACCCGAAAGAACTGAAATTCACATTAGCTGGTGGTTCAGTAAAGTTTACCACCAAGAATGGTACTGGTAAACGACAGGCACTTAAGGTTTCTCTTATCAAATTCATTCCCTGTATGATAGTTGGAAGAGATAAAATTAATTTCCATTAAATTTTACATTTATTTTTTTAAGAAAGAAAAATTATAATTGCGAAAATAGGATGAAATAAGATATTTAAATATAGATTAAATGTTCGGATAACTTCCTATATCGAGTGAATCCAGTGTTTTCGTTTGTTGAGCCAGGCGCAGAACAGACCATCGAAGTGATAAGACAATCTGGTAATCCAAAAATTGATAAACTTGTGCTCATACATACACCGGTACGTTGAAATAACTTCAATTAGCATATCCTAAAGTGAAATTGCAAAAGTTTTAAATTTGAAATATCAGAAGTGTTATTTTAATTTTACCAAAATATATGCTATTCTATTTTATTTCCTTTTATAATTTATTCTCACAAAATGAGTTACATCCCAATAATTAATTTATATTTTGAATTGAGTATAATAAAAATTTTCATTTTGTAGTAAGATAAAAATGAACAATAATTATTATGATTACTAATGGAAATATTTTATCAATTTTTATATATATCTAATCGATTTTATACAATAATACATATATTTTTATAGAGTATTATTTATCACTATTTTTTTTTTTTCAGTTTCATTTAATTTAGCAACATTTGTTGATGGGATGAAGTTTTTGAAAAAGAATTTCAGGCTGAAGTAGGCGAAATAGATGCTCCAGCATTATTCAAGAAACCAATTACTTATACAAATTTTATAATTCCATTGCTGGTAACATGAAAAGAATTGCAACATTAATTATAAATCTGAAAATATTTTCATACTATACAGTTTGTCAACTTTGTCCAAAATTGTCATTGTGAATGAAATAAAAGTTCAAATAGATAGATATTCATTCTCTTATCTTTATTAGCTATCAATTTCTTATCATTATTCTCTCAGCTACAATCTAACCTTCTTTCTCACTTCATAATAATACTTGCAGTCTTATTTAAACAATATCTTTAAATATGTTAAATTTTAATTGTTTTGCATTGTTAGACGAAATTATCCAATTTTTCTTATTATCTCTCATATTTTTAGTTAAGAAAAGAAAAAAAAAAGAAAGAAGCAATAGTATGAAAGGGATTAATTCGTAAATGTTTGAACAGAAAAATATTAGAATAAATTTAACTTTTTAAAATCTCAGAAAAAATTTGAAAAAAAAAAAATTCTGTATTTGTTGACAATCTTTTTAAATTAGAAAAGACAATAGAATCTATGAAATTTTAAAAAAAAATTTAGGATTTCAAGAACTCATGATGATATGACCTTTATACACGTTAGTGTTGCTAATATTACGTTTACAAGTGCATAGAGAACAAAGATTGATAAGAGGTGAAGAAATAACATTCGGCAGACATGCATACACTAGAAGAGACATCCATAGTAAGACAGAAAGAAGACACATGTGAAGTAGTGGGAGTAATTACGTATTAATGCTGAGTTAGTGTCGTCTCTTTTTTTACGTGCTGGTTTTACGTACGTACGTGATCTCTCGTCAATATGTCAATCTCTATCATTTTGTTGTATATTTGTTGCAAAATTATTCAATAATTTCCATGTGTCTAGCTAAAATGTTTGCTTTTAGCAAGTTAATGCAAAAAATTGCTCATTAATTGATAGATAATATTTACTGAGAAGAAATTCAATTTATGCATTTTATATTATCTACGTATTGCATCTAAAGTTTCACGTAAAAACTTGAACCAATTACGCGTTTTTTGTAACGTGATCTCTCGTCGTAAGCAATTCACTACTTATTCCCATCTTCAGTAATTACACTTTACAGAGAGAGAAAGAGAGAGAGAGATATGGCTAATGAAAGTCCCAGGAATGTAACTGAGGATGAAATTATTTGTTCAAAGCTTGCTACTAAAGAATAGTAAGGTTTAAAATATTCTTTTTGTTCTTTCTTTAGAAAAGAAATGCAACTTTGCATTATTAACACTGTCTGTTAAATCAATTGTCAGTTTCTCATTACTATTGAAGTATGAAGTATTTAATAGCATGCTAAAAGTTAACATGAATTGAAAAAAAAAGAGGAGATCAGTTGGTTTCTTTTAATGTTAGGGAATGAATCATTTATTAGGATTAAGGTAATATTGCAGTTGGATTGAACATTACGAAAGAGAACTGAAAAATTTCGAAGAATTTGGAGATGAGGGTGAGATATGGTTTGGACATACTGCTGAAAATCGCTTGGTGAAGTACGTTAGCGGGAATGAACAGTTATCAAAATCATGCAAATTGATTGATTTTGGTTGTGGCAATGGTTCTTTATTGAGAGCACTGGTATGTATAGCTAAAGTTATAGCTGAAGTATTGCATTTCAGAGTAACCAGGTAATAGTTCTGTGCAAAAAAATGCAACTCAAGAAAATTGGAAAATGCATTACAAATAGAATTTCTTAAATTTTGACCATATGCGTTGCTCAAAATGCTTTAAGCTTGCCAAGCAAGTAGATTAATTTGTTTTGGTGTTTTATTATGAGAAAGAAAAAAACCAAAACTTTTAGTTAACTTCTGTACAAGTGTAGCCAAAACGAACTTCTATTAATTTATCATTTCCTTTGAGGAAGTTTGCACTGCTTTGCTAGACAGGGAGGGAGTATATATTATAGCTTGAGATAAATAGGCAAGATCAATAATGTCACCTCATCATTGAGGTGACATTATTAAAATAATGATTCAAGCCGAAGTCTAATCACTTACATTTTTTTTCCTATCTCTCCTATTGTAAACTACGTTTCTACATTCTTTTCATTGAAAATGTTCCTTTCTGCTTCCTTTTCATCTTCACATATAATAAAAGTTTTTCATTTGCAGTGACAGAAAGGACAGTTGCAGTTTGCAGACTAATTGGCTTGCTTTATAATTATTAGACCTATAATTATTAAATTTTATTGAAAATTTTTACATACCTGATGATAGAGATGGATTCTGTGTCATCCATATTTTTCTTCACTTCAGCGACAAGAAGGCTATTCTCATTTGTGTGGTGTTGATTATTCCGAAGAGGCAATATCATTAGCCAGGAAACTTGCAAACAAAAAATACGCAGGAAGTATTCAAATTGATTTTTGGGTAATACTTGATTTTTATCCATAATATCCATTATATCTTATATCCATAATATAATCAGTAAGACATTTCTAGTTTTAAATGTGACAGTCATTTTTAGGTAGTCGATCTACTGAGTGAAGATATTAATTTGGGGAAATTCGACGCAGTGCTTGACAAAGGCACTTGGGATGCGCTGTCACTCTCAGTCGATCGTGATTATCGTTTGAAAAAATACAAGGCAAATGTTTGCAGAACTCTGAGATCTTCTGGATTTTTCATCATTTGTTCATGTAATTTCTCGAGGTAGTGTCTTATTTATGGGAATTACTTAATACATAGAATTCATTAATCGCCATGAATCTTTTTGACAGACCTTAGTACAACCTTATCCTATTCTGGTGACTTTAGCAAATAAAGTTCGTTATTATAGAGCGTAAAGAGAAATTTGGATCTTTTAACTATATAGTTCAACAGTTTAAATTATTACCAACTTATACGACTTCATCTTTTTTTTCTTTTTTGAGTGAAGTATTTTCCCACTGTAGAATAATCTACATTACAGGGATGAACTGAAAAAGCAATTTGTTGGTGAAGAATTAGGTTTTCTCGAAGAAGTCCCATCTAAAAATATTTTTGAATTCGGTGGTCGAAAGGGTTCAACTACAACATGCATGGTATTTCAAAGACAGTAAATTCGACAAGAAAATAAGAAAATATGGTTTCCTTTTATGCATCTATTTAGGTAAATATATCAGAACCAGCTTAATGACATATTTTCTTGCTAACAGAGTTTTTACTTTGATGTCAAAATGCTCTCGTAATTGTTTATCACACTAAATTTATCACAAAGAAGTGAAAGGTTGAAGTATTACCAGTTTTGTGAAGTATTACATTTAAACGCTTTGGTGGGTTTATCGCATCGTGTCATTAAATTAAAAAGAAAAAGAAAGAGTTTTCAGTAAGGGCTGAAGTGGGTATAAGTGATAAGAGACTATTCAGGCAAGATGTGAAATGTCAGAAAAACTTAACAAAGATGTTCAGTAAAAACCAGAATATGGAACTTTCTAAAGATTTTTTTGAAGCTTTTGTGGAATCTTGCAGATTCGATAATGTAAAAGAAACCAAGTGTTTATAAAAGATACTGCACATGTACGGTTGGCACTGAACATCTTTTGATGATATACCATGCTTCTTCAATGTTAGTAAGTTCTATTTATATTTTAACTTTTTTTTTGTACCTATAAAGATGAACAGAGCGTTTAGCAGAATAAAAAATAAAAAAAAAAAAAAAATGAATTAGTCACTTGTCGGTAAACGGAAAATGATGCTCGTTTTGAGAGGAACAAATTGGATATGGAAGATTGGAATTATCTTAGTACCATCAAAAAATTCATTGATTGTCTTTCCAAGAACATAAGTTGAATGAATGCAAATATATTAACAAAAGTCAGAATAGGAAAATGGAAAATCACGGATTGGCAATATCAACTAAAATGTGGAAGTAAATTCAAAACAGCATAGATGCAATTGCAGTATCAAAACTCGGGATACGTGCGCTACTGACTGCGACCTGATAATCAACTACATTTGAGATCATACCAAAAACTCGAGAATTCTTCCGTTATTTTCAGACTATCCAATTTTATTTGTACCTACAAAAATATGCAAAGATAATTTGGGAAACTATTTTTTAGACAACTACATTAGTACTTTTTAAAAAGACTTTGAACAATAATGAATCCCAAAAATATTTAGAGGCAAAAATTTTAAAGAATTTATTGGACAAACGAACCATCCCAAGAACTGGAGGTTTGCTAAAAGGTCCATAATTGATAGCGTCCTTTACAGTGAAGATAAGCATGTGATTCTCGATATCGCTAAAGTGCAGATCAAATTCGAATCTGAAGAATTTAATGTTAAGAAATACAATGATGAAATTTGATTTGATTCACTACGAATCCCACCATATATTATAATGGAGAGATGTCTCAGTGTTTTAAGGCAAATAAAATGAAGCTTTGCATCTCAAACAAAGTCACTTTTCATTCGAAAATACTGCATCTATGCCAACTGCTGAAAACTGCGGGAAATAAATCCTTAGAAATGAATATCTGATCAGACTTACTGCACATTTCTCGAAGAGAATGATTTGAAGAAAAAAATGTGATTAATAGAAACTGACTCATTATCGAAAACCGGATCAAGAGATTTCTTAACAATTGCTGTTTTTCGTTTCTCACCGCCATACATATTGTCGGAAGGTGTTAGACGTACAGTTAGGTACGGATCTGCAGAACCTTGACTGTCAAGTGGATACAAGTCTCTGAAATATCATAGATATATGTATAGATGAAAGCTCAATAATTACAAATCCAATCGAGATGCACGGGAGAGTATTAGGAACATGATTATATGTTCCTTTGTTTTAAACGAATGTTCCAAGTAATTCGGGACACACCACATCAAAAAACTAATCAACAATCAATAAAAATATAACAAAAAGTGATACATAGAAATGGATTTATAACACATCTATTTTGTAATAAGTATTGTGAGTCAGTGCTACAGATTTAAAAGGTAATCTTTCCATATGAGATTTGTTTATACTTATTTGTTAGAGAATTTATAACATAAAAACAGTTTATAATTATTTGAAACTGAATAATACGCACATTATACGTATGACCCGAACTATCAGCTTGTTTGTTTCTTTCAGATGTTGAAGACCAAACTGCAAGCGACCACTTTCACCAGTGCTAAAAAAAGATATGGAGAAAATACAATATAGAAGTTTGCTGAAAAATTCAGAAAGTCAACATAAGTAATCGCTGTTTTCTAATATTGCTGAAATATATCTCAAAAAACCTACGGCTTTTCTTTGCTTTGCGTATGTTTTGTTAGAAACAGTTTTTCACCAAAAGTACGACGACGTCTATATGCACTTGTAGCTGAATCACTACTGTTTCTTCTTGTTTTCATCTTTTCGTTAATTGATAATTTCGAATCCAAAATTGATGTTTTACCCTCATTCGATTTCACCTCATATTCTGCGAAATTTCTACTTCGCTCATTACTTTTATCAGCTGCTACTAATTTTTCAGCTCTTTCAATGAACACTTCTAAAAAATATGACCGAAATATATAATCATTTTTGAACAGACAATAACTTAACTTGAACTAAAAAGAATAAATCCCATTACAGTACTATTTGTTGATCATTCGACTGAATTTTCTAAACCTTTTTGGAGTGCAAAAAATAAAAACTGTATACAAAGCAAAGTGAAAACAGGAGGGAACTACGATTCAAGTAACGAAAATAATCATTTAAAAATTTGCCACATGTAACGTATCTTTGCACTGATAAAAGTTAGTAACTGTAAAAATTCCTTCTCACATACACACATCAGATATGGAAAAAAATGGGATATGTTTTTAATTTAAATAAAATCTTACCATTACCATAAATTGCTTTTCCATTACCACCAGAAACAGAATTCCTTTTTTGTTGATCGGTAACCAAAGCCTATAAAAACAAATACAACAGGGTAATCCTAACCAGAAGTCTATATGTACCACAAATTTTTTTAGTCCTCAAAAAACGAAAAGCTCAGTTCAAAATATCCCTTAGATCGTATAATATATCTAAGAGAAGGATATTCGTTGAGTCCCTTCTAAGATAGTTTTAGAAGAAAAATACCTTACATTTCAATATGTTATGGAAAATCTAATAACCAAAGGTACGTAACATAACAGCCATATATTTACATTTTTTATCCTAATTAATTTACCCTGATGCGCGCTGTGATGACCATTGGACTCTGATGAACTCCTAGTGTTAATGGGAAGGTTTGTTCAAATAATTCCAAATTCGGTTCTAGCAAAATTGTCTTCAGCGGCAAAACGAATTCACCCAGAGAACGTTTTGTTGTATGATCGATAGCCTTGAAAATAGGAAAGAACAATAAAGATTGAAGATATTTCGTATCGATTAGAGCATCATAACAACTCTCTATGTATGGAAAACATATAATTTTGTGTTACTCTATTTTTCATAATTTTACCAAAGCACTTATTCTGAGAATTTCAGAGTATTTCTTCGCAACAATATCTTTAGTCACAGATTGGGAAAAGTACCATTTTAAAGTATTTGAAATGTTATTAGGTAGAATCATTAATTAAATGGTGTAAGTCAATTATGTCATACCTCAAATTTCACTTCTTGCCTTTCGGGATAACGAACAAAAAACAGAATCTTGATCTGGAATAATGGATTAACAGTTCTTATTTTCGTCGGCGTTTGTTGGAAATCTTTTCCAACACTTACCATAATATATGGCGACGGTTCCAATTTTGCTTTTGGATACTAAAAAATTGAAATAAAAAACTTGAAAATAGCTTGTTACAACGAAAAGAGTAGATTATCGAGGATGATTTGCTGGTCAAAGTGTTTACCAGTTATTTAAACTGAAAGAAATTTGGACTACATATCTGATTTCTGCCCAGATCTTCAACACAAGATGCAACTAATATACATGCCTAGCTAACCAAATTTTGAGAAACTGTAGCGAATCAGCGCCAATAGCATTTCCTTATCAACTTAAGATGAAACTAAATTTACCGGCAAATCAGATACACTGTCAATAAAGATCATAAGCAATGCTGAATGTACTGGTTTATCAGTATTGAACCAATAGCTTCCAAATTCCTGATAAGTAAAGTCTGCAGGCGAACATGATAAATTCATCCAAGCAGCCTAAAAATATACTCGAAAAGCACAATTTTATCAAAAATTAATACGTTATAATGTACCTGAAACAAATGAACCGTGGATACTTATTTATGTAAAATCTAACAGAATGAGCCAATTTAATTAATGAATATGATATGAGTTTTGTAAGGAAAGATCTACTTACTCATCCGACGATATTTTTTCATTATCGAACCCATCCTTAATGCATCATTCTTGTTCTAGGTATGTTATAGGTATACTATTTAAGAAAAAAAGTTAGAAAAAAACAAAGGTAAAACTGAGTTTAGCTATTGCAACTTCATCTAACATTAGTTAACAATCTACTAAAATGTTTAGAAAGCTTATGCATAATTTCTGAAATAAATAATACCTGGATGTGTATATCGCCATGCTTGCATGCATCTAATGGGAACCAGTCATCGAGACTTTTTTTTTCTTTGACATTAATTAGATCGATCGTCAATGTCCCTAATTCCTCATCACTACTCGCTTTATCATAATCAAATAATTCTATACGTAACTTTTGTCCATTAGCTTGATCAACAACAAATTCAAAATATTCATTCCAAACTGGATTCAAATTATTATCAATCGTTTTGGTTCTATAGAACTGGGAACCAACTGAAAATGTCCAGAGCAGATGAAAGAGATCCAATAAATTTAAATAAATATATCGTTAAAAGTTATGAGACAACTGAATTGTAAGATAAATGAACGGATCCTAAAAGGTTAGTTAAAAAATCTTTTTTTTAACCAATCACTTCCAAAAATATGGACTTATAGAGCTAACATAGCATAATGTATAGCAATTACCCCAAATCAAAAAAACACATTCTTAGGTTATAAAAATTACAACGATTTGTTTATAATTAAGAAATGATACCATGTATTTGGCAATATGGATCACTTGCCATACTCTTAGTGAATTTTATATCTCTATTTTCCAGATTCCTAGCTTCCACAATTTTCAAACGAAGTACACCATCAGGCTCTGGCAAATGCAACTTCGTAATATCGAAATTTGGAGCTAATGGAACAACTATTTCATTCGGAAGCACACATAAAGCCGAAACCTAGAAAATTTTTTGTATTCACTAAGATTTCACCAATTTTCTTCTGCAGCTGAGAGAAAAACGACAATGTTATGAGTAAAACAGAGAAAAAAAAAACTATGGGAATTTCGTAGTAGAAGTGAACAAATGTTGAAATCATCTACCTGAGAATCGATTATTGCACGAACTGCATTTAACAAACCAGGCAATTCCACAAATTCACCCATGCCGGTTAGATTAAAATCGATTTTCTGAAATCTGAAAGAATCAAAATACAAATTAAAATGCAAAAATTTTTACGAAGGAAGTTGATACATGGATGCACCATTGCATCATTAACATTGCGTTATTACAATAACTTCAAATTAACTTTGAAAAAAAAGAAAAACAATTTGCTCGTCTCAAATTTGTCGAACTCACCGGTTTTTCCAAAAAGAACCCGGAAATTCCGCCAACCATTGGCGGATATGGTAGTAATGGCTTCAAGATAGCTCTTAACTTTCCAGAAAACTGGAACAGATCATTTAATTATATCAAAATCACACAGCTAATAATGGTAATGAAGATTAATTGTTGCATTTTTTTAAACAGAATTTTTCTAACTGTTTTATTTTTCCACCATAACGGAAAATGTAACCAAATATTTTTTCTAATGTGTTTCAATCTCAAAAACGGTATAAAATACTCACCTGAAGTTGATTTAGACCACCAGTAAAACCAGCAATACTAACATCAAAGTCAGCGTCTCCAGCATAAGCGATATCCATATCAACAATAATACGATCTCGACCAACATTATGTGTATACACCTAACCAGAAAGAAAAGACAGAAATTAATTACTAATAAACATAAAACTTTCGAAACAATTGTCAAACATGTAAAATACGAGTTAATCTAACGAAAGGTCTATAAGATCCGACAACAAGACTTTACCATAAATCTTTCGATGTCTCTCAAAAAAGCAGGTTGTAATAAGAACAAATTTTTATGAAAATTTAAAAGAACTTATGACTGTTACCTTAATGCCACCGACACGACACGGAATATCACCCATATCCATTTTCGTGAATTTGAATGACTTGAAGATAGCTGGCAACTGCGATTTAACCTCAGGTTCGATATATTCACGCATGAAATACTTGGAATATTCCGTAATGTAGGGCCAAAGTTGCAATATAACCTAAAGAAATGCAATTTTCCTCAGTAAACTTTGACAGCATAAAATTAATAACAGTTAGCAGAAATCATACGGAGTTAACCAATATACATAAAGAATTAATGGAAAGCAGTATAGTTTACACACTATAAGCAACGCAACACTGTTTAATCGGAAACAAACTTTGTTAAGCCATTCCACTCGTTCAGTATCCGGAAATTGAACCCAAGCTGGAAGATCCTGAAGCTGTGCTAATATAACCTGCAAATGAACAAAAATATGCTTTGTAATTTTTAAACGATGCCACTACTGCCTAAATTTCATCTAATTTTTAAGAAAAATATGAACTTATATTGAATAAACAAGCATTATCTGAACAACTAAAACCAACCTCTCGTTCTCTTAGAGCGGCTTGTCTCAAACCCAGCAGTCGTTTCTCGCGTTGTCGCCACATATATGATTTTAAACCATTCAAAGTAACAAGAATCAAAATCCATCCAAACGAAAACTGATAATATCCAAGCAGAAAACAAGACTACAAAAGTCAGATCTAGTTTTAAAAAAATAGATTTAAAAAGAAAAAAAAAATTAATTCAACCATTTAATTAGTTAAATACCTTAAATATCTATGAAATGATAGAAATGAGCTAAAAAATTGTACACAGTATGATGACTAATAATAAATAACAAAAAAATGCTAGTGATTGTTTAATTTTATTCAGACATTAGATATCATTAAATATTTGACAGTTTGATGCTGGAGTTTTCATGCGACAAAAAATTGCATAAAAAATAGAGCCGAAATTTAAAACCATAAATTACAATTCAACTCGAAGCTGGAGAATCTAATATTTTGCACTGGCAATGCTTGTAGCACCTATGTTTTATGTAATTCAGTTAAGAATCTCAAAACTTTCCATATTTAATCAATCATTTACCTTTTTCACCAATAGTCTAACTTTGATTTAATTATATAATTTTCCTTAAAATTATTTAATAATTAAAAAACATAGGAATTCAAACAAGATCCTTCGTGTAAAACAATGCATTCGAATCATTACCAGTTCACCAAATAATATTAAATGATTAAAAAATTAACATTAATATTAAATTTTTTTATATTAAAATTTTCATTAACATAAAAATTAATATTAAATGATTAAAAATGAGATATTTTATAAATTTTTATACATTACATATACTGAAGTAGAGAAAATATACCCCCAAAATGATAAAACTGCCCATTACTGGTATCACATAATTTTGCCATGTCATTTTCACACTTTTGCATCAGCCTTTGAATCCTACAGTAGTAGCAATCTAAGAAATAATTCCAATACAATAATCTGAAATGAATGTATAAAAAGAACCAACCCATGTTAATTAATCGTTTATCCATTAACTTTAATTTCAATAAAAATCTTCTATTCTAATTAAGCAATTATGCTTCCAATCAATTATAACATTTTGATAACTATCATATACTTACGATAGCCATCTCCTAAAGAATTAAATTCTATCACTCCAATAAATACTGAAATTTCAATGAATCATACGAAGTGATTAGTCAGCAATTTTCCATTAATTAAATTCATCATTGTTTAGTACTTTTCGATATCTTCTCATGTCTTTTTATTATTATTTAGAGGAAAATTTTTATAAAAACTTTTACAAGAATAAACAGTGCACAGTGCAGCAAATAATTCCAACCGAGAAAAAAAAAAGCATTAGAACAAAATTTGACTAATAATTAAAAAAGCCAATAATATAAGAGTACGAGAATGTGTACATAACGAGCAGAATCGATGAGACTAATTTTAGTTGTCATCCCAATTAGCTAACTAACAACCAATAATTACACTTACATTCTTCTCTTACAGGTATCATTACTTTTTATTGTAATCATTAGATGAAGCATAACTGAATGCAAACATAAGCTTATAAAAGATGCCAATTTCAGTGAATGAACATATATGTATTTCTTTTCCACCAAAATAATTAGAGAAAAAGTGCAACAATGAACTATAATAGCTTAAATCTTTCTGTTAGTCTCCTGTTCAACTTGAAAAACACAATTATCCCATACAGCTGTTCTTTCACTGCTATATATCACTTTTCCGATGGACGGCTGTATAGTTGAATGTTTTTTTACACTTTCAAGACTACAAATTTAATATAAAAAAAAGCAGTCAAAAATCGTTTATTTGCCGTTGAAAAATCTTAACAAGATTTCAAATTATATTATAAATGTTTTGAAGTTTAACTAATTTATCTGAAAAACACCGAACAACATAGAAATTCTTAAAAAGGTCAAAAAAAAAAAATCTGAATTAAAATAATGGAATTAAAAAAATAAACAATGGAAAATGATTACTGTATGATGACAGTATTAAATATGCATCTATAAGAAAATAGTCCGAAATTTATAAACAATCAGGTACCTCTAACTGAATCCTCATACAATCAATCAATCATATAATAGATCCATAAACGAGAAAAAACTTTGAAAAACTCTTTCTACTACAACGAATTCCTTCCATAAGTCAAAATCACTGTCAAACACTACCAATAACATACATTATTAAAGTGTAAAAAAAGAATATCTATGAAATGAATTTAGCTTTCTTGGCCAACACCTCATTATCTGCTGCTAGTTCCTGGCAAGCAAGTTCCATCTTGTAATTTTTGGTGACCATTTGTACCCAGTTTTGCTCCAAATCCTTCAGTTTTAATCCCGCTTCCATCTGACTTTTCCGCCGTCTCGAATGAATTTCCATTACTTCTTCTCGAAGCTGAAGATTTCCCTAATTTTAAATCATGAAATAAAGTGAAGTAAAAGAAAAGTGAAAAATAAAGTGAAGAAAGGCCTAAATAAAAGTGTACGATTAAATTTATATATAGAAATTAGAGAAGAGCAAGTACATAAGTAAATAAACTAGTGAGCGAGATATGATAGATGTAAAAGACTAATAATCCATGCAAGCAAATTACTGAACAATTTTCAAAGCATTTAAAACATGAACAATAGCGCTAAAAACAAACGAGATTTATAAGAAACAAAAAAATGACATTTACGATCTCGGGAATGATTTAAGATTGATACCTTCCTTAGTTCTTTCTCTTCACAATGCAACATAGTCTCCAGTTCTTTATTGTATCGAAGATAAACAGGTGGCGCATGCTCATCCATCAGTTGCAAATTAATATTACGAAGTAATAAATGTTCATTCTGTGCAGCTGCATTACGAATAGCCTTAATCATTATTATCACTACCGATATTCAGAAGCTTAAAGAAATTGGAATAAAGATTAAAATTCAATTAAAAATTAGAAAGAAATTTCGTTGAAAACATACTTTTCTCCACGAAGTTTTATCACCCTGTCGTCCTGTTGTTGAGGGACATGATAATTCATATCGTGACATATCTAATTTTGGCATTTCCTAAAAAATCCCATTGCAGATGTAAATGATAGAATTACTACTTTCAGAAATCTACAAAAGTTAGGAGGGAAGAAGCAAATGAAGAGTTTTTAATTTCTTAAACCTAAATTCTTAACCAGACGCCTTTCTGTGATCGATCTTTCTGTCACTACTCTATTTGCTATCTGCAAAAATAAAGCATTCTAATATCTTATAAAGCTTAGATAAGTCAACTCTTCAAACTTCCTCATTAAACCCTCAATGCCATAATTTTACAAGAAAACGAAAAATGTAACTTACTTGCTTTTTCGACATTCTAATGTGTTCTTTGATCAGACAAGGGGTTAAAAACACGTCAAAATCAGGAGGTGACATGTTTTGCAGATAATTTTTAACTGGACGAAAAACCCGACATTCGTCTTCGATCATCTGCATTGCCATCTGTCGATCGGATTCTGTATAATCCGAATCAAGATACGGCAGAGCATCCACTAAAACTGCTGCATCTTCCGATCTGCTTACTGTAGCCGTAATACACGGCACTACAGCCATGGATGTAGATTCCATTTCTGGAAATAAAAACGTAATTTTATAAGTCTCGACAAACAATACGTCTGTCGTAGAAACATCCTTCTACACAGCAATTCTGAAACTTAAACTGCATAAGTCTATTTACAGTCAGTCCTCATTCAATATATTCATCATTATTTTGTACACATTATCGAATTTTTTGCTGATGCCATCCATATCATTCTTAGATCCGATCACAAATATATATATATTAAAGGAAATGATTAACCCTTCTCCTCTTGTATGCACAAAAATCAACAGAATCAATGTAATTAAAGCTCCTCTTATTCTTTTACCAATAATAATAAACGACAAAATATATAATAGAGAAAAAATAAAGATATCAGAGCTTTGAGACACAATTAGCTTTTTTTTTTTCTTACGAAGAAGACAATTAACAACATTCACAAGCACAAAGAAAGGGGTAATAAAGAGAAAATATTAAGCATAACCTAGGAAAAACGACTTTATTTTTTTAAAAAAAAACATCACTTCTTTTACATGTATTCAATTATAATACGACTTAAAATAAAACAAAAAAAATATTAGATATGAGCAAATAGTTCCCTTGATTGAGGGATTCATTAAAAAATAAAAAAAAATAAAAATAAAAAATATATGCAAAGGACGTGATAATGATAACGTACAAAACAAACATACTCTTCGCACAACGAGATGTAATGAAAAATTGGAAAAATAGAAGCAAATAACGACATTATATATCTGAAAAACTATATAATTATTTGCTACTTCTGAGAGAACTAATTATTTTGCTTAAGTCTTATACTGCTAAAAGTGTAGCTGATGAAAAGCAGCTGAAAGAAATACGAATTACTCATATTCTATCTACATCTTTATTAGGAAGGATTAACTGTAGAGTGCATCACCCATATTGAAAGAAATGGAAGCTATTAAACAGCTGAATATCACAAAGGGTTCTTATCTTTTTCTGTATTCCAAAAAAGGTTAGAACTAAAGTGGTTTGAACAAAAAACTGCGAAATTTAAGCATCAAACAAACAATAATTCAAATGTTCCGTTGAAACGGCGCTGAATACAATGGCATCATTGTGACATGGCTGCAAGAGATACTTAATGTTGATAACCTACAAATTCAGCAAGTACTACAAGAAACGTACTTTCTAAAATTCAAAACTTTTCACAAAATAATGTGAAAACATGTGAAATTTTGAAAAAAAAAAAAAAAAAGACATACTGCTCCGAGGGAGCTCGAGTGAATAACTGAGAACAAGCAGAACATATTCATCCGACAAATATATCAAACTTATATAATAAAAAACACATATTAAAATTAAACTTTAAAAATAGAAATAATACTAGAAATAGATTAAAAATCTAAAATCACCGGTTAATAGATACTGTACTCTGAAGCTTAGTACTGATGCAGATTCGACGAGAAAGGGAAGCAAGAAGAAAATTACATGGTATATTGCAAATAGTATTAGGGAGAGAAGCAAAGGCAAAAAAGAATGAAAGACCATTCCTTTCAGTTTAATAAAAGCAATACATGAAAAAGGAAGATAAACCAAAAATGATTCTAGTAATATTGATGCCGTATTTTTATAGCCCGTAGGAACCATAATAATTCAATTCGTCATCACCGTATAATCGAGAAATTATGCCCTCGATTGAATTATCTGCAAATTTGGTAACAAATTACTCCATTAACGATATTTTATATTGCATTAGGGCAAGATCATACTTGTAAAAGAAAACAAAACCATACGAAAGATTTGGTCAATGAAATACTAAAACCAGTAATGGTAAGAGTCCAAAAACTCCATTATTTGCACTCTTAATACACATAACCATACAGCCATGCTTCGAATTACTCCCTGTTCTCTCACTACTATATAATGCAACAATACAATATTAGAACATTCTCTAGCACTTTCTTAAAACTCTATAAAGTTTTCTTTCAAGTCCTTATGTATGATAATGAAGTGCAACCGTAGATTTCATTATGGAAAGGTTACAGCACTCATCTTCTTTTCATATTCCTCTTCAAAAGCTTTTTGTGTGGTTTTTTTCTTCAAACTTATTGATAAGACACTTCACATATTTACCACATAAAAATTGACTGACGTAGGACTATGATAATTTCAGCCAGTCACCAAAGAAGAAGTGCATAACAAATTTCATAACCGATAATTAATTAAATCAATTCTTCCAATTTCAGCGAAAACAGAGATTGGTTGCAAGAGAAAAAGCCGAGCCAAGAAAAAGAAGAGTAGTATGCATGCACAACGTATATATGTATAAAAAGAAGTGGAACTGAGGGGAATTTATAGTGATGTTTGTAAAATTGGCTGAAAATTTAATTATTTAACAGATCAAAAGTAGAGACAATGTAAGAGATTTTACTTTAAAAACGAGGCAATTATACTGTGAAGACCTGCAATGCATTGGTGCGACCGACATCTTCGACGACGAGAAGATCAGCAGCAGCTGAATTTTGCTCCTCAATAATAATCGGTTCATTATGTCCCGATGTTGGTTGTACCTGTACCTGATTTATATTAGAAGTATTCACTTTTGTAACAAAACCATCTTTTCGTGGAATTTTGCTAGGCGGTGGTTGTTGCACACCACCCATCTCATGATTTCCCTTTTTTCGTCCACTTCGTTGAATTGAATCGCGCTGTGATGAGACAATTATACCACTACTTTCACCATTCAACTGATTCACATCTTCTGAAGTTGATGGTACTGAGATCACTTCTATCACCTGCAATAAAAATTAACTCGTGGAAGAAATAAAAGTCCCACAATCTGTAACTTCTATGTTTCCACCTATATGAAATAAATTTGCTCAATAGATATGAGTAATAATATACTGAAAGTCCAATAAATCTTTCTGAACACAATAGAGAGACAACTGATTTATGCCTACGAATTTGACTGGTATACTTCATAAACATATGAAAATAGAACGGTTAGACAATACCCATTACTGATTATCTAATGAATTAACTTTACGTACTTGTTACAATTACTAAGAATAAGAAAATCTTTTATCTGTAAGAAAACCAAATAATCGGTCATCTTAAAATCTACAACCAAATTTATCTCTTATATTCTATTTACTTATCAAGATGAAATTCTTACAGGACTGTGTTTGTAAAGCAAAGCGTTCATACGCAGACGCTCCATAGCAACTCGTTCACGTTTTGAGCAAACAGTACGTCCCGCTTTTGTAAGCGTTGCAGACTTCTAAATAACTCATGAAACTGATATGAGGTAAACGAAATAACTATTCTAGATACAAACGAATCGAAAAGAAATAATTTAGTTTAGTGTCCTGAAAACAGCAGAAATGATCGTTCGCAATCAACCATTTGAACAAATACTTGGATGAAATTAACAATTGTAAATACACTTACCTCAACTTTCTCTGCATCTGATTGCAGCTTCTGTGTACAGTTAACACCATTTGGCTTCCAGTTACATTCACGCATCAATATTTCCTTTAAATCATAAAATAGACGTACAGAATTTTTGTCAACATAATAATGTTTATCACTAATAGAAGTTTTCTAGTGTTCATGAAAGCAATAGGCAACCCGTATCGTGAAGTTCTTTCAAAAGTTTCGGATACGGTTACATTTGGTATGAAGTGCAAAATACACTATATAGAATGATAGAATTGTTATGGAGATCATAAAATGTTCAATTGCGTTCTATAATTTGGAATACTGAAAAGATTTTTGCAAATTTCAAGAACATACTTCAGTTTTTTGTATATTTGGTGGCAATTTTTTGGGTAGCTGTGTACGAGAATACTCAATAACAACTGGCATCAAATAAATGTTGATCGCATTAGACATAGCATCTGAGTTTGGATTGAAATTTCGCAAATCAATGGAATTTCTATTAACGCTAAGTCGTAATTTCCGTTTAACATTGCTATCATAATCGCGCACTGGGAGCATTTCTGTCGTATAAGATCTGAAGTTTACAATTGAAATGTTACAATTGATTGAAACATTACATCTGCACATTGTGGAGTTATTGATCACATAGAAGCCTATTCAAATAAATGTTCTTTTATGGAAGAACTGAAAAGTAAAATTTACTTAAATCTGTCCAAAATGACTTGAGGATGATCGTGTTTCATGAGATAAAATTCAGAAACAATTTCTAACGCTGTAACTAAACCAACACCAGGAATCCCTTTTTGAGCATAATCACAACCAATCATGATTGTCATTGCGATAAGACAGGACCTAAAATGATTTTATGCTAAATTATATGCAATTCTTCGTCTCTTTTTCAAAAACTGCTTACCTTTAAACGCTTAAACGATTTACCTGCTCAAGCACAAGGTTTCATCCAAGTAATCCATGGAAAGATGGAGAATGTTGTTCTGTATCTTGCCACCAAAACCAAAGTCAACCTTAAAATGAAGCATAATTTTTAAAATAAATGAGGGCTTGTTTCCAATATATAATTTTGAAAATGACTTCTCCTCTCCACTAAAAATTTAAAAGATAAATTATACATATAGAAATACACAAAAAAATTATCTTTAACAGAGTGAGCGACATGACATAATTGACATGATTGCTTATAGACATACACAAACAGTCCAAGACTGATGAATCTAATTCTAAATTTGGCGAGCCTGTAACCCAACAACCCCATCAGGTACAACAGTGAAGCTAAAAAAAATAATATGAGAAAAAGTTTAAAAAATGCTTTGAAATGAAAAAAAATAAAAAGCCATCTTTGCCTGATAAAGATTATTGCCTCCAAAAAGAATATAATCAAAGTCTCTTGTGATGCAGCCATGTACCAAACCTCGTTGCTCGAGCTGTGCGCATTGTGCTTCACCTTCTAACTTACTTTCCATCCAGCGAACTCCCATCGAGTTTAACAACATCTTCAAATAATTTTACTTTTAATTTCTTGTTCCGAAATTTAGTATTGAAAAATCTCCGTTATCTCGAAATTAGCTGCAAAGCATCTCTTATTTGTGATAGGTAAACAAACCGAAAGGAAACAACCTTAAGTTAACCTTATATTGAAATTCACGACACAGTCAAAAAATTATGCTACTTATAATAGTTTACTACCAAATTTATCAATTATTTCAACCTGTTGATCAAAAACGCATCACTGTAACTTTCACCGCCTCTTAAAACTTCAACATACAAGTTTAGTTTTATTCTAAGATAAGAAATATTTCAATGACTTGCACAGAAATTTTTAATTTTCCACCTTGATTTCTTCAACTTTTGGCACCATTTCTTGTTTTAGCTCTGATGTCCAGTATTTGCTTCCACGCTTCCTAACTTTTCTCATCGAAGAAATCCCATAATCTATCTGAAATCGTTATAGATCTTAAAAATGAACGTAAAAGTGTCGTAGTCTTTCATCTACAAAAATAAAATTATGCTGTCGTACAAATAACAAATGGAAACAAACATTTGTCCGTTCTCCCTCATCAATTCCATCGAAAACAACAATAGGTTCAACACCTTCTTCCAATAAACTTCGACAACGTGTATAAAATGTACTTAAGTATGGTTTTCGAGTTGTTGAGCAATGTGCTACCGAGCCACGTAGTACCTCACATAGCCAAGTGTGGCCATCTAAAGTGAAAAATAGAAAATCTAAACCAATCAATTGAAAAATCGATTAATCCTTTTCATTTTTCTTCTCTTACTAAGATTCCCTTCATCTTCATTTTCGGTACTTGTTTAGTTATAGACAAATATCCAGAAATTTCTCATCTCTACATTTAAATATCTATCTGTAGCTAAGCGATTATTTAGCAACGTATTGGTCATTCAAAATATAAACAAAAGAGACGATAACATCTTCAATTTTATGCATAATACTTATAAGTTAACAATGGTTAATTATAATATATTTCGTGTCAGTTAAATGAGCTTGCATGATTAAACTATAGATGTGGTACTGAAATCCTGTCCTGAACTTCTTTAACTGTTCTTTGGAAAATATATATAATTAACCAATAGCAATTCGTTTGTTTCGTAATACAGATATGTTCACAGGTTGTACAAACTTTTGCACATATTCCCACATGCTTGTGACGCCCATTGTTTTTTGAAGATTACAATTAAAATCCTGAAATCAAACTTGAAACTAAACTTAATGAAAAGTCATAGAGCTTTCAGCCTCGTGAATAAGAGCGAAAGAAGTAATGGATGATAATCCTAGTATTTCATTAAACTGGTGCCATAAATATCGCACTGTTCTATTTTGTCCTTATTTTTTTTTTTTTTTTTTTTGAGTTTATTTTTGTGAGATGTGCCAGTTTTAGACAACAGGTAAGCACATAATGCAGAAAAGGAAGATTACTCAGACAAAGACTTGAGGATATAAAATTATGTGCGAGAAATTCATAGTTTGCATTGAAAATGGTGATTTAGCTCTTCTGATCATATCATAAATTGGTTAAAAACATTGGAATGTATGCCTTATTAGATGTATGCCATTAAGACTGCACATAATAAGGTAAATATGTGTACCTTCCAGATATAAGTGCACGTAAGTGAAGAGAGCTATACACGACCGTAAACGATTTAACGTAAGTCCAGTGCCATAAGTGACCGTATAAGAGTTAATGTAAGTCGCAGATAATCCCGTATAGCCATAAACGAAATGCGTTAAAAAGTAGAAAAAACCCTTGATTTCCAGTACAACATTTCAGAGGAACGTTCAACGATCTAGAAATATAGCAAACCAAGGTTCTATTGTTAAAATCTGCTTTTAATTGAATGTATTATGAATACATCTGCAACACAACACATGCACTTATTGAAGAAATGAAATTTCCAGTCAAGAGAAGTCTCGACTAGCGAAACTTAGACTATCTTTCTGAACAGTGAACTAACAAGTTCCTGAGTTCATCTGAATCGTCCGAAAATATCACTATTTGATGAATGAAAGTTGTTGCTGTTATAGTCAGCTGCTTTTAAATTCACATTTTATCGTTTGAAGTACCATATGTGCCATTTCTGTCCTTAGAACTGAACCTTGAATAAACCAAAAGCGGTTAGCTACCCTTTAAAGTTAAGCAACTTATATATGTATCATTTATATGCAAATTTTACACGCCTCTATACCGTCAAGTATGAAGCGCGTCTGTTGATCTACTTATCAGTCATTTGCTGATTAACCATTGATCGTTGACCTACCCGATGAGACTGATCCTTGTTGCAATTCGATTTTTTTACCCGTTTAAATTCCTCACCAATGCCTAATTTTACAGTGGTTCCTTCAATGACCAGTGAAAATCCTTGATTTTACAACATGTTAACGAGTGGTACTTTCGAGGCAATTGCAGTTTAAAAATTTTTCTTAACTACAAAAGAAGATACTTCCGACCACTTTTCCATTCTGTGATAATTAGAACCTACGTGATAATAAGTGAAAAATAAGCAATAGCGAACTGCCAGAGTCGTCAGATAAAAAAGGAAATGGAAGGCCTTAACAGTGATATAAATTAAGCCTAATGCTGAAAGAAATTTCCATCGGAATCGATAATGCGACCGAACAGGTGAGAAGTACCATCGATTCACCTGAATCGTCAGGTATATGTGAGGAAGAAAATGAAATATGCAAATATGTTTGCTTAAAAAATTTTCTTCTCGATATGAATAAAAAAAATATGGATGAAGTTGTATTATACCACACTGGAAAACATCCGTCCAAAATTTAGCTGACTAAACTGAAAAATCAATGATTGGTGATTTTTATATAAATTAAATCCTACCTTTTACTTCATTGTTAAAAAAGTCAAAACATAAATAAGGATTCATTTTACTATATAATCAATAAACTATGAATTAAGGAAATGGAATAACACTTATCTGAAAAAATATCATACATTGCTATTCTGAATTTAATCAAATATACCTAAAATAAATTTCTTTCAAGTAGTAAATCTTCAATTCTCCCTATTCATATTCCTCTTTTAAAAAAGGAAACCGATTAAATCAATATAAATCCTCGAATTTTGTGAGTTTGTTAAATGCAAGGATGACAAATGCTTAAGTGATCTGAAAAAATGTCCAAAATCTGACCTTTTTTTTTTTGTTTTAAATGTGAGACAGTGATACCCTAATAATAGATTTAAACTATCTTCTCTCCCTTTCTCTCTCTCTCAGAGATATTATATGATAATTCATCATTTTTTTAGTCTATTAATTTTCTCTTATCACATAACGTTTAATATCAGTAAGACTTACTTTAACTCAGATTAATACAATCCTATCAAACCTTCCTAATAATTCACAAATACTTAATAGCAATTTTGTCAAATGTGTGAAACATCAAGTAACGAAATAGCCTTATGGTTATTTGTTTGTCAAATGGTAAAATTCAACTAAGCGGTGATTGCATTGTTAATGAAAATTGAATAAATAAAGATGAAGATTGAAGGATTGGATTATGATCTGTAAATTGGATTGAATTGAAATCAAAATGAGTTAGGATAAATTAAATTGAGCTAAATTGAATCAGATCAAATTTAGGCTAGTTTGAAATGAGCTGAATTGAAATGCATCAATTTAATTGAATTAAATTTTAAATTAATGCAAATAGAATTGAATTGAACTAAAATAATCAAATCGATTGAGCAAAAAATTACAATTTGCTCTGCTTTTTTTCTCTTTCTCTTTTTCTTTTTAAAAGCATGACCTAAATGAATTAGTTGTATATTTCAAGAACTTCATTTATTTAATAGTAATAGTAATAGCAAGAGACGTGAGTATTATGCTTATTTAGCTATAGAAATATTATACTTAACTATAAATTCAATTTCAATTTCCAATAAATTTAATTTCCTATAGTGATTGACACCATTTATATTAATGTTGTGTGTTTTTTTTGGATAATGAACATCATACTTCTCATATTAATTAATTGTTATATGATGCTAAAAAATGCTAAGCTTAAATTTATAACTGTTCAAAGGTACTATGGATAAGTGATAAAAATATTAGTTACAAATAATATTAGTAAATACTTTACTCAGTCTTTCCAGGCCTTTATATGACATTGATTTGATCAAATACCTCGCGAGCATATACAATCAATGATCAGTGGAAAAGAAGGCAGAATACAGAAGAAATATATTGGATTTATTTTTTTCTTCTGCATGTAAAATAACAGTGAAGGTAGAGGATTGGTAGAGGTTAGAGGTCACATCGATATATCCCTTTCATTCATAAAGTTTTGTCGTTCATTATTGGTATTCAAAAAAAAAAAAAAGAAGTTTCATATCTAAGGTGTTCACAATATGATTGATCAGCTGATTGTTTATATGACAATATTTGTGATAGCAATTAATAGTTTTCCTGGCGATGGTTGGATGCGACCGATGGAGAAAGACATAAATCCCAGTAAGTATTTTTGATAATAAATCGCAGTAAGTACTTTTGGTATTTTTCTTTTCATCAATAGTATTAGTATTAATTATTTTCGAGAATGATTTTTCAGTTAGATCAACTGTATCTGAAAGTTTATTACTGAAAAGAAGTGATAAATGAATGAGAGATATTCGAAGGATTGGAAAGATTTCTAAAAAAAAATAAGACAAATGAAATTGATGATTAGTTGATAATTTATCTGAGCTGTTTCCTATCCGATCTAACTAGTTCTGGTTGAGGTTAAAGGTTGTCAATTTTTCCAGATTGCTGGAAATGTGAACCATCACCTGAAGAGCTAGATGAATGTGATAAAAATTTACTAACTAATGGAAGGAAATGCGGTATACTTCAGTCAAGATTCGTTGAACGTGGTAATCATTGTATTGTTGAGATATTGAATTGTCATTCAAAAATTAGTAATGTATATCAGAGTGAAGCAAGCTTTATTGTTGCTCGTGGCCGTTTAATTGATTCAACAGATAATAATAATACGTAAGCCATTTGAAATTTATTAGCAACAACTAAAAGATTAATAGAAGAAAATTTTAGATTGAAAATTTTGATCATTTAAAAATGATACATAATATATCAGATATCAGATAATTATCAGTTTTTCATTTTACAGTGATATGTGAATCTTTTTTTCTTAGTTAGTGATAATATGATATTATCATTAAGTAAGAAAATCGTTATCATTAGATAATGATAATGATTAATTATAGCTCATTGCGTTACTTTCCATTGAATAATCCAGTGGAAATGAGAGAAGTAATAATAACATGTACTCTAAATGGTATATGGCAAGCAGTATTATCAAATACTGATAATCAAGTAGAGGTGTACGAAGTGCAATGTATCACATCCGATCATCAAACAATGAATCATATCGCTGCGCACAATAATGAAATTTATCGTTGACATTGATAAAATAAGAGAAGATAATTCGTATTCTTTCATTTCAATTAATTAACAAATTAAAATAGTACTATCATTGCATTTCTTAAAAAATAAGCTTTTAGATAATTTGTCACATTAACCCTAAATAGTATAAATCCTAAAATTTAAGCTTCAGTTAAATAGAATAAATGTATTCTCTCTATTGCAACAAACGATAGATGTATTGAATTATAACAAAATTTTCCACATGAATAAGTGTAGATTTTGTACATGAAAAACTAGACATTCTTCTAAATAAAACTCTAAATCATTTTTTTTCTTTTTCTTTCTTTTTTTTTGGAGCAAAATTTATAAGACTTGGCTTATTGGGGGGAAATAGGATAATGCGTTCTATATTATATGAATCGATGATAACAAAAATGGAAAACTACGAATTCAACTGCAAATTTCTTTTTTTTTTTTTTTTCACTTTTTATTACATATATGAAATATTTAAATGTTAGATAGATTATTTAAATATAAGAATGATTTTGAGATTAAATGCTATTACCTTTTCCCCATTTCTGTTTAAAGTCAAAGCCGAAATAACTGCGTGTTTAGTATTATTCTTAAACTAGCCAAAAATGAGAGGAAAAATAGGAAAGCAAAATTTTTGAGAAGAAACATTCAACAGACCATTAATTATTATGAAATGGTAATAATTTTTGTCAAAAATTTTTATCATTTCGTTTAGTGCCGAGAATGTTGTTGCGTTTTATTTCTTTTCAAAAAATTTAATTTATAAATTTGGTGAAAGTATTTTAAAATATTCGTGCGTCCAACACTTTTTATTAATGAAAATTAATTTTAGCACTTTTCCACAACACTATTGAATATCGAATTTTATGTATTATAATTTAAGGATGAATTATAATTTAAGTTATTGGAATTCGTAATTTACAATATTTAAATAAAAATTAATGAACATTTAATTTCGACGCCTAATCCAATATCCATATAATCGTTCATTTTATTTTCATTTATATATTCAAATGTTTGAAACTGATTTATTAGTTATAATCGATTCACTGATAGAGCATTTAAAATTATATTTAATTTTTTTTGACTTGAATGTTGTTTATACTGCGAAGCAAGAAATATTGTAAATTTCTTGCCATAGCAAAAATTTCATATTATTTCTTACAATTTTCATTTCTTTGTAATATTTATTATTCATTATAACAATACTTTCTATTAAAATAAATATTAAAAATGCTTTCTGTTAAAATTATCCCGCTTACCTTTATTATTTGCTTTAATTCCAAAACTTTTGAGTAATAAATTTGTAAGTTTTGTTGCATAAAACGTTTCCAATAAAATTTTACTTAATTTAACTGGAAATTGATGCAAAAATTAATTTGTCATATTATGACTGATGAAATTATTATAAGTGATAATTCTGATGCTTTTTGATATATTTTAAATTTGGATGATTTGATAAACAAATAGTCAAATAATACCTGAATAAGCCAAATAACCATTAATCTATTTTTGATCTGTTTCAATTAAAATATGAAAATCGACAAAATGTCTACTATACAAACTTACAATATGATATAGGAATTGATAAGTGATAAGGGCGAATATAAATAAGGCTTGCATTAATAATAATGAATACAAAAATTTTGTATGTTTTTGCAGGTGGAGGTAATTATTAAAAATGCTTTCTAGTGAGAGTAATTTTTTTGAAATTTTAATTCAATGTTTTGCTTTGTTTTTTTTTTTTTTTTTTTTAAAGGATATTTTATGATCCGATGGAATAATTTTATTTATTTTTTTGATTGTACTGAAATTATGTTATCCTGAACAGAAATGCATAACAACATTAATGATTTTTGCTCAAATTTTGAAAAAAAAAAAAAATTAACAAATTTTAATTTAATCAGAACAAGCTTATTTATTCTTACAACAATTGCTACACTGTGCTGATTTTGTTTCTGCAGTTATGAAATGAACATGTGAATTGATTAAATCTTCCGGTTTCTCATCTGCATATTCCGTATGAGTCCTGAAATGATATGAGAAGAATCAATTCATTACATTTAACACTTTTTGTTTTCACGAAAAAAAAAAGTTTAAGACACAGATTTGTTTGAACTAATTATTATTATTATTTATCAACAAGTGAAAAGTTATGCAATATAATATCAATAAATTAAATTTCAGTGAAAAAAAAAAAAAAAAAAAACTCTCTATTTCAAAGATTGCTATAAGAATTTCAATATTTCTATTGTTTAATATATTTCTATGTAATTTCTTTTAATATTTCTATTACAAATATTAATTTGCAAAAATTTAAAATTTTAAACTATATGAAATTAATGAAATTCTTCATGCAGAATGGAAGCAATATGATTTTTTTATTTCTTAAATCCAATCATTTTATTAACTAATCAATAATTATATTATCTACTTCATATACATTTCTACTATAAATCTACCTGAGATGTGATCGAATACCTCGTTGAGAATAACCTTTATAACCACAAATTTGACAAAGATAAGCTTGAATTGCAGCATGATTTACCCGAATATGTTGAGCTAATTGACTAGCACTTACTGGTAAAAAGTCACATTGTTGACAGTGATATGCTATCTAAAATAATCTAATTATTATCAGTACAACTGATAGATAAAAAACAAAAATAAACATTGATAAATATGATAAAATTAGAAAAAATGAAGCATAAGTTACTTTTTTTTGTGGTTCTCGAAATGGCGCTATTTGATTAGCATTGTTGTGACAATAATATTTCTTATGTCCATTTAATGTTATTTCACTGCTAAATGATACACCACAATCACATCGATATTTCTTATCTGATTCAGATGGTATTAATTTACCCTGCAATTTTTACTTTTATTTTTTATAGGTAACCAAAAAGAGAGAGAGAAAGAGAGAGAGAGAGAGAGAGAGAAAAAAAAGGTATAAAACTTACATTTGTAGAATTATCTTCCTCAGTGCTATCACAATTACTGCTACTACTATGAGCATTTTGTTGAAATTGTTTAATTCGTACAGTTAAATCTAAAGGTTTTAATTCGCTCGACGATTTGCGCCTTTTTCTTATACCATTTGATAATGTTTCTTTCCTTAATACTATTACAAATATATTTTGCATTATTAAATTGATAACTAAACAAGGATAAATAATAAAACTATTTGAAAATTATCACTATTACATAATATTTAATCAATGTGATAAATTGATTATTTTTGTATCACATTAATAATATCACAAATATAATCATTTCATAATTAATTCTTTGAATTATTTCATACTTTTATTAGTATCACTTTGTAAATTTGTTAACATTTTAATGCAATTAATAATTGCATTTATTTAATTGTCGAAGAGATATGTCCAGTAAATGACCAAAATGAATTGACCATAATAAAATATTCAAGATGATACTATATTAAGCACAAGTGTTTTCTTTTTTCTTTTTTTTTTGGAGAGAAATAGATGAAAGGAATACATTGAACTTATTTATTTATTTTTTTATTATATTTAAAAAAAAAATAATTAATATATTATTTTTTAATGTATATTTTGACGCATACCTTTTCTTATAATTTTTGGGGAAAAAAGTATTAGATGTTGATGCAGAACTGTAAGTATTTCGTGGGTAGGACTGTTGTTGCATGGTGGTGACATTTAGGTGACATCGTGTCTCACCAAAACAAATTTGATTTGGAATTGTAATATTACGAGCCATGAATTCATCGATAAACAAACATGGTTTAAGAATATTTTGGGCATGAGGATGTATAGCTACCGGAATTAACACCTGTGGGTAACCCAATACCTGTAATAGTTTTTATTTAGTAATTAAATTAAATCTTCTATTACTCATAGTAACTCTGCTGAGCTATTTATTCAAAATAATTGATTTTAATATTCATCACAAAAACATCAAAATAAAACTCTCTTTCTCTCTCTCTCCTCCTCTCTCATTTCCTTTAATGATGAAATTAAAATAATAATCAAAATTTTTTTAAAAAAAAAAAATTATCTTAAAATAGTAAGCTCTTAAAGCAGTAATGAAATGTAAAAAAATAAATTGGCAAATTTACATTTTTTTTTTTCTGACATAATTCAGCTTTTCAGATTGCATATGCCCATAATTGAAAAATATTTAATTAATCATTTTAGAGACGATTATTCATTCATCTTTCTGCTTTAAATTAATCATTTCAATTTTATTAAATCTGCTTGAGATGCTTAATTAATTCTTTATAATTAAAATATTATTTGCAATGCAGTTTGCTGATGATAATTTCAATTAAATTATTCCATTCATACAACTATTTCGTCTAATTTACTGTTAATATCATTTTTATGATTTTATCAGAAATATTCAAGCAGTGTGATTATTTTAATGAAATGCAAAATTTTATTCATTTGCTGTATTTCTGTTCAGAAATTTTCACAAATTTCTTTTAACTTCAACTGATTCCTCTTATCTTATCAAAGTTATAACTCATTCATTTCACTTAAAAAGAAGTTATTACTATTAGTAATTAGTAATAAGTCATTCAATGCAAAACCATTCTGACTAATCAATAGTACGACAGTTGCGCTCTCTCAGGTCCATCATTTTTTAATTTGCATTAACTGTAAAAACATTTCATCTAAGTTCATCTATACTTTAGATTATTGTTAATTGAAAATGATAAACTGTTTGGTGCTGTTCCGTTCTTCCGGATAGAAACATATGTGTGTGTAGGAAGAATTTAAAAAAAAGAATGTTCCGCATGCAATAACTTTTTTTTGAAATGTTAAATAACACTTATGAAGTTGATTGAGGTTAGCAATCAAATCAAGAGCTAAAAATTGAAAAGCAAAATAAAAAGAAAAGCAAAATTATTAATTACAAGAAATATTTTAAGGAAAATAAGTTAAACAGAAAGAGATGAAATGATTGAATGTATTTAAGTATTACGTCTACTATAAATAATCAATTATTGATAATTAAACCTGAACACTGTTAACGGAATGGTTATGGAATGCAACAGGAAGATATAATGTATGCATTGGATTGATCCATTGATCGGTAAACATTTCTTTTCGATAAGTATCGAATGATAAATTGTTACTATCAATGGAAGTTGATAAGGATGATGTTGAAGATGCTAGAAAGAAAATTGTTTGAATAAAAATAAAATTTCAAGAAAAAATTTTATTCTAAAAAGCATAATTATCAATTTCTGAGTTTATTGAAAAGGTAATTACCTGTAGATGGTGATAATCGCTGGATTGAATCAGTATTCTGCTTTTGCAAATATTGTTCACATTTTAATAAACATGCACTATCACACTCTTCTTCACCGTTTTTTCGATCCTAAAATGTAAAATTAAAAAAAAAAAAAGCAGTAAAATTAAAATACTATTCAAAAACTTTTTAATTTATAAAATATTTGTAGCAAATGTGATAGTGAGAAATCATTATTAATGATTGTGTGCTGATTTCATTCAACATCCTTTTTCTTTTCTTTTTCGATTAAAATAATTTCAATTTGTTCGAAGTTTTCATTGTTATGTTTAGTAGATAGATAGGTAATGTTTCCGTTTTATAAAATACAATTTGATAAAATTAAAAATGAAAAATATTTAATGATTGAGAGAACATTGTCTATCAAAAAATGACCTTCAAAGATTTATATGCTGTTGTATCGTTAAAGATTGCGGATTGTCGCATGTCATTGATTTTCTTTTTTGTGTAATTTAATTTACAAAAAATTTAGTTCAAAGGAAATGATTTCTAAATTGGTTGATGTTAGGAATGAAATTAATCTGCCATAATTGTAATATGATATTTTTAAAAATTGAAATAAAGAATTAAAAATATTCAAAAATATAAATTTAAAAAAAAAAAAGTGTTTTATTTTTTTTATTCGATAATATATAAAATAGCATAAATGCATAAATATAAGCTATTACTTACTTCTTTCAGTATTATTGTATCATTACTGATCGTTTCATTATCAGTGATTGTATTATTATCATAATCCGGAATAGATGTTACGGTATCCATACCGATATTAGAATGACGAGATGGAGTACATTGTTTCCGTCGTGATTTTCTCGTATCATTTATATCACACATTTCTTTTTTTTTTTTTTAACAAGCAATTTGATGATAATCTTATTGCTCCAAATAATTTAAACTTTTTTTTTTTTTTCTGTCACCTGAATTATTCAAAACCTGAATTGAATAATTTATTAAAACATATCCCATGCTTATTCATTAATTACATTTACCTTTGTCTCTGTGTGTACGTATACTTAGTTGCATGTGTTACTTAGCTATCAAAGATTAGCTTAATGATAAGATATAAATCAATTGTAAACATATCAGTACAAGAATGAAAGGAAAATATTTGAATAAAATAAAATAAAAAAGAAAGAAATACTTACTTATAAATTTGAGGTATACTTTGAACAATAATAGCGATAAGTAATGAAAAGTGTAATAATGTCAAAAATGATTAATAATAACAATACCAATACCAATAATAGTAATAATAGCTAAGCCTGAGAGTTGCACTCATTATGGTAGAATGGAATAAAAATTGTTTTTATGTTGGTTTCATAAACATAGATAAGAAGAAATGATGAGAGGAAGTGTTACTTAAATGGAAGAAAATTGAGAGATAGAAATGAGGGAAAAAAAAAAGGAGAAGGAAAAGGAAAAGGAAAAATGATTGAAAAGAAGCGATAAGCAAAAAGGCATCTTTCCTCTCATCAGCTAACATTTATTTGAAATTCCATAAAAATAAAAGCAAGCAAACGGGACTAAACTGGATGGATGGATCCAAAGGAAGAAAAGAGGAACAGAAAAGCATCAGCACAAAATTCATCTCTCTCTCTCCCTCTCTCCCTCTCTCTCTCTCTTATTAATCTAATGCAAAGGAAAAGCTAAGTCATACTCTCTTATCTGATTAAAATCACATCCGCTATTCCTTATCTTTACTAAGCTATCATATCAATTCAATCTCTCATATCATCCTTTATTCATCTTCTCTTTTCTGCATTTATCATTCATTCATTCTCGACAACATTCTCGACAATACTCTTTTGCTCAATATAATGTCAAATTCTAATTTAATGTTCTCATTTATCATAATAATCTATGGTTTTAATTAAGCCATAGTGGGATAATTTTACAGATAATGGAACCACTGCTATATATACATACATATTTCATTGAAAGAAATAAATCTTAAAATATTTCATTCAAAATAAAACAAACTAAAAGTTTTTTTTTTTTTCTAGCAATTATCAACTTATCAAAAAAAAAAAAATAGTTTATTTCTTGCAGAATTGCAAAAAATAAATGTTCCAAGCATCAAATCATTCAACTGTTAGTGATAACACTATTGTTGTTTACAAAAAAAAGAAAAGGAAAATGATTAGGTAAAAAAATACCTGGAAAATCTATTTTTATATTCCCTTATTTATTCTAAGATATCAATTTGTGATAATCTTAGTGATATTCAGGAATAATCCATAATACCAATTAAAATAGATCTTTGATCTCTTTCAAAAATACATATCTATATCTTAGAATTATCATTTATTGATTGAATTATCAATAGGATTCAGTAAAATATTTATGCTTTATCACCTTTAAATCGAATCTCATTTTAATTCATATTTAATGACAACTGATAAATAACATTTTTGATATTTGTCCCAGTAAATAAATAAATAAAATAAACTAATAAGATAGAAATAAAAAAAGAGGAAGAAAAAAATACGAAAGAGAGAGGGAGAGAGAGGGAGAGAGAGAGGGAGAGAGAGAGGGAGAGAGAGAGGGAGAGAGAAAGGGAGAGAGAAATGATATGTAAAATAAAAAGTACTAATACTAGAAATGGTTGGCAAAGGAAAGGCACATTGTGATACATCGAAATTTATTGACAATATGTATTTTGTCCTGATATTGGTGGTTGTAATGGTGATGAGATGATTGTTGTCGACTTGTTTGTTTGATATGTTATCAGTAAACCACATCTTTCAAAGATATCAATCTTCTTTTTTTTTTTTTTTTTTAAAACAAAGATGTCTGAGAGATATAATTTGAAGAAAAAATAGAAAAGTAATATTATTATAATATTATTTTATCATATCTCTAATTTATAATTCTATTAATTAACATTAAATAATTTATCTCATACATATATTAAATGATAATTTTTTTTTTTTTTTCAATATTAATAAAATGAATTAAATAAGAAATTCAATTTTGTAATGTTCATACATTGTTGTGTTACTAAAAAAAAAAAAAAATACTAAAACATTTTATAGCATCGCTGTAATAAAATTGTATTTCATGCGTTTATGGTTTTCTTTTTCTTTTTTCTTTTTTAGCAGAAATAAATTTCTTTGTCTATCATATGACATTTTATAATCATTTATTCATTTTATTTTTTATCACAAGAAAAAAAAATTTTTTTTTTTTCGTCATCACTGACATTAAATAATTAAATATGGAATGAAAATTTGAAAAAGAAAATTAACAATTAAAAATGAACATGGATAGATTATTATATCTTCTAATCTATACAATATTTCAACTTAAAGAAACCTAAAAATTATTATTATTACAGATAACATTTAAAATTATAAATATTATTTCCTTTTAATTTATTCCTAAATGAAATTTTTCAATGCAATGAATGAAAAGAAAACTTTCAGTCAAATAAGTAAGCAAAAAAGTTGATTTAATCTATTAATCGCAGTCATTAATTTATCAAAGTTATAATATTACTATTTTTTTTGTTCTTTTCAAGAAAATATCATTGTTGTAACTTTATATTAATAGTTAAAAAAATTTTTTTTAAAAATATCTAAATATCTTTATAATATTAAAATAAATTAATTTAATTCAATACTGTTATGACAGAGTAATATTTACGTAATAAGTGAAAGTCAATTGCTTACGCTTACTTTTTAAGCGTCCGTTTACCTAATTAAGTCTTTTATTTCTCCGCAAATAATTACTTCAACTATGATATATAATTATAAGCATACATACACATACACATACACATACATACACACACATACATACACGAAATGTACACTGCATGGTAGTGATATTACTCAATTTTAGACCAATTACTGATTCATTTGTTGTTGTGGGCACTTTTTGCATGAAGCAATTCAATTTCATTTAATCTCCTGGACAGGTAACCTAGGTGACAAGAGACAATTATCAGCAAGAATACACCCAACCACACACATACACACATACACACACACACATACACATACAGACACATATATATATATGTACAGATTCACCACTTATATTAATATATTCAGATGGATTTAAAGAGCATAGCAGCGGCGGAAATGACTGCTCCATAAAAGGCGAAAGCTGATTTTAGTAAGTTATATTTTTTTTTTTTTTAAGTATAACTTTGAGTTTGTCTTTTGAATTTCAAATCTTTGAATTAGATTCATTAGCTTTTGTAAATTGAATGATGGAATGTGCTTATGAATAAGATTTAAATAATTTGATAAATTTGATAAATAATGCTTGAAAGTATGAATCTGAAGATATGTTAGATATAATTGTAGTTATGCTAGAAGATCATATGATTCTTAATTGATAGGGTTTAATTAATATCTTTTCGCATATTTTACACCGAGATTTCTCATTCATTCATTCATCATTTCTAATCATTATGAGAAAATTGATTATCATTACTACAATTTATTTCATTCTATTTCTCATGAAAAGAAAAAAAAGGGGAACCAAAGAATTAATTAGAATAAAATGATTCTTTCTTAGACTTATAATATATTGTGAATATTTGATTTTCAAAGAATTTTAAACATTTTAATTTTATCGTTCTAACTTTACACTTAGAACAATAATTTATCATTCCACTCTATCTTCTTCCTCCATTCATATTATTTTGCAGAGAAAATTCTCAGTTTAAGAAAAATTTTAATGCAAATCGATTTTTCTATGCTTCACAAGAAAAGTGCAAAAAGTCAGAAGCAAAAGTTTTAATTTTTCTGATATGAAATTAGGTAAATCACTGAAATATATTACATTAATTTTTAGCCTACCTTTTGCTTTCTTCCTTTCTAAAATGATTAGATATATTATCATCACTGATTAGACAATCCCTTATTCTAAGGTCAAAGTTCCTCCAAACTTTTTCCCTCCTTGTAAAGAGCAAAAATTTCATTCCGTCTATCTAATGAGACGTAACCATACGTCAACTATCATATTTTCATAGTAGGACAAATTTTGGGCTGCATGAAGTTTAACTGTCTAGAATAGACGTTTGCTTGAGTGGAAGGTAAGCATTTATTCGTTAATTTAATTTTATTTCGTTTTTGTGTAATTTAAAAGATTTGATGAATTTTCATTCTGAACGAAATTTTCTCACACAAACAATAAGTTGTGAATGAGATGGAGGGAAAGAAAGAGAGAGAAAGAGATTTGACTTTCGAAATTAACTTTAATTCATGTAACAGTCGAGTTAAAATCTTCTAATATATAAGGAATAAGATAGTTAACAACATTCTGGATAATTGGTTACCTCATTCAGACAATAACAAATAGAGATAAGCAAGTAGATCACTCGGGATAAGGACAAAAAAAAAAGACCACTCAATCGAAGTAATAACATTTCCATTAATGACTATATTTGCATTTTTTTCTTAGCTAAATTTTCAGAAATTTTGATAAAGTTCACCACTCAATTTTGCTTATCATGAGATTGAATCTAGAAAATTCCTGAAGTTAGTTTTCTTTCTCTTTCTGACATGAAATTTTCGATTGGTTATTACTTTTAGGTTGTAAGGGATCTGTCCGATGTCCTACTTATTGCCATTGTCATCATGTTCAACCCCCGGTTGGAACGATCCACCTGCAGTACTTGACCTTACGAAGACATCTTCATCACCGAGTTCTGGTGCTTTGGCAAATAGACATCGGCGTCCTGTGCATCCTTCCATTCAAGTACTACTTTCGGTTTCTTGAAATTGAAAAGGATGAAAATTATTTGTTCAGAAATATAAAAATAATATTTGATAATCGTTCCACTCTTCTAACTCTTTTTCTCATCCCCTCTCATTTCTTCCGTTTAAAGTTCCAAGCTAAAATGTCTTTACTAAAAGTAAGCTTGACTTGTACTTCTTTTATATGTGACAGCTTGGCAAATTTGCTGATACTGCTTCAGTACTAAAATAGAAGAATGATAACTATTTTCTGAGAAGAGATTGTAGTCCATATTTGTTATCACCAATGATTGCAATTTTGAGCTAACTTACGATGACAGAACTCAGTCGAGCGATTTCAACTTTTGAAGCAATCTTGCATATTGTCACATCAACACATTCTGATTTGTTCTTATGATTCCCATATATTAAGAATTTCCCTGTAATTTTCAAAATTAAGCTTTTTACAAGCAATTCTTTTTGTTTAAGAAGATTATTATATTTTAATATAATTTCAGGCTTCCAATACTTCATCGACATACACAAATTTAGTACAACCAGTGTTCTCACCGCAACCTACAAATCCAGCTCTAGCTGCAACTCAGATCCCAACTGTAACCTTAGTTGAAGGTATTACAGTCTGCGGAGCTCCTCCACAGTCAATTTTTCCGACACCAGTGCCAAATTATGCCACAATGGATTCATTTGTCCCGTATTCTAATTCCCCATCCACAGACAGAAAGAGGGATCAATCGGCGGATAAATCTTCATCCCTGCAGCATCATCGTTCTATTTTTGATGCATTCAATGTCCCAGGTGACAAGTTTGTGACATTTTACACCCTTTGAGCATTTGAGTGTATTCCTCTTCAATCTCACTGTAGTTAAAAGGTAGCATAGCAATAATATATGATGGTAATTTTCAGTTAACGTTATTAATAGTAGTCTTCATAGCAAAACACATTGATGGTTTTTTTTTTTTTTTTGAAGCATATATTTCCCTACACTTTTTTGTATTATTGCTGTAATTCGTGCAGTAATATTGTGCCTTAAGTAAATGATGAATTTCACTACCTTTCAGTCTTTAATTTTTCATAATTTGATGTAAATTATGTAATTAGAAGCACTTATATTAAGTAGAGCAAAAGAGTTCATATGTTATAGATCCTCAGCAGCAAGCGCTACCGAAATCGCAAAGTTTGACATATGATACTCCTGCTCCTGAAAAGTCTCCTGAAAACTGTTTTCGGGTAACTATTGATGTCTCCATTGTTCCATTATGGTATCAGTTAACAGGTAGATAGTGTAAATGGATTTGTTAAATCAAATGGATTTGAATTCGTATATATAATTTATATCATTCATAATTCCAAAAAATATTGAAAAAAAACTTTTGCTGATTTGACGAGATTCAATTATTTTATGAAAGATTTTTTAAACTCTTAGTATTTTAAGTGTTTTGCAATTATATTAATTTTGACTTCGCATCCACCAACTATGTTTTCAGAAGTCCTTTGATCCGAATTTATCCACTTCAACAGGTGTTCAAGTTACATCTTCAATTGAAAGAAATCCAAATGCTTTAATTTATGTTCCACCCAATGTAAGTTATATTTCACATTTCTTCTAATGTTTGTAAAAACAAACAAACTATTCTTAAAAAAAAAAAGAAAAAAAAACTAAGAAATTTTAACTGTTCTGAAATTGTGAATTCAGTTTACAGGTGGAATCAGAATTTCAATAGAGTAGAAATCAGAACCTTTTTCTGGAGTTTATTATGATTATATTAGCATATATAAAAGTTTTTCCAATAATTTTTTCCAGAAATGTTTTTAGGTGATAAGTGAAAATAATAGAAGGCCTGCTACATCGCCATATCCAACTGATTATGTAGCACCCATAAAGGCTGCTGGTGATGTGTCTTTGAATGGTCCTCAGCTTGTCCAGTTTTTGATCAAAGCCACATATAGACTCCCAGTTGTAAGTTTTCGTTTATTTGGTTTATTTGGTAATATATCTTCTTATTTGGTTAGAATTGTCGCTTTTGGTGAACGTAATATAGATATAGAAAGCAATAAGTAAGCTTCCTGAGTTGAAATCTGTTTTTGATCAAAGTCATTTAAGATAAATTATGGAAATCTCTTGATAGAATCCACAAGGTTTTGCTATTTATATAAATGTTCTGTTCAGCAGAAGTATACTGTCTTCAGGGAGTAACTAGAGACGGGATTCAGTTACGCATAAATCAATTATGTGAATCAATGAGTGCAGGGCAAGTGACGGATAGTTGCATCAAGAAACTGAATTTTGTTGTTGATGGTAAGACAAATTTTCATGATGCTAAAACATTTTGAATTCTCTTGACGTGATTGCTTCGTGAAATCTTACTTATTAAATTTACTTAAAAATCTTACTAAATTTCTCAGTATCAAGAAAGTTTCCAGGAATCACTTTCTATAATTGGTGAATCAACAGATCATGAATGAAATAATAAATGAAGCAATGCAATTAAGACATTTAATATTCTTATGATTGATTATATAATAATCCGGACAATTAATTACAGCGTACATTATTTGCCAGAATTTTCACTAATCGCCAGTTTTTTTTAAAGCTTTGAAATCATAACCAGCAGATCGTCAAAAAAAAAAAAAAAAAAAAAAAATGCACTTGCAGCACTGGATCGTGGCTTATTTGATGAAGCATATCAATTTTTTGAACAGTTACAAGTATCATTTCCAACACAAGCTCGAACTAGTTGGGCTCAGGGTATTCGGTTATTGCTGAACGAATTGAGGCGTCCGGCTCGTATCGGTAGTGCTGGTCCAACTCGCCATCTATAATCAGTCAACTAGAATATCTGAATTAATTTCACTTCGGTTTTGTCCTCTAAGTTTTTGCATTCTCGGTTAGGTTGTGGATGTTTGTCTTATTTAAAGTTTATTTGTAACTTCGTGCCAATTTGTCAAACTTTTGTCACACATTTTTATTAGAAATTATATTGTGATAAATTTAAAAGACTGCTTATCTTGTCTAGATACCTCACATTTTCCTGCTACAGTAGAGAGGATGAAATAATTTCAAGTTATTAAGTTCTTATGAGTACTGATATTAACATGGATTTTGTGAGTTTATCGGAAATTATATTTTAACTTCAAGTTTTTTTTTTTTGCATATTTAAGGATAAATGATTTCTGATGTTAAAATTTGTCGCTTAGGCAACCAAACATACATTTTGATTATTAGCAACTTTGAAATCTGAACATTGCTTATGGTGGTGGTTTAATACTGTGATGTATTAATATAGTTACTATAAAACATTCGTATTTTTCCTGCGCAGTTTTTATTACATGTTTTATTTGCAATATGTTATTTGCTTCAAAGTTTTCCTGTGAAAGAATTGAAATTCTAAAATTCGACTGTAATCCATGGGATAGTTTATGAAAAATACTGACAGAAATAAGCGCGTGTGACCAGTTCGTATAACCGATCTAGATTAATCATTTGTATAATTTTATTTGGGAGGTCGGATTCTTTTTTTTTTTTGAATTATGTTAAAGTTCTTGCATTCATTAATTTAGTAAACTATTATTGATTAACGGAACGTACATATAGAAGATCGTAAGCAAATTTAATCATTTTCTGGTATCTACAGTGTCTGGTGTACCAAAAAAAAATGATCGTGAAGTTTAGTACTTCAAGGGGCAACGTTGAGAAATGGTACTATCGATAGATCTGTGATATTGAAATAGATGTCATGCGATTCACGGTTTGGTTACTAAGGAATTTAAATATTCCGGAATGGAATCGTCGTGTTTGGGAAATTGGATATCGTGGACCTCCTCTTCCAAAGTTGAAAATGTAGGTGTTTTTAAAATATGTGGTCTTTTTTTTTGTTCTAGTAGAGGGGAAGATGGGAAAAGAATGGCGAAGAATTGGCGCGAAGCTGTGATAAAGCGGTCAGTCTTTAAGAGCGGAATATGTTTTTATTTTTGTGGCATAATTTTCATACTATTGATTATCCATCATTTTAAGAAAAGGCAGGCCGGATTATCCGATTAGTGGCAATGCCATCAGACAATTGCAGGATAAAATGAAAATAGAATATGAAGTAATGAAATGTCTTGCAACACCTTACTTAAGCAAGGTTTACTTTATTTATGATACACATTACTTCTCATTTTTTTAACTTAAAAATTTTGTCAAGAAAGATTTTTCTTATCATTCATGAAACATTTAATGGAATATTTCATTTGTAGCGAGTTAAGTTTTGAAATATATTATTTGTTTGTGTTTTTTTTTTTTTTTAAATCAATAATGTTGATCACTAAGTTTTAGTGAAATAAAGATTTTATGATGTTGAATTTAATTTGTATGTTTCAGAAGAGTGAGAAAGGTGAATTTAATTTCCAACAGTGAACCATTGCTGTTGCACTGGATGTGTTTCTATTTTGTATTATTTCTTATAATTTTCCAGGAAATGGAACATGCATATATTAAGAAATATGGTACATGTGCAGAACAGCGAGAGAAAGAATTTTTAGAAATGGAGCAACGTCGTATGCCAGGAAAATCTAAAAAGCGAATTGTTGGAAGTGGTGAAGTGTTGAAAGCAAAAGCGAATATTGGTAATCTATTGCATGAACATCGAACTATTGAAAGCAGTTTAAAGGAGCTAATTGTTAGGCAACGTTGGGACTAAGCTTAATATTTGTTTTTTATACCTGTATACGTGGCATTGTGAGTTTATAGAATGAATCTCTGCTAACTGATACAATTATAACTTTGTATAATAATAGAATACTAACAATATCTTCAGTGAAATGTTGGCACGAAATTATTCTCTTTCATTACAACAGTTAAAGAGTCTTGAAAATTCCTTAGGAATTCGTATTTCGAATTATAAAAAAAAAAAAAAAAAAAAAAATGCTCTGAGAAATGAGGGAACAACAATGCTTTGTGAAATTGCGAAGTTACTTTACGATAAAAAAGTTTCATATTATAGCGATAGAAGTAATAATGCAGGGAAAGTGGGCTCTGTAACCATACTGATTGTATGCTGCTTGAGAAGGATTAAAGAAAAATCATTTTCAGAATAACTTTGCTGGTTTTTTATGTTTAGCAATAAAAAAATATGTAAAGAATTTGATATTTTCATCGGTATATTTAGAATTGTCACAGAAATTAATTGAATTATTGTTTGATAACTTTTATTGCAGCGCTTTAAAAAGTTTTAAATGTTTTGCTTGAGTGTAAAAGTATAGTGAGTTGGTCTTCAGGAAAATGATATCATTTTCACATTTGTTAAAGATTAATGCTGAGGAAAGTTGAGATGAAAGGAATGAATACCATACTATTTCTTATATTCGAAACTTCTGAAAGCTAAAATTTGTCTCATTTAAACAATAGTGGAGAAATATTTCTAATACCGTTGTTGACACTGATTGATTCTCATAATTCGTGGCATTTAAATAGCTCTCAAAGTTTTCTACAACTTTCGATGTTATCGCGATAAGAAGTTTCTTCAGTGGATGAGAAATAAATTTTTTTTTCCTCGAGAAAATAAATAAAATTTAAGCATGTTGAAATCACTAATTATGATTTGAAGTATCTCTGACAAATAATTTTATATCGTGATATTTTCAATTTAAATTCAATATGATATTAGCAGTTCCCTGGAAAGTTGATTAAAAGCATTATTTTATGTAACGAATTTAAGTTCATCAGTGCAAAAAAAAGATTTGCAATGAGTTATGATGAATGTCATGGTGAGATTTCCTGGTAATTACATCATAAAAAAAGTGAAGGAATTGTTGAGTACAAAAAGAACCGGTTGAAGGACAGCATAAGTGACAAGTGGAACGAATTTTGAATGAGTTTAGAAATGTGAAATCAGGCAAATAGTGATAAATTGATTTTTATTTGGCATAAATAATCGAAAAGGGACTTTGATTTCCTAAAATTATTTTTAATCGTGATTTAATTCATTCTTTCTCTGTTCACCTCTTCATCCATACCTTTTATGTTGTTTTAAATTCATTATAATAGTGAAATTGTAAGAAAAGCTTAGATAAAAATAGAGACTATAAAATTGTAAAACTTCATTATTTTATTTTTTTTAGTTGATTTAATTAGGGTTGTTTAAACTGTAATAAATTTTAGTAACAGATTTCAGACTGTAATAAAATTTAGTAATTTGCAGGATTTTTTTTTTTTTTTTTTGAGTATATTTGCAATAAATGAGTAAAAGTAAATGAGACAGTTTAATAATCTTTTTTCAATTTTTGCATATTCTCTCTGATAAATTCTTCCATCATCTTATCATTTACAACAATATAATTTTTTTTTTTCTAAATTTATTAAAATTTTATTATAACATTTCATAAACATTAAATATGATTTTGAAATATGCTCAACTGAATTATTCATTTAAATTACGATGATTCGTTCATTTCTAGGTGGACAATGTTAAAACATTGTTTAATGTATGAATTAATTTTTGCACAGATAAAATGATCTCATAAACAAAATTTTTACATCCGTTTATCCTCAGAAAAAGGAACGCCATAAAGTTTTGAGTGAGAAAAAAATTATTTTCCATTGAAAAATGATTTTAAAAAATTACATGAGAAGGACTATTGAGGTAAGATCACCTGACTGACAAATGTCGCATACTGCAAACATCCAATCATAAAACTGATTCACTGATCAATCGATGAAAACAATAGTGATAACTGTAATCAATCGATTGATAAAAACATTGATCACAATTGTGTCGCATTGAATTACAAGAATAATTCAACAAAATAAGTTGAATAATAGTAATGATAATGATAATGATAATAATAATAATAATAAAACAACAGATATGGTTAATTAACAATTTATTTCATATCTCTTAATAAAATCGAGTCTTCTATCTAAAAAAAAATTAGAATCGTATTCACATTTTTTAAAATTAGATTGCCTTCATTTAAAAAATGCTAAATTTAAGATTTGCAATTCAATTTTCATTGGAATGTTATAAAATTATGAATTAATTGCACACATATAAATATATTATTGATCTTTGAGAAGCTATTGAAATTTAATTTGATTGAATGGATGAGAGAAAATGAAATGCTAATTTTGCTGCTATGAAGTAGTCAATTAATCTAGCAATGGATGATAGTAAATGATTGAAACGCTTTATGTCTGTTTAATATTTACTAATTATTCTCTCCTAATATTATTAGCTAACTATTAAATTAATCAATAGCTAATAGCCTTATATGCATCTATAAGAATAATATTTTAAAATTAAATTGAAATATGTATGTGTTATTTACAATTTCATTTAATGCTAATTATTTATGAAAATAAATTAGCATTGGATTAATGATAAATGAAAACTTTCTTATTCGATGCAATTATCATTTGATTTGATAGGTTGATATCAATTTTTTAGTGTTTAATTTTCACTTTTTACAAATCATTTGTATTCTATTATTAGTATAAAAGTATATAATTCTTATAAATTGTTAAATATTTCACATTTAAATATTTTAACAAAATATTAATTTTAATCGTTTCTTGCTGTTTTCCCATTGATTAGTTTGATATATACATAGTAACAACCATTTACCTAAATATAAACAATAAAATAATCGATCTTTTACCTTTTCCTTTTTCTTTTAAATTTTTATATTTGTAAATAATTGATTTAAACTAAATAAATAACACAAATTATACACCATTACATCTCACTACAAAATTTAACATTAATTAAAAATTTGAAATTTTAATCTTTCCAATGTTGAAATTAAATTTAAAGAAACTATTAGGAATTCAAACATTTTGAAAATATTTCACCATAATAGCATAAAGGCAGAAAGAGAGAGGAAGGGATAGACGAAGAGAGACAGATAGAGAGAGATAGATGAAAATATAGACGAATAGATAGGGGAATAGATGGATGGACAGATAAATGTACACAAAAAGACAGAAAGAGAGGAAGAGGGAGAGGGAGAGAGAGAGATAGAGAAAGGGAGAAAAAAAGATAAATTGCGGTGTTTTCCCGATGGAAAAGTATAATTCTCGTATTGTTTTCATTCACAAAGATATCCATCAAAGGATAAAAATGTGAATGAAAGGGAGAGTGTATGAGAATAAAGGTTGATTAATTCAATAAATTATTCTTTTTTTTCTCGAGACATAAAATAATTTAAAATTTCAAATAATTTAGAAAAAGCAAAGTAAGAAAAAAGAGCTTTTAATGTTAACAAATGAAAAGAAATAATAATTAAATTAACTAAAACATTATTCATTTCATCAGTGCAATATCATTTAATCATTATATCACTTTCTCTCTCTCTCTCTCAAATGACACATATTTATTGTCAGTTATCAATATCTATACATTGATCACATTTATTCGTTATTAATTGCTAAAATTCTTCATTACAGTGCCATTCGCATTCTTTGATAAGGTGATAAGATAGTGTAATATGTTAGAAGAGTTAATCATTTATCACATTGTGTGATAATCTCATTACACTGATATTTTGTTAATTTTTTTAAAGCAATCATAAACATTATAAGACAGTTTCAGCTTATATCTACACTTAATCATACCTCATTTCTCAAAAAACCAATAAAATTATCACTAAAACTGACAATATTGTGCTGCAATACACATGTACGTACACATAAGGAAAACATGACGTCAGTGACTTTACGACATAATCTGTGCAGTGCGGGGGAGTGCGCATGAGTGGACATGGGTGGTGGGCGGATGTGATGCGAGGGAGGAGAAGAGAAGTTGCTGAGCTCGAGGTTAAAGGTCACTTCTGACTTATATGTTGAACAAAAATGAGAATTATTCTTGAATATTAACTAATTTTCTCGTTAAATTCCAAGAGAAGAAATATATTTTTGCCTTTCTTCATTCTCACATTATGTCCAATATTGCTTCTGTTTTTTTTTTTTTCGCCTCATACAATCATTTTTACTTTGCTAACTTAACTGTTTTAATTAGATAGATAGATAGATAGCATTTTACCATCAATGCATACATGTAATTCTCAATGCGTGCACATAACGCAATATTATTTTTTTTTTTTTACATTTTTGTTGAATTCATACTAAATTATTATGATATGTAATTTATTTAGAACATATGATTGGCTAATAATTAGTAAATAATGAATATAGTGAAAACGCATTATAATGAAAACTTCCTTTTGCAACACAATGCTTGAAATTTCAAATGTAAAATTATTGTCGCAGTTAGACAATCTATAATGTGAGGATCAAATGACCTATCATATTTAAATAATCTACTGTTAAAACTAGGTGATACGTCATGCTACATTGTTGATCATTACATCAGAACGACATGGTGCATTGTGTTAAATCTAAATGACTTGTTATATTGCAAATAGGAATTACATTTTGTCACTGTCAGATGACTTTTTGTTCCACAAAGAAGTCTTATCATGCAATTGCAACATCAACAAGATTATTGTGTGCATATTTCCCGATGAATTAATTGGGAGAAAGTGAATGCTTATTAGACTAGTCAGTCAAGAATACCATATGCTTGATAAAATCTTTCACTACTCTGAAATCAATAATCATGTATTTTTGGGAAAGGAAATGTGTATCTGCATATCATAGTGACTTGTAATATCGATATACGTTGTAATATGCATAATTCTTATTCCCAACTCTTTACACCTTATGTATTTGGAAAAAGTACAGGACTTCAAAGTTTACGATCTAATCTGTTTGTCGAAAAAATTTCTTTATAGGAAAAGCCAAAAAGTTATCGATTTCTTGTTACATATTATATATTTTAATTTACAAATTTATGCTATTTATTTTCCATTTCCAACTGCACATTACACCATTCTTATGTCGAAAACATTTATGTCACATATAAACTTATAAGCATTTCGAAGCGTGTAGGGGATTGAATGTCTGTGGATGAGAGTCGCAGCTCGACCCCATTGGTTTCCACTAGCGCATCATCTTCACCAGCGGCGTCATCCTCACTACCCGACAGTCAAGGAACATGCTTTAATGGGTATTTTTTTTCTGACCATTAGATAAATTATAATGAACAGACATCACAGGACCTATGTTAATTGAATGCTATTACTGTTTTGGTGAGACTGTTCGATGAATAACAGAAAAGAAATTAGATGCAAGTAGTGTTAGCAATTCAAGTGTATTGCTTTCGAAATTCTTTATGCAACTTAATCTTATTTGAAAATTTTTCTTGAATATTCTCCAAACTTTTTCTGTTTTATCTTCATGTTGATCATGTCATCATTTATTATGTAAAACAGTGTGTTGTTAGTGTTTGCGATATTGAAGTTGATGTCATAGGAAGTTCTTGATGGTAATATTTTTTTTTGCGTAAATTATAGTGAGCAAACATCACAGAACCTGTATTAAGTTGCCTAGGAAAATTGGTTTACTGAAAGGAGAATATTCATCGAAGGATTAACTTACATTTGATTAGAAAGGCTAGTTCAGGAAGTCCTAAGTGGGATGTCCAAAGAATGTATTCACATTTTCAAAAAACGTAGTGCACTCCGTATGGTATGTCGTATATAATATATATCGGTATATAAGATACATACATATTGACTACATAATTTTAGTAAATATTTGCGATTCTGGGGTCATTTTCTGGATGAAAAAATTTCACTCCTGCTTTTTTACAATGTTTCATTTCAGATATCAAAGCGGTATTGGCGAAAATGCTAGGGTGGAAAGTCCATCGCATGTTGTCAGTTTACCGAACAACATTTATATGCATCGAATACAGTCCGCATCACCTGCAGGTTTCTGTCAAATATTAAATTTGATTTAAATCAGGATATGGCGGTATTTCTATTTTTAAGGCTTCCCTTTCGTATCCATAGAATTTTCTATATATAATTAAGGAAAAATGTTGTTTTCGTAAAAAGTTTAGTATCGAGAATATACCTTAAATCATCACGATCTTTGTTCCTTCTTTATCTGCTGTGACAGATAAATTTAAGCGAAACTTGTATGAAATAAATACGAAAGAAATAAAAATAAATTGCAGACGATCACCAGTTCATTAGAAGACCTCTGAATGCTTATATGATATTCACAAAACAAGAACGAAAGAAATTGCTGGCTTTGAATCCAAATATGAAAATGCATGAAGCAAGCAGAATTGTAAGCATGTTCTTAACATATTCAGGATTGATTAGCTGCTCACGAAAATTTTATTTCATTGTTTTAGATGGGTGAGAAGTGGAAAAATATGAGTGAAAAGGAAAAACGACAATATTTTGAGGCATCCAAACAGAATCGGTTAGATCACAAAAAAGTAAGTAATTTTGCATGCCGTTCCTTCACTATCACTTTATTTTATTTTTGTTGTAAAACTTTACTGTTTTCATTGTTCATGCTTATAGAACAGGCACTGGAGATATAGGATTTGTTGAGCAGTAATTATGGAGAGTTTCAAACTATGAACTTGTTCGTAGCTCTCTGATCACTTTCGTTCCACTTTTGTTTGAAAAAGTTAAGCAGTATTTGTGTGCTAGCCTTCTTTCCTGCCTTTGTTAGTGCAAGTTTAAGTAAAATAGTTATTTCAAAATTTTTTATTTTCTATATATGAAGAAGTCGATTTGGTGGTCTTTTTTAGAAACAATCCTATTTAGAAATCATTGATTGAAAAATGCTTGATATTTGCTTGCTGAATTTGACAAGAGTTATTTTTTCCAGTTATGCAGTAATTTTAGTCTGCATTTAAATACTTCATAACTATTGCGTTACTATGGAAGCAATCATGGGTTTTCGTAAGTATCGCAGTGGTAGCTTTAAAAGTTCATGCTGTTTTGGATATTAAAAAATATGGGTGGCACAAAAGAAGTGTTACTATGTTTAAGCTAGGGAGGTCATAGTAAAAGCACGAAATGCATACACATACATACTCACATACACGCATGTGCAACACATGCACATGCACACACATACATAGGTATTCATCCACGTTAGCACACAACACACACGCACGTATACCCATACATATAAACTTACACAAAGCACTTCTATATAGCTCTCTTCAGGTGGTGTTTGGTTCACTTTAGTCACTTTGCGTTAGTAGCTGGCATAGTGCATCTTCTCATGTCTGTGTATATGTTCGTGTTTTGCTCACTTCATTGCAAAAGGATGCCGGCCATAACCTCGCCTTGATACAGTCTTCTCGTGGTAGTGTTTACTAGTTCATAAATTCGGGTAGTTTTAACAACATAGAAATCATTTCATGAAGTGTTACGTTTATCGATCTTACACTCTTCTGTCATTTTCATTTCAGCATTTCTTGCCATTTTTTTCTGATAATTTTTAAAATTATTTTGAAGCATTGGTAAGCAAATGTAAAATAAGAATAGTGTATTTTATTTCTTACGAAAAAATGCTTAAGGTAAACAATTTAGTGATTATGAAGTAAATAAGTAAACTATAATTCGCACTCCATCTGTTCAATAATTATGAAAATAAAGGACATAAATGGGTTTTCGCTTTAAAGTGCTCAACAAGTAGGATAAATTTCTAAACCGTTTATAAATCATTGAGTATAACCGTAATTGTGCTGTCGCCACGTTTCATAGCAATGTGTGGGACAAAAATGTATTTTAATTTTTCTTGCCCTATTCGATTCAATAAGTGTTCATCTTGCAAACAGTTTGAAAATTCCAAGAGTAAAGAATGATTGCTATGATTCCTTTCTGGTAAGTATTTGGATATCTTCGTGAATGGACATGGACGAACGGTGCAGCACAAACGAAGGCAGTAGAAAGTTGCAGAAGAGCGTACATAATTTCGAGAAGCATTTTCTCAGTGGAGGTGGAGTGCGGGTAGGGGTGATGTGCTTCCCCTTCTTTGCACAGGACAGACCTCTGTCTTGGGATATATTTGTGTTAGTGTGTATATGTATGTTTGTGTTTGTCTGTGTGTGTGTATGTATGTCTGTGTGTGGGTGTGTGTCAGCGCTTGTTTATGTGTGCTTCCACTACTGTTTCCTAGTTCGTGCAATTTTTTTATTAGCCAGCCTTCAAAGTGGTGCTGAGGCTGTCTTTCCTTTAACAACAAACAAATTAAGTTGCGATTTCTAGCTCAATGGGCAATGTGAATAGCTTCTTTTGGTGAGATTGGAAAAATAGCTTATTTCTTAAAGGAAGTGATCAGATTACTGTAATTGTAGTCATTTTACAACACATCCAGATCAAGTGTGGATAAACATTTCGCCACTAGCAGATGTGCTACTATGAATCCTTCGGTAGATCTATTTATAGTAGTCGTCATTTTTTTTTGTCACATTTCAGCATTTTCTGACTAAAAAAAGTTCATTTTAACATTGCAGGCTTTAAAAGATAACCCGAATTTGGTTTATCACCCACAGCGGAAGAAATTATCCAAGATCCTGATGAAAACGGATCCACCAAATATGACTGTTGATACTGCACCGAGTACACCACTCAGTAATGAAAGTGCAGCACCAGTGACGTTTGCTACTCCATCAACACCTAAAATCAGTAATTTTTTGTTTAACCATTTATGCATGGCAATTTACACCATCTTACAATTAATATAATTAACAGCTGATCATAACTTTCATTAAGGATACAAATTTATATCATAGAAATCATTTAACTTAGTCATAACGGTTGGATTTGGTATTTGCATTACTTTCACCATAGCTTCTTAAGTCTGTTTTGCTCAGGCGAATTGATTTATTATTGTTAATGAATGTTAAAAAGTTTTCAGATGGATGCGTAAACGGTAATGTGGTATATGCTCAAGTTCCAGCACAGTGTAAGTTTTCCATTTTTTATTTGAACTCAGAACATTCCGAATTACAACTTTAATTTCTACTAGTTTGCTTGTTTTCCAGCTCAATTTTCGTACTTGAGAAAATTTTTATGAGAATTGTTTTTTTAAATTTGCTGTTTGCAGCGCTCACCTCAGCTGCTCCAGGAACGGTTATACTAGCGCAAGCAGTTAATGTACGGACACCGCAGCATCTGTCTCAAGTAAATTTTGGTATTCTTATATCTTCCGCATCTCTGCGGAAGATATAAGAATAGTATGTTAAAAAAAAATTCTTTTTTTGCAATAAATGCGGGATTATATTAGATAGAATGAATTATGCTTTCACTGCTTTCATATATTAGACGGAATGAATTCATTTAGTGACATTTTTTTTGTCAAAATTTTATATGAAACTTTATCGAGAATTCATGAAAAACTGTTTGTGTTGAACTGCAGAAATGAGATTCAGCAACTAACACTACATTGTTTTAGTAATAAATGCCGACAGCATTCTACTAATTTTTTTAGTCAAGAAAAATAAATGCCTTATCATTCATATTTCAGCGAAATCAGCAAGCATCACAATCAGTGCAGCAAAATAATTCACAATCAAATTTATCGGCTACTATGCATCAAATGTTAGAATTATATTATACATCCCTTTGTGAACCTGCTTTTCCTGAACCAGGTGAGTATAATTTTGCTGTCACGCAGTCATTTATATTAGGGAAAACGAGTTTAGTGCTGATATAAACTAACTCATCATATTGCTCTACTAATACAGTAATTTAAAAACTGATCCCAAATTTTATATATTTTTGTGAATGAAGTCAGGTGATACTTGATGCAAATAAAATTTTATCATTTTCTGAGAAAGATATAAAAAAGAATGTATAAAAAAAAACAGCGCATGCTACCAGGGTTTTCACTACTGACACAGTTTCAGGCGAGAAGAGCACTCTGGCATCACCACAGCATTACCTAGATCAGTATCACATGTTGCACCATCAAGCTGTAACTAAACAGCAACAGCATGGCAGCCAGTCGTTACCACAGTCAGCCAATTGATCCAGAATTTTATATTGTTCTCTTAAATTGAGTGAAGTAATGATTGTGTCTGATTTGAAGTTTATGTGATTTTGTACACATATCCTGTTTTTACGACTGGGATCTTCGGTACTAAGACAAAAAAGATATTCTGGTATCATCCAGTATTGCTTCGACTTTATTATGTTCTCTTATCAAATTGTAACTAAATAACACAAACATTTCCCAATCCAATTAATTAATTGACGATTTCAGTCCGAGTTAACAGTGAATTCCTGGATCTTCGCTTCACTTATTACAGTACTGTATATGGCATGCTGAGTTTCTACAAAAGCGAGAGTTGGTAGTCGCAAGATGTTCCTATCTTGTTCATTCTCAATTTTTGCTGTATTTGTTGGAAGTGGTTGAGAAGTTCAAGGAAGGGTGTAATGGTAGAATGAGTTGGAACAATAGTATTGATTTTTGTTTTTTTGCTGAGTTTCCAATTTGGCCGTAAAAAGGTAGCGTTTATGATGACTTAAAATATATGTTATTTTGCACAATGTTATTTCCATTTAATTATTTTTTCTTTAGAGAATTTGAACATTTTGTTAATTTCTTTTAAGTTATAAATGAACATTCTTGATTCATCATATTTTTCTTTTACTAACACAGATGTGTTTTATTCACTTCTTGTCGGTAAATTTCATTTTCTGGAACGATCTAATTACTGAATTGTAAAAAAAATTCTAATGTTCTATATCTTACTATTCCCAAAAAAAAGTCAGAGAATTTAACATATGATAGCATTAGTTGTAATAAGTATATTGGTGATTTCTATTGGCATTGTTTTGAAAAGGCTTATATTCATGGTGATTTCAAGATTTTGAGCTTCTACTTAAATTGATTTTTATTGTTTATTGAAAGATTGTTCCGAAATTATCGTTCTTTGTCTATTGTTAAATTTACACTTAATCCCCTCTTTTGAAATTCGTTTCAGTTTTCCATTCATGAAAGAACTTGCATCATTGGAAGCATATCTGTTAGAATAACTTTGAAAGATCAATTTTTACCCCATCCGCTGGTTCTTTTGTGGAAAACATTCGCTGGAAGAAGTTGGAGATTGTAGAACACTGTGAATTTTGTCGTGAAATTAGTTCTAAGGTATCAAGAGGAAACATAGTTCCGAATAAGGCTTAAAGTGAATGTCATTTATTTAAATATCGTCATCTACAACTCATTTTTTGTATTTGGATTCAATTCTTGAAAACAGATGTTACCACATATTTAGTATTATGAGGCTATATTAGGGTCGGAATCCTTGATTTTTCAAGTAGTAATGGTGATTCTATTGGTCTTTTATCTGCTAACTTAAAATGGTACTTATTTAGACTTATTTATGAAATTCGAATATTTGGAAACCATTTTATGGTGTAAGACTTGCTAAGTTTAATGCAGCATGCTGATGTTTGATAGGCTTTACAGATCTGGTTTACTTTTGAATTTTGATTACTTGTGATGAAATTTCACATTTGTGGATTGTCTTTACTGTGATATTACGAAGTAGTCTTTACTGTGATGTGAAAAAGTAACAGAAATTAAATTGTGATTTTAGTTTACAAAGTTTAACTATTTGGAAACAGTTTTGACAACTTTAACTTTGCTTGTAGAGAACGAAGCAAGATCATGCGCAGAGGTTATTTTTCTTACAAAAATAGCCCACATTCTTGAGACAGCTCTCTCTCCTTCTCTCTCTCTTTTATGCTTTGTTTATTATTTTTATTGCTCATTCATGCACTGCGGTTGAAATGAAAATCATTTTAGACCGTTTCGATTCTGGATTTCAAAATGGGATTTGAGTTCAATTGAAAATTATACTACAAAGTGTATCTGGCGTATAGATTGTTTTGAAATTATGAAAAATTATGATGCAAAAGTTATAAGAATGTCAATTATAAAAGCATGCCAAATATTCTTTCAATAGTCTCTCTTTTCTTTTCTATACGCTAGGTGATTGATTAAATTATTTGCCAAACATTCGAATTTTTAATTAAAGTTTTAACATTTCTGAGATTGATACATTTTGTTCGTACGTTGTTCACTGTTTACCGTGTTTTTTTTTTTGTTTTGAAATAGATTTTACTGCATTCTGTAACTTCAGAAATGTAAATTAGAAGCATGTTTTCTATCCTTTTGCTTAACACATCACATAATGTATTTTTATATAAATTTTGTGCTATGAATAGATAATTTCGAGGTGTAACAGAATGAATTTATTTAAAAAATAAAAAAAAAAGGGCAGTCTAATAATATTTGTAATAGCCAAATGGTTCAAACTATTGATAGTATGCCTATTAGACTTCTTTCCTCTGTAGTGATAAAGGTATGCTTTTTCTTCTTTTGAAATACTATGAAAATATAAGCAGAAATTGATTAATACTTTTATGGGCATTGCTTATCAATGGAAGAAAATATCATTACTTCATTACTTTCATCTATTGCTTAATTCTCTCCTTCTCTCTTTCCCTTATCAATTCATTCATTCAGTGTTACTCTTCATTTTTATCATTTTTTACGTTTTGATAATTATGATTAATAAGTAAATGTTTATTAATTAGATAAGTCATGATCCACTAATCCTCAATTTGTTTTAATTGTAACTGTTATGTTTGTTGTTATGATGATTGCTAGTGAAATATAAAATAGATTTTAGCATTTCAAGTTTTATCATTCCTCAATCTTATAAAATAATCTAAATAAGCATGTGTAAGTCAAATTTATGACAAATACATATTATTTTGACATTCAAAAAAGACTGAAGAACTTTTCTTTCATTGAAATGTGCAAAGGAATAGGTTAACAAGCAAATTGGTAGGAAAGTTTTACTGATCGCTTAAAGTTTAAACATGATAAAGTATAAAGAATAATTATGGATTATGGCAGAATTGAGTAAAAAAAAAAATTTTTTTCGTAAATTTGAGAATTTTGTTGATGTGTGAAATGATGTTTCTATGACAGTGATCGTTTCTCAATTTTCTTTTATCTTATCAGAATCTTATCAGAATGCTGTTATTTAATACTTGCAGAAATTGTCATAATAATGCAAGAAACTGCGACATATTTATATATTTCTCAACTTCAATCTCTAAACACTTTTTACACCAATCTTATAAAGGTAAATATAGAATGGAATGTAATTATGTTAATTAATTATACAATGAAGATGGCAAAATATGAATTCAATTTTAATCTTTCAGATAATTCTTAGCGACATTGAGAGCAAATTTATGCAATGAATTACTTCTCAAGAATAACCTACAAATAAATTTCATTTGTACAATTCATTCATATTTGTTTTATAAGTTTAAAAATAAAAATTTGAATTTATATTAGAAGAAACAAATGGATATTAATTTTCAACAAAATCAACAAACAATAAGCATACGTGAACAAAATGGCGCAAATAGTAGATTGCGTAGCATACAAAGTGATTGTGTTGATTTGTATTATTATTGGCTTAATGAATTGTTGTGCATGGAAATTCCGTACGACAAATGCGCCTTTGCATTACATCAATTAATGACTGGCAATTGTCACTGGCTTCTTGCCAAGTATGGACATATGAGTGAGTAAAGCAATTTTACTTTACCATATTTATTTTCAAAATAGCAGAAAAAAAATAAGATGGCGTAGGAAGATGAATTTGCGCCGCCCTCAATATCTTTTGATCAGAACAATGTAAATTAATTTTCAAGCATTTTTAATCCCACATTTTTCATTAAGGAAAAGCAATTATAAAAAAAAAAAAATACTTTCTTTTTTATAGCTTACAGTTATACTTTTTAAAATTTTTTTTTATGCTTTTTATAATTCATAGCTAATAAGAAAGTATTTTAATGACTAATTGTAATTTCTGACAACTGAAAATTACTTAAACTGAATTTTGAAGGTTAATTTTAAACTATTTAACTCTAATATATATGTTGACATCCAGCAAAAGAGAAGAAATTTGCACGGATGAAAAAATGAAAATTTCTTCATTTCAAATATATTAGCTATTCTTTTAATTATGTAAAGAATATTTTGAATTTTAGGATTGAGAGCATCAATAAACTATTCAAATTCAAAGATTCATTATGATCAAGCAATTATATCATATCAAATCAGTATTGATTTAATAGAAAATAATCTCCCGAAGTATAACAAATTTTACCTCTTCATAGTTCATCGATTTATGAAACTTATTTTGGATGCGACAAATGCGACAGAAATGATCAAATTAGACAATTAATTTATCAGGTGAAGGAAAAAATATGAAATTAATACTAATTTTTTCTGATTACTTTTCTTTTTTTAACTTTGCTAAATAAATTTTGAAATTTTTGATTAATTTATTAAATGATTGAATATTTGCAAAATTAAGAAAAGGGTGGAAAAAAATAATCTTGAAAATTTTAATGGTCAATGAGAATTATCTTGTTTCATCTATAAAAATAGTATAGATTAAACTAAATGATCCAAAATTTAATTTCTACTAATCATTTATTTTCTAGATATTATCGATATGGAAAAAAGCACAACAAATTATATTCTTTCATCATTATATTAACACTAATAACCCAGAGCAATAAATTAATTTTAACTTAAAATTGAAATTACTATGCTCAAATGCAAATCGTTTATTAATCGAGAAATATTGATATTTTGAATTGATGATTCCAAATAATCCATTTTTGAAATTTATTTATTAAAAGATTTTTTTTTTTCGTTTTTTTTTTGCATCAAATTTGTTATGTAATATAAAAATATTTTTTATTACCAAAAATAAAATCATTCATTTTTTCTAATGTCTTATGTCAATTCTTTCAAATTTTTTGCTTCTTTTCATTCTAACAGATATTTCTATTTTTTTGATTATTTTTTTTGATTAAAAAAATTTCGAATTCTTTTTGATTAATGAATTTATTGAATAATATAATTAATCCTTTCAATGTTATATTTATTAATTTTGATTTTCTTAATAGAAGAAAAAAAATCGGTGTAAATGAAAGAATTGAAAATTCAAAACCGAGTAATGAAAGAATTGAAAATTCAAAACTGAGTAATGAACGAATTGGAAATTGAAAACTGAGTAATCAAAGACTTGAAAATTAAGTATTTATAATTTTGTTAGAAAATTTCATTTAACATTCAAAAAAAAAAAGTCCTCAACTGTAGTAAATTAAAGCTGTTGTTTTAAAAAAGCTATTTCATTTGTCAAATTTAATTGAATACCTGAATTGCACAACTGTCATTTCAACTTTTTGATGCATCTTAAGTTCATTTCAAATATTTTTTTTTTAAAAAAAGGAAATTTTGTTTCATTTCAAATGAAAAATTGTACTAATGATAATATTTTCTAAGTTATTTTTCTGATATTTTAAATCAAATTTTTTTTTCGGATAATTTAATGCTAAAAAAATAATGAAAAAGTTGAAATTTTTGTTAGCTAACATGTGTGTCACACAAAAAAGAGTCACATATGTTGTAAGAATATTTAAGGTAATAAAGAATAAATCATTTGTATATTTCCATTAAGTTATTTATTAAGTTCTACAGGTAAATTAATGCTTTTAAATTAGTTCAATTCAATATCAAAAAAGGTAACAATGTGTTTTAATCAGTTCTTAGGTAAACAAATTTTCATATAAAAATAATAGCTAAAATTATGGTTGTATATTTTCCTGTTATTAAAATAAAAAGCAAAATAAAAGAAAAATTAAAAAGTAATTAAAAAAATAAAAACTAAAATAAAGTGATATTTAATGAAGGGCAAAAAATGGAGAGTGGAAAATTTTTGTTCAACAATACAAATTATTATTTCAGATACTAATAAAAGTATACGCAAAAAAAAAAAAAAATAAAATAAAATAAAATAAAAAACTAATTTTACCATAAAAAATTTTACATTTTGTTTATCACAATTTTATTAAAGTTAAAAATAACTGTAATGATTAATTACATAAAATTTGTAATATTGTTTCTTTTTTGCATTTTGAACTTTTCTTAGTACTTTAATAATTCACAATGAATTAGAAATTAATTAAAGTAACAAGAAAAACAGGTATGTGAAGTAAGTAAGTGAAAGTAAGTAAAGTAATAAATAAGCTTTTTACTAATATTATATTAGCATATTAATTGCAATCAACAATATTTCAAATATTACACATTCTCGATATATTATCTATTTTTAGCCTTTCTATTAAAATATTTATGATTATCATTTTTTTTTTTTTTTGTAATTAAATTTATTTACCAATTATTATAAATTATTTAGTAATAGTAATAGCTATTAGTTAAGAAATAATGGCTATATAATTTATATTTTATATTTATGAATGCTATATTTTTATATGTTTTTCTCACTGGCTAATTAATTAATGATAATTTTATAATCAAATCTTATATTTATTCTTTTTTAATAATCACATTTTAATAGCTGTCACTGTAATAATTTCATTTCTATTATTGTTTAGTTATTTTTTTTAGTAAATTTATTAATGAATAATTTAATTTATTACAAATAAAATATTCGTTCAAAATGAAATATAATCAATTGTAAAGTTTACAAATCATAAATTAGCCATTTTTGCAGCATTTAATCTTTAATAATACTACAAATCAAAGTTTAAATTATCACATATTTCACAAAATTTCATATTTTAGAAATGTTATTTAGAAATATTTAATATTTAGAAATATTAAATTTAAGAATGTTAAATATTAAATTAATGAACTGTGATAATTTATTCATTAATTCTTTATATTACTGTAAATAACAGCTAGAAGCTTTTCTTTTCTTTTTTTAAATGAATAATTATAGCATAAATAATTAATAAATGAAAGAAGCACTCGATTATCTCAGCAATATGCAAAAAAAAAAATAAAATAAACTAAAATATTATTGTTTTTTAATTTTACATATAAATACAATCAGTATATTTTGAAATGATTTATAAATTTTTAGTAACTGGAAAAAAAAAACGATTAATTTAAAAAATTTTATAAATCAAAAATATTATTTTTTCATATTTTGCATTTGATGAAATAATTAATCAAAATTATTCCAAAATATATGCAAAACTTATTTAACACATTTTTTTTTCTGAAAAAAAAAGAAAGAAATTTCACGTAAATAATTCTATGTGAAATATCTTTTTGGAATTGTAAAATATTCGATTAGATGAAATCATCAAATTAAAAAAAAAAATGTGTTTATTTTTATAATATTATAATAAATATATTATAATCAAAAATCATTATCACTTCATTGACTTATTATTTCCGGAACGGTTGTTTACATCAAAAATCATTTGTAAGTGAATTGATCAAATCGGATCTTTTTTTTTTTGAAAATTTTCTTCTGTTTGATTTTGTAAAAATTTTTGAATAGTTTATACAAACTTATTTTTTAGTAATGCCAAAAACTTTGAATGAAATTAAGAAATTATCCGCTTATCCAGATAATTTCCAAAAAGCAATTAATTTCATAAAGGTTAGTCAGTAAGTCTTGTTGATAATTTTCATTTAAATAATTGAAGTTTTAATCATTTCTAAATTGAAATTAAAGACTTCTAATCATTGAGAACAATAGAGCATGCATATGTTGAACACAATGAGAAATAAACGTTTGTCACCAGTATTTGTCACCATAGCAGCAGTTTACCAATTGCGCATTCATTTGATGTCACTTTTAGCTATCTAAATTTCAATTTAAGTATAAATTGATGGTCATAAAGTCCTTTGTAATCCTTAATCATACTTCAGATAACACAAGAGTATACTCAAGATGTTGTGGCAGCAATTGAAAAGTTAATTAGTGTTTCACAGCCAAAACGTCATTCCAAGCCGAATGATTTAGAACGATTGGCACATGTGGCGCAAAAGGTTATTTTATTTATGAAACTAATCGCTATACTTTATAACTAGTAGTGTAGTTTTAAGCAAGTATTAAAAATTCCTATAGGATTTCAAGAATTTGTTTGCTTTTTAGAAAAAAGAAATTGAGATAAGGCACATTTCTTGATAGATTACAAATTAGAGCGCTATTGTCATCAATGTTTGCAAGCAAAGTAAGAAAAGCAAATATTGATTTAACATATATTATAAAGATTTATTTGTCCGAAATTCATTGTATAATCAAAAGAGAAATGAGAAAGAAACAAATAAAATAAACAATTTATTATGGAAAAAAATTAAATATTTACGTTTGTGAAAGTTAGTTATAATCAAATTTTTATATTTTAAAATAAAATGCATAAAAAAAAAAAGATAATTCTTTGTTACAGTATATGCCATATTTTGTTTCTGGTAGTTTTTATGAAGCACTGCAAGCAACAGCAACAGTTTGCATTTCGGTTGCAAAACAGGAACGTGAAGCGCAAATGGAAGCATTTCAACGAGTAGTTGTACCAATGAAAAGTTGGATTCAGGAAGATTATCCAAGGCTTATGAAAGTTGCTTATCAGTTAACTTGATAATAAATTAATTTAATAGAAAATTTAACAATGAACTTTGAAATTTTCTGTTTTTTTTAAATTCATTACAATTCTGTAATGTTATAAAATAAAAAGGAAAGAAAACTTTTTAAAAAATTCAAAAAAAAAAAAAATAAAAAATTTAAAACATTTGATGCCATTTATTTGTATGCATTTATTTATTAATCATAAACAGAATGAAATATGAAATTTCAAAAAGGATTATTATCATTATTATTTACCTAAATTCAATTATTTCGATTATAAAATTTACAACTGAATTATAAAATTTGAAGTACTTATACTCTTTAGCAGATTTTAAAAACTAATAAAGTCTGAGAGAAAAAAAAAATAAAATAAAACATGAAAAAAAAAGAAATTAGAACGTTAAAAAAAAATTTTTTTTCAAAAGAAAATGCATATAGTAAAAGTAAGAAATGATGCACTACGAAAATTTTTTAAATTTGACAAAATTGTGTTTTGTTTTAGATTTGAAATTTTTATGTTTTATTTTAGATTTTAATTTTAGGATATTAAGAAGTGTTATTATCTAAAAGATAAAATGGATCGAAGTATGGCAAGTGTAGAAGCACGGAAAACACCTGAACGTCTTATGAGAGCGCAAGAAGCTAAAAATAAACATCAAATATTTTTTGAACGAGTTGAAAATGAGGTAACTTATTATTTCTCTTTCTTTTAACTATGCTAACAAAAAAAAAAAAAAAAAGAATTAATGTGTATTTGTGTGTAAAATTAAAATTTGTATAATTTATGAATTTTAAAATCATCAATAACTTTAAAGGTAATGCGTTATAAAGCTGTACATAGACATCATATGCAATGCCTTAAAGTTTTAATGCTAAAAAATGTAAGTTTTTCATTATAAAATATACTTAAAAAAAAAAAAAAAGAAGGAAGGAAGTAAATTAATTTCAAACAAATTGCCATTTTGCTTTGGATGATACTTCTTTCTTTAATGATTCACTGCTTACGGTAACGCTTACTGTAACACGTTTACTTACTGTAACATAATTTATCATTAATTAAAGCTATGGAGGAAATGATTAAAGAGTGCATTCATAAATTTACCATTACTTTTTGATAATTAAATTAATTTCAATTCTAATTTCCTAATAGATAATTTGATGATAATCAAGGATTAATGGATTAGTTTTTTTTTTTTTTTCACTTTTGCTATTAATTATTAATACTGTAGTGGTCATCATTTTTTCTATCTTTTCAATGACTATTTTCAGTATCAATTCGAGCGGAAAGCAAAAGATGAATTTCTTGCAGCATTTATCAAATGTGAAGCTGAAATTAATGCTGGTAATGCAGCATTGAAAGAAGCACCTAAATATACAACTATTGAAGAAATAGATTTAAAAGAATCAAAAAAAGAAAACGAAAAGAAATCGGAAAAGAAAACGGTGCAAGAAATGAATTTAAAATCGGATAAATCAGAAGGACAAAAAATTAGTAAAAAACGAAAGAAAATGGAAGAGCAAATAGCTAGCATAAAATTAGATAAACCGGAAAAGCAAACGGAAAAAAAAGAAAAAAGTGCTGAAACTCATTAAAAAAAAAAAGAAACCAAAAAAAATGATAGAAAAAAAAAAGTAGGAGGAGAAGAAAATGAAAATGATAAAAATGCTTAAATGAAATTGAGTAACAAATTCAAACAATGATTGAAATAAAAAACAATGCTAATTAATTGTTATAAAATTTTTTTCCTATAGAATAGTTTAATTAATTAATTGAAAAAACAGTTTTGTAGCAATGATTTAATTCAATTCTTTGTTATAATTTGTTTTTTGAAAAAAAAAATTAAATAAGATTAAAACATAAACTTACTTATTTTATCATTTATTTTATTTTACATTTCAAAATTCTTCGCACACTTAGAAATTATGAAAAAAGAATTTAAAGGAAAAAAAAACAATCAAACCAAAAACTTTTTTTTTTTTTTTTTTAGTGATAAATATTGTAATGGACAAAATTTTGGGACAAACCAAAATAAAATAATTTTGTTTATAAAATCATTTGTAACTATAACATTTCATGAAGATGAATCATAATAAAATAATTACCTACAAATAATTCCCTCTTTGAAATGACCACAATTACTTAATTAGTTATTTAGTAAATATTAAAGGTATAATAGCAATTATTTTTAACTAAATGAGCTGAGCTCAAAAATACAATTTCACGTCTGAATAAAAAATAAAAATATAAAAGTTTACGTATTGATTTTTTTCTGCTCGGATTTATTAACAATGTGACAGCAAATATTTTAATTAAATGCGAAAAAAAATTTCTCTTTTAAATTTTTTGCTAAATTTTTTAAAAAAACTGAAAAAAACATTTATATGTTTGTTGCTAGGCTAATTTTTGATTTTCTTTAAGCATTAAATCTCGATTGATGTATTATCATCTCATTATTTTAAGTTTTTCTAATTCATTTCATCAACAAAAACACAAACAAAGAGATAAATTTCTAATTTTTCGCTTACTTTGATTTCAATTAGAATCACGTTTGACGTGAAATATACGTGAAATGATGCTGAATGTTTGTTTGGCAGCAAATCAATAATTTTTTTTTGAAAATTTGCATAAAAATTACCAATTTATTAAAAATGCATATATATAAGAATAAATCAGTTCTGTTAATTCATAATTTCAAAATTGAATTCTTTTCATTTAAAATTTATAAATCGGTTGCTTGATTTCTGAGCAAAAAAAACTTTAAAATGTGTAAACCTGATGAGAAACCATTGCCAGATCCTGCTATTGTTGGTGCAATGGAGGTTTGGTAGAATTTTCTTAACTTTAAAATAATCTTACGATATAAATTATTAATAATCAAAATCTTTACTTTTAGTATTACTTAAAGTATTTTAGGCTCTAAAATCTGCTTATGAAAAAAAAGTAATACCATCTGAAAAGCGTTATTTATACAGTGAATTTGATACGCCACCATTACGTGATCAAGAATTTATGGTTTGTTTTCAATTTTGAATTCAAATATTGTTAATATATTTAATGAATAATTTTAGCACAGAGTAAGTAAACAATAAATAAGTTATCATAAATTAATTTACTCGAAAAAAAAACAAAATTTTGGAATAAATTAATTATATTTTGAGAATAAATTTAAAAAAAGAAATGCAAATGTTTCTTTTTAGATATTTCTTATCTTTCTCATTAATTTTATCAAATATTATTATTTTGAAAAAAATTTATTTGTAAAATACAAGTGCTAAATAACATAAATTTTAGGGTAAACTAATAACACTATTACTTGGCCAATATTCTGTGGGTATGAATTTTAGGGTAAGCCAACAATATTATTACTTGGCCAATATTCTGTGGGTAAAACATCAATGATCTCATATCTTTTAAATGGTAATTATCCTGGCGCTGATATTGGGCCAGAACCAACAACTGATATCTTTGCGCACGTCGATTATAGCGAGAAAACACAAACAATATCAGGCATAACATTAGCTTCTGATCCAAATTATCAATTTCAGGTTTATATTTCAGGTCTATGTGTTTCTTTCATAAGTTAAAATTTTTTATCGGTCAGAATAAGACAGATGGATCGTTTTGTTTTAATTGAAAATTTTCGAAATACAAAAAAAAAGTTTGGCACCGTTAGATTGATCATTTGAAATGTTAAGGAAATCGCATCTTATTCAATGTTTTATATAAATAATTAATATTTACGTTAATAAATAAATTTTATTAAAAATATGAGAAAAAAAAATCAATTCCATATTCAATTATTTATTATCAAATATTACTATGAATTTAGAAAAATTATAATATCATTATAAAGTTAGAAAATTTTTAGTCATTGAAAATATTTGGTGATGTATTTCTGAATAAATTAAGAGCTACACGTTTCAATGCACCACTTTTAAAATATATTTCAATCATTGATACACCTGGTATTCTTACCGGTGATAAACAGGTATCATTCTTATCACTACAGCAAGTTATATGCTCCTTTCATCTTCTTTCAAATTAGCAACAGTATTTCGTGCTTTTTTTTTTTACTTAAACTTTACTTCATTTAAATTAAAATTGTAGCAAAGTATTCTAAAGTTTCTTTTATAATTTTTTTTTTTAAAAAAAAAACTTGGATGTCTTTTTTTATCTAATTATTTAACTGACAATGAAAAATTTATAGGTGGAAAATAGAGGCTATGATTTTGCACAAGTTATCAAATTTTTATCAAGCAAAGTTGATTGTATATTTTTGCTATTTGATGCTAATAAACTTGATATTAGCGATGAATATAAACAGGTTTCTAAAAAATCAACATTTTTTTTTGATTTAAAAAAAAATATTTAAACGCATTTAATTGTTTCAAAGTAATAATGAAATAATTTAATTTTTCAAAGTTAGTATATTTCAGATTTTTTTTTTAACATTATAGGTTATTCAAATTTTGGAAGGTAGCGAAGATAAAATTAAGATTATTCTGAATAAAGCTGACTGGGTTAGACCACGTGAATTAGTTCACGTACGTGGTGCACTAATGTGGGCACTTGGAAAAATTATGCGTTGTCCCGAAGTACCAAAAGTAACAAAAGTTTATTTCTTTTTTTTGATTTCAAAGATTTTATCTCTGTATTTTCTATTTTTGGTTTCATTTTTTTTTAAAGAAAAAATTTACTTTATGCTTACAACATAATTTCAAAAATTACTGTTTTTTATTCAAAATTTTGGATATTTAATAAAGTTTAGTTACTTTTATGTCTAAAATGAATTTAATTAATTTTAATTATTTATACTTTTTATATTTCATTCTAATTTTTTGTTTGAAAAGATGAAAATTGAATATTTTTAAGGTTTTTATTGGCTCATTTTGGCCATATTGGTCTAATAAAAATACGCTTTTACGTGATGCAATTAAAGAAGATGTAGCAGCTGTTATTAAAGAAATTGTTGATTTACCAAATTCGTATCATCGGAGACGTGTCAATGACGTAGCAAAACGAGCCAGAAATGTTGGCCTTATAATTATTAAAAATAAATTATCATTAGTAGTGAATAAATTAACATATTTTATTATGATAAGCTTATGATAAGAACACTAAAATATGTTAAACACATTTTTCACGTATTCTTTTTAACGCATTTTTGTCTTTTTACATACTTTTTACGTATTTACACTTTTACAGAATACGTTTTTTCTTTTTAAAGGTACGAATTCATAGTTATGTAATGGATGAAATTATAAGAAGAAAATTATTTTTCACTAAACTTCTAACAACAACCGATACGGAAACGCAACCACATAAATTGCGTAACGTATACAAAGCGTTAGCGACACGTCGACGTATTGTTCTAAATGATTTTCCTGATCCTGAATTATTTCATATTAAAGCTAAAAAAGTAAGCATTTTCTGATAACAACTATTTTTATTTATTTTTTAATTTAAATAAGAATAATAATAAACAATTTTTGGCTCTTATTTATTTATTTTTGATTAGAAATGTGAAAAGATAATTAGAAATAGAAATAAAAAAAACGCAGAATTTTCTATTAAAATAAATTTATTTTATTTTATAGACTAAAGCAAAAGATTGGTCACGAATTGATTATAAATTAGACAAATTACTTAATTCATTTATTGAAAATGACATTTCATCAATTGCAAATGCAGCAATAAATGAGAAAGAATGTGAAGTGAAATTTCGAGTACCAAAGAAAGTACCATTACCTGAGGTTCTACATTTATCTATTAAGCTAATTAAACTGCCTTTTTTTTCTTAAAAAAAAATTATCTTTATTTATTACTATTATTAGCCAAAAAAAAAGAACTTAAACGTAAATAAAATATTTAGAATGTAAAGTTATTTAACAAAGTAATTCTTTAAATGTAGAATCATTTAATAAAGTTATTTAACAAAAGCAAAAAAAAAAAAAAAATTGATAAAGTCAAACAATTATTTCGATCGATTGTAATTCTCATAACTAAGAAGGAATATAGTTCGAATAAATGAAAGATAAATTAAATAATTACATCTATCATTCATTCAATTTAACATTTAATAGAGAGAAATCATAATATGCTATCAAAATTATATTTTATATTTCAATGTATTTTAGTTATAGTTTCATTTCTAGGCTAGTAACTAACAAAATAAGAGCCAAAAATAGCCATAAATTAGGAAGTAAAAATTTAAGTTAAATTAATTAGTGTATGCATTTACAAATGTTTATGCTTTGTTGTTGTTCGATGCATTTTTAGGATTATAATAAATTGGTAAAAAGCAAAAAATTGCCGCAATTTCTTGCTGAAAGTTCACAAAATCAATCATCAAAAGAGGAAAAGAAGCTATCTGAAGGAGAATCAAAAGAAAAAAGTGCTAAAATGCTAAAAGATGAAAAAGTTCGAAGTAAAAGTGAGAAAAATAAAAGTGAAAAAAGCGATGGACGAATTGAAAAACATCAAAAAAAGAAGAAAAACAGAAACGAATTGAATCAAAAATTAAAGCAAAGAAGTGTAAAAAGTGAAAAAAATTGGAAAATTTCTCCAAAAAGTAATAATAAGTATGAAGAGAGTAGCGAAATGAAACGTAAAGGTAAAAGTTAAAAAACAAAAACATTTGAAAAAATGAATATTTATCATTTAGTTAGAATTTAAGTAAGAGAATATAATTTAATTTAGATTAAAATGATGATGCTTAATTGTAAATAATGGTAAATTATTTCGAAGTAATCAAATATAGGTGAATTAGAATTTTGTTGTTAATTTAAAATATTTAAAATAATTCAGATGATGGTACTTCATTACCAAAAGGACAGGAAAGTAATGATGGTGATGATATGATTGATCAAAAAGAAGTGGAAAATGCTTTTACATAATTTTGATTTCGTGATAATAAGTTAATAAAGTTTTTATTCAAATAAATTTCATTTTTAATTTAGCAATTAAAAAGCATTTTTTTTCTGTGACATAAACTTTTATAGCATTGTAATTGTTATTTAGTATAAATAAATTAAAAATTTTCAAGATTTTCTCAAAAAACAATCCCAATTCATTATTAATCAGTTTTTGCTATCATTTCTATTTTCTTTCTTTTTTTTTTTTTTGAAGATTTTCAAAAAGATTTATTCAAATGATATTTGATTAGAAGATCAGAAATCACTAATCTGACCTTTTATTAAAAGATTAAAAAATTTGACCTTTTCTTTTCTCTCTTTTGCAAAATATTTTCGATCTATTGCAATAGCATGGAATAATGTTAAAAATATTAGTAACAGATAATTTATCATTTTAAAATTTAATAGTTGTCCATTCTATTTTGAAGTTTAAAAATTTTGCTTCCATTTATTTCTTCATTAAAACATTTCTTTAAAATATATTTTCATAAATAAATAGTGAAATCATAATTTAATTCTACAACAGGAAATCATCTTCTTGCATTTCGATCAATTCCAATGATTGTTGTTCTTCCTGTAACGATGATTTACTCGCTGTAATTGCTTGAGCAACTTTAGCAAATTGTGATTTCATTGAATTTCTTCTCGAATATTCCATTTCTTTCTTTCTCTGCTAAAAAAGAAAAAAAAAACAAATCAATTTGCAAGTTAAATAAATTTATATTTAATTAATTTTCTACTTGCTTTGTGCAATTAGCATAACAAACAATAACTAAAAGCCTAAAGTATATAAGTATATGCCTTATTAGCATAGTAGGCAATGAGTAAAAGCCTAAAGTGCACCAGTATATGCCTTATTAGCATAGCAGACGATAATTATGCCTTATTAGCATAGTAAACAAAAAAATGTTTAAATGTGTAAAGTATACAATTTACTTACTTACTTACTTACTTACTTACATTATTTATCTTTCCACGTACATCAAAATACTATCAGTAATACTATTAGAAAACATAAATTATTCACTAATTAGTTATTAATTGTTTAAAAAAAAAAAAACTTTGCATACATTTGCTGTTGAATTGGATCTATTTTTTGAATTTAATTGACTTTGATGTGTAAAATTTGATAAAAATTGAAAGCAAACGCGTAGAATGTTTGATATTCCAAATGATGGTACTTCACTACAATGAATTATTAATTATTTATTAAAAATAATAAATTTACAATAAATTGCTATTTTAAATTTATAAAATTTAATTCCGATTAGAAAAACGAAAGAAAGTGCTAAAAGTTAGTTTAAAAACTTCACTAATTTAATTTAAACTTATTTTAAACTTATCTATTCATTATACTACTATTTCTAATAATATAATAAAGAAAGGGAAAGGGAAAGAGAGGGAGAGAGAGACATACATTTATTAGTAATTATTTAGTATTCAAATATAATTTTAGTAAAATTTCAAATTTAATTTTAATATATGCAATGATTACGTTGAATATTGCTCAGTTATATGATTTGATTTAATAAATGTAAATTTTTTTCGCTTTTGATGCCAATGCATTTGCGCACGAGCCATTTTGATACGACGGTTCAGGAGCGTAAATATGACCGGATATGCGGAACAACTGATATACGGTAGTAGATGAATATAATATGATGCTATTACCACTAAAATTTCCATATTTCACATTTGAAAAAAAAAAAAAAAAAAGCTTTAAATAATAATAATTTTAATTTCAACAAAAAAAAAGATGCTAAAAATTTATTGTAAAAAAAATTTTTGTTAGAATAAATGTATTAAACGTTAGTAAGATTATTTTATGATTGATAAATTTGTCAAAAATTATTGCTTGTTGAGTTAACGAACGATCTTTTGGCAAATTTTAACTTACAATTCTATAATCAAATATTATCATTTAAAGTTAAATTGTTACCATTTAAACTAATATCTGATAATAATAATAAAAGAAATAAACTTTCTCAAAAAAAAAAATCTTTTTTAAAACTTTTCTGTTTTTAAAAGTGCGAAGCATTTCAATAAAAAAAAATCACTATAAACCGAAACATTTACAATTTCAAAGAAACAAAAAGATCTTTAAATTTTGCTTCCCGCAAAAGAAAAAAAAAATCATAGTTTTGAATAAAAATTTTAATTTCATCAATTTATTAATCAATAATTATTCTTTTATAAAAAAACTTAATATTTTATATTATTCTATCATAAAACAAACACAATAACAATGAGTTTTATTGATCTACAAAAAATTACTAAAATTTCATTTCATTTTTATAAGTTCTTGTTAACAATTAAACAAAAACAAAGATAGGAATTTAAAAAAAAAAAAAATTAAACTGACCAGTTCGACTCATCCTATTTATAAATTTGTGCGCAAAAATACTCAACCAATAAGGTGACCAACATGACACATACACTGCTGTAAGTACCAATACAGTTGCAATAAGTCGACGTAATGGTGCTGCACTACAACTGTAAATTAAAATTAAAATTATTTTGCATGGCTATTTTGATAATTAAAAAATTTTAATGCATTTTTTTTTCTTCCAATTTTACTAATTTTCTTTTTACATTCATTGAAGTAATTTCACAAAAAAAGAAAAAAGAAAGATTAAAAGTCATCATTGCTTCAGGATAAATGGAATAGAAGTGAAAAAGAAGAAAAAAAAATGTAAACATCTCATTGCTATCAGTGTGCTATTCATTTTAAAATATAAACAAACAAAAAATAAAATAATAAAAAAACTTTAATTCCTTTAGCTCTGACAAAAATCCATAAATATATTTTAAGAATTTAAAAAACAAAAAGCAAAACAACAACAATAGTAAAAGTAACAATAATTCTTAAGATTATAGGTAATAAAAAAAAGTGAAACATACTTGTTAGAGGTAAGTGAACTACCTGCATGTCGTTTTAAAAAAAATGGCACCGAAACATACCAATAAATCATACCACCTAATGGTATAGCATAACTTGCAATGCATGATACAATACCAAAGCCAAGTTCAATTTCTATAATTTTTTAAATTTTTAAATGATTATTATTTATTTTTTAAATGATATTATTTTTTTTTTAATTTTAAATGATTATTATTATTTATTTTTACTTTTTAAATGTTATTATTATTATTATTAAGTGACTATTATTGTTTATTTTAAAACAATTTCCAAATGATCCAAAATATTATTATAAAATGATAATAAATAATAATTATGATAATATCATTAGAATTTATAAACAAAAAAGAAAAAAAAAAAGAGCCAAAAATAAACTGACCAGATGGTGGCATAAAGGTACATTTACGTAATACATTAACTGTCCTTAATGTGATATTAGCATTGAAATAAAGCGTTGACACTTGGCTATATGCAAAAAGTGGCCATAACATTATCATTACAAGTGCCATTGATGCAATTACTTGGGCTATTGCATACTGCAAAAATTTTTATTTAATTTATTTAGTTCAAAATTATTATTTTTTTAAAATTATTTTCCTTTTTTTTTTTGACTTTTGCAAGTTATTTAAAATTATTTTGACATTTCATTTACTTTAATTTATCATTAATTTTTAGCAAAATGTTTGATTTACATTTTGTCATTTATTTTGTTTACAATTTATACTTATTCAATTATTTTTATTTTGCATTTTGCATTAATAATACATTTATATGCTTTATTCATTTACAATTAATTAGCAATTTTTTTTTTTTGCATTAGTATATGTGTTTATTGTTTATTTACTTTATTATTAGCATATAATTTAGGATTTGATGTTTAATTTATACAAATCTTTTAAATCTTAATGCTACAAACTAATTAAGTTAATTTTAATGAATTAAGAAAAAAAGAAGATAGAAAGACGAGAAAGAGAGAGAGAGAAAATTAACAGAATTAGAAAGTGGAAAATTTTTTTTTTCTACAAATCTTTAAGAATTATTACAAAGTATTCTTAGCTTAAATTATTTTTTATACGTTTTTTAAGGAAAGGACAAAACTAATAAAAATTAAAAAAAAATTTAAGTAAAAAAAAAAAAAAACAAAGAAATGTATGAAAAAAATTTATTTCATTTCTAATATTACTATAATAAAAATTTTTTTTTGCAAAAAATTTTTACTAAAAGAAAGTTTAATTTTTTCTAAAAAAAGAAAAGAAAAAATATTTGATGATTTAATAAATTTTTTGTATAAAAAATATATGGATTTAAGAAAAAAATGTCAATAATTTAAAAATATGAAATAACAAATTGAAATTGAAATATTTTTAAATTACTTTTAAACTTGCAGCTACTCGTCGACTTTTTGGATCGAGACATACTGTCACATAGCATGTCCGACTAATTAGTACCACAATTACAGGTGCGACAAATTTATTCATTGCTTCGAAGACAAGGTATGCAACACACGAGAATGTGCTAAATTTCCAAGTACCAACAACTATATCAATTATTAGAAAAAGCATTCCTAAAATTCTTTCATTTCATATTTATGAATTAATTTTTGATTGTAAAAATTAGTTATTGATTAATGATAATAATTGATAATTTTATTGAACAATCATTTTATCAATTATACATTCTCATTCATTTGTAATGATGTGATACATATTCGCCTTAATTACTAATTTAATTTAATCTTTTATTACTAACTTATTAACTTATTTTTTATTATCATTTTTCTATTGACTTATTTATTATTATTAACCCAAAACCATATAATTATTATCAACTCATTTTATTTATTTATAACTTATTTATTATTATTATTAAGCCAAAACTATATATATCATTTTTTATTAACTTATTAATTATTAACCCAAAAAAAGAAAACTTACCAGTCATAATCATTAAATCAGAAATGCATAATGTTATGATATAAAATAAAATACTCTTTGGTACTTTAACAGTTGCAGAAAAAAGTAACGGTGCGACAGTGTAAAGTACCCAAAAGTTAGCAGCAAATCCGATAGCATTAACACCCATATAAGCAAATGCTACCCATCGTCGATAACCCTATAAAAGTTTTTTTTTTTAAGAAAAAAAAAATTATTTCAAATTTTTAAAATTAATTTTACTTATGAAAGTAGAAAGTTTGAATTCGAAAATTTATGCAAAAATGTGCCATTTCTATTATATCTGTAATCAATGAATAAAATATATTATCATTTGTTATCATTAATCATTTAATCAAATTTTTTTGACAATATCACAGCATAAATTTACTATTTATATTTAAATAAAAATATTTAAATTACATTTTATAACTTTTTAAATTTATTTTAAATGAAAATACTGTAATTAAAGATATATCGTGTACATATTGTGAAAATAATTTCAATTACAGAAATAAAATAAATCTATTAAAAAAATTAAAACAAAAAAACAATGAAATAAATTTAACTAACCTGAAATGGTATCGAATATTCCAATTGTTTATAATTAGCAAATTCATCTTCACTCTGAATTATGATTGTCATAATTTTCTCTCTCTCTCTCTCTCTCTCTCCTTTTTTTAAAAATAGGATGACATTATGAAGTGAAGTGCTACTGAAAAAAATATATTATTCATAGTGTAAATTTTTTTATTAAAACAAAATTGATTAAATCAAATTGTTTAAATTTACACTAAGCAACAATAAATATAGTAATAAAAACAAAAACAAAAAAAAAAAAAAAAAAAAAATTAGTAAAATGAAAATGCTCATTTATAATTTTTTAATAAAATAATTTTAAAAAAAAGAGACAAATTGATAAAATATTTTTTAAAATGAAAAATAAATGATTTGCTAACAGAGTGAAGATTTATAAATGCATAAAAGATTTTGTTTCCTTGAAATGATTATTTGAAGGGCGGAAATTAAATATTGAAAGGATTGCGTGATGGCATCAAATTTAATTCTTTTTTTTTTTTCATCCTTGTCAATTTTCATTACAGTTGTGATACTTTCTTTTATTGCAAAACTTACTTAGCATTTTTTTTTCTTTTTTTCTTTTTAAATAAAAAGAGAGGGAGAGGGAGAGAGAGAGAGAAAGGGAAAGAGAGAGATATGAATGCAATGAAAATGGAAATTTTATCATTGCATTTTCGATTAGATATGAAATTTACAAAAAAAAAAAAAAAAAGAAAAAAAAGAAAAAAAAGAAAAAGAAAAAAAAAGGTAAGAAGAAAAGAAAAAAAGAGAAAGGACAAATTTATTGATAAAATAATTTTTTTATTATTTATTTTTTTTTTTTTTTGTTTGTTTGTTTTTTGTAAATTAAACGAATATTTATATTATTAATGAATAAATCATTTCTTTCATTTAATTTCATTTAAAGTTGTGAAAAAAAATGTAACAAAAGTTTATTAACAACAAAAAAAAAAATGTAAACATAAGTTTAAGAAAAAATAACATAATAAACATTGTTAATCAAAGTATTATTATAAAAATAAAATTTAAATATTATTAAGTTTGAAAATCTTTTTTTTTTTTTTTTTTGTTTTATTAAAATATATAATATAATAATTTAACATTAATGAGAGATAAAACGGAAAAGTAAGAATTTTATTCAATAATAGTAAGAATTTTTTTTCAATAATAGTAAGAAAAGTAAGAATAATAGTAAGAAAAGTAAGAATTTTATTCAATAGAATGAATTCAATAAAAATAATTTAATTTTTGAATTTTTATAAGTTTTATATTCCATTTTTAACATTTTGAGATTCTCATAAAAATATGAAAGAGAAAAGGGAAAAAATAACTATTAAATTGTCTTAGAAATAAAATAACTTTTAAAAATGTTAGATAGTGAAATTAATTAGCATAAATTTTTTTCTATAATAAATATGCAATTAGTTTTAGTAATTAGCTTTAGATGAGGAAAAAAGACAGAGGAGAAAAGTAGAGAGAGAGAGAAAAGAGAGAGAGGGAGAGAGAGAATTATAATTCTAATTTGTGAATGTCATGTATTTAATCTATTAGTTTTTGGTTTGGACAAAGTTAAATTTAGTTTTATTTATTTTTTTTCATTTCCTTGCTTGAAATTTTCTAAAAAAAAAGATTCACACTTACTTTAATATTGTTTAGGTTGTTCATTTTTAAAATTTTTTTATCACTAAATAATCTTTTAATTAATAATATTATCAATTTATTAATATAATAATGATTAAAAACTCATAAAATACTTTTTATGTAATATTATTTCAATATTAATTTAATTAGAATAAAACTAATTTTTAAGCATTTGATTTAAAAAAAAAAAAAGAAAATATTTCATTCATACTATTTACTATTCAAAATGGCACATTTTAATTTATCATTTTATTAATAATTAAATTGATAATAAGATTAATATGCTATTTATCCAATAATACTCTAAGAAAAGTAATCGTTTTATTCTTTTCAAAAAAAAAGGAACGAGAAAATTTCAAACTATTTTAAAGGTTAGAAAAAGAAAAAAAAAAAACTAATAATAATTTTAATGTGGTAAAACGACAGAAATGCTAATTCTGAATGCATTAGCTAATAAATTTTATCAGAATTACATTCAATAAAAGGCGATTGCATTGCTTATATTTTATTTATTCTAATCAATTTTTCAGTTTTTCATTTCTTTTTTTTTTTTTGTTTTTTGTTTTGCATCACAAAAATGTGATTACAAAATGCAAACAGTTGAAAAAGAAAAAAATTATTTCAGAAAAAATCAATCATTCATAAAATTATAAAAATTTTTTGGTCGAAATAAAAATTGAAATTTACAAATGAAATTTGTGTTTTTTTTTTTTTTAAAAAATTATTGTAATTTTCACTGCAATTAATGTTTTTTCTTTGTCTATCATTTGAAAAAGTGCTAAATGCTAGAATTTCATTAATTTGCATTGAAAATTGCTTATAACAAAAGAATGAAAAAGTAATCACTGAAATAATCACTAAAAGAGTAATTTTATGCATTGGAAATAATTTTAATTTTGAATAGCAAATTGATATATTCCGATAATTTCAGTGTAAAATTTTTATTTTTGGGTCAAATATTTGATCAAATTTTAGGATTCAAATAATTATGGATGAGAAAAATGATTGAATATAATACAATGTTAATTTTTTTGTTAATTTTATTTCTACAAAAATAATAAATTATTCGTTTTTTCTTTTCTTAAAAGATTTATTATCAAATTAGGGTAAATATATGAAATTTTTGCTTCAAAAAAGTATGCACAATAAAGATATGATTAATGATAAATAAAATTTTTTTTTTTCTATAATTTCATAAAATTTGATATTAACTCGTAAAATAAAATTTCATCCATTTTATTCTTATTCCAGTAAAAAAAAATCAATTAATCATTTGAAAATCTAATAACTTTATAAGAACTTAAATGACATTGAATATACACATATACTAATAAAATTCAAATTTTATACTGAAAATGAAGTTGATATATTAAAATAAATCATAACTTTTGTCATCATCATTTATCAGTAACAAATTTCTATTTCCAATATTTTATAACATTTTCAAAAGGTTAACATTTCAAGAATAATTCAAATTAAACTACAATTGAGATAGAATTGAAATTCATTTATGAAAAACGGCCAATTATTTTATATAAAAAAATGCTTATTAGTTCCTCGTTTCTTCTCCTTTTTTTTTTTTTTTTGAATAAGTAATTTTCAATAACTCATATTTCACTTCAATAATTTTCAATAAGCAGTAAAATTTATTGCATACTATTGCCAAGTTAACTTAGCAATAGATTTCTTTTATCAATCTTTGATCGTTTCATATCATATCATATCATTGACATTTTAAATTTTCATTCTCATAATACTAAAATTTTAAATTTATACATATATTGATCAAATTTGACTGTACAATTAATTGTACTAAATTGCAAAAAAGAAAAAAATAAAATTTAAAAAAAAATTAATGAGTTAATTAATTTATATTATTATTATTCAACAAAGAATATTTAAATTTAACTATTAATTTCAAACCATTTCATTAAATTAATGAATGCAAAAATTATTTGTTTTTTGCTTTTTCTTTCTTCGTTTTCTTCGAAGACATCAAAATGAACGATAGCAATTAAAAAAAGAAAAAAAAAACTGAAAAAAAAATGAGATAAATGCACAAAATGGATTTTATAAAATTAAACAATCTAAAAAAAAAGGAAAAAAAAAAACAAAGTTGAAATTTCTGCTTCTTGCATTAATTTTATCCTTTTTAAAACAAATTTTTATTTCCAATACAAAAAAAGAAAAAGAGAAAAATTTGAAATTATGAATTTAATATAAGTATTTAAGTACTGATATTATCAATAATACTGGACAAATTCAAATTTTTATAATTTTTAACAAACAACTTTAATCATTTTGAATGAAAAAAAAAAAAAATTAAATCTATAAAATTAATCATACTTTATTCGCAAATTTGTAATAATTTTAAATTTCACCAAACTTTTTCCAATCATTAAACTACTTTTGTTAATTCAAATATTACATTTGGAATGAAATAATAAACTCAAATATACTTAATTAATGATTAGCGCTAATTTGTTTGAAATTTTCGAATTAAAAAAAAAAAAATCGTAAAATACTATTACTTAAATAATGTGAAAAGTTTTTTTTTCCCATATTTTTTCCTCCGCAATAAAAAATTTTCAACCATTTTTAATCAAAATGGAAATTAAAAAGGAAAAAAAAATTTCATTTTTGAAATTTCAAAATGACAATTCATTTACGACTTTTATATCTCAGCCAAATCGCTTATTTTATTACTTAATTCATTTAATGTTAAATATTGAAATAATATAAATTCCTTTTTTTTTTTTTAAAATCAAATTTTATACTTTTTAACTTTAACTGAATAAAAATGCCTTCAAATTCATTTTAAAGCATAAATATGCATTTAATTATATTAAAAGTATTATCAACACAAAATGTGATAATAATATCACATAAAATTTTGTAATAAAACTATAAATAATTTCTATTACAAACTTTATTACTTCACTTATCATTTTAAGCTTTCTTATTTTAATGAAAATACAAAAAAAGAAAACTAATTTGAAACTGTTATATATAAAATGGAATTTTATTTAATTGTAAACTTAATTTTAAAAAAAAAAATAAATGAGACTTAAATTTTCTATGAATATTTTTCAGCAAATTCTTATACTTTAAATATCCTCCAATATTTCTCTCTTATGATTCGTTTCATTAAATAAAAATGCCTTTTCATTTGGGATTTCTATCTTAAGAAGAGAACGAGAGAGAGAGAGAGAGAGAAGGAGAGAAAGGGAAACAGGGAGGGAGAGAGAGGGAGAATATTTACATTTATATTATGTTGACGACACTTTGTAATTTCTGTTAAAGTATAAATTCGGTTTTTTTTTTTAAAGTGTAATTGCTATCAAACGATTTGTAACTAATTAAAATTTATCAGATTGAGCAAATAAATGAAATTTCAAATTGAATTGATAGCTTTTCATCAAATG